AGCGACTGGCGTATTTGCCTCTTCTTGCAGCTCACGTCCCGTAAGCAAGCCGGTCTGAATTAATCGACAATTAATCTGCCAGATCCACCACGTCAAAAGTTAACATGGGATGTGGTGTTCTTGCGGGTCCTGTCTGTTCAGATATCCGCGACAGTTACAGCCTTGAGGGGAGACGAGTCATACAGACAACTGCAACTGTGACCCAAGAATTGGTATAGGCTGGCTCGCCATCAGGGATTCTAGCACGGCCTAACAGACACATGGGAGCCTGTGTGACTACTACTTGGCGCTCGTATGTCAAATTCGGGAGCAAGGGAGTAAATCACGGACTGCGCTGCTCGGGGAGAGATCGTTGCCTGGCTCGTTAGCATTTTGCTTTCGTCCAGTTTCTGTCAAAAACATCCTTCCATGGTATGTATGTCAGGTTAGCCAGGTTATGCCTTCTACTTACTAAATGCTCTTTGGTTTATTCTCGCTGGTTGATGCATCCTCCTGGCAGGGAACCGATAAAGGGAGTTTGAAGCATCAACCACTGTAAGATAGGAACAGCTTCGTATAAAATAGGATCTCATCCTGTAAAGGTGCCGGATATAAGTCCAGTTCGACCTGACTATTCAGGTGGCGGACATCGACCGCCACTCATAGGGTTGCTTAAGTCATGGAACGTCTGCAGATGCTGGAGGCCTATCCATGCTCACTCGCATTGCATTCAGCTTGACATGCTTACCAATCGACTAAAGACAAGAAGGAGCCCATTGCAGCAGCTCGTCAATCAGTGGACCCTTGAAAAGGAGGCAATAAAGATGACCCAACCTTTGGGCTGTGGACTTTAGTCGTGAGCCTCTCCAACCTTAAGAACAATCGCAATTATTATAACTGCCAAGTTCAATATTGGCCGCCTAGGACATTCTGCCTCAACGAGCCAATCTAGTGCCACACTTTGTAGTTCGCAGGATCTGAGCCCGTCTCCGGATTCAGCCATCGATATAGCCGCGGGTTCACTCTTTTCAGGTGAGACGGTATAAAATAGCCAAGAAACTCATGGTCGTATCCCCCTGGTCGTCGCGCTGTGATTCCTGTAAGCCGGAACCCATGAGAACATAGTATCCTCGCGGTGCACATGTCCAACCTCTGCACCGTCTTGGATCTTGCCGTCGTAGAACACTGTGCTGACCAGTGCACAGATATCGGGGTGCATGCGGTGTTGTATCTCTAGCATATGGACAGCCAGCCCAGCAAATGCCACACGGCAGAAAAGTGAGAGAGATTCAACTGGCCGCTTAGAGGATTGATTGCCTGTCGTGCTTGACAGCGTGATGGGCTTTAGCTGACGGTGATCTCCGACTAGCAGCGTGACTCGGTTATGGTAAAATCCACAGTACCAATCACGGTGTGTTGCCCAGCAGCAAAGAGAATGGCGACAACCACACCAGCTTTCTTCAAGACAGCCTCCCGGTGGTCTTTGGTTGCGACTCGAAACTCTATGGTGGTATCCCCAGCGACCTTACTGGTGAAAGTATTCAGTGAAGGCGCGGTATTTCTCCCACTCGCGCCGCTCCAGGCACAGTGAACAAACAAGACCTGTCGCATGGCAGTCATATTCACCTAAACTAGTTTAGCCTAAGCTGATGTTATATAGAACTAGTACTCACAGTGCCGTCCTTCTTTAGAGGAATGACTGGGCGAATTTTAGGCTTCGCGGCCTCTCTTGCCAATTACACTTCTCTGGAGAAGGCACCAGATAAGTTCAATCTGGCCTGGCATTTTCAAGGTCCGCAAGAGTTTCGTGCTTTTTAAGTGGCTTAGGTAGGATTCCAGCATGCTGTCGACGATCATACCCGTAGCAAGCACAGCGGGCCAACTATTCAAGTCCATTCTGGTACACTCTCTGCTCCAGGAATGACCCATTGGTTGATGCCGAGAAAACATGCTCGATCCTAACTTGTCCATTATCACAGGAGGGATACTCTATGTATTGCAAGCAACACTCATCGAGGATCATCGAATATGTGTCGTTATTGAAAGCTGCAGGTGTGAGCTCATCCAGGAGGTTGTCGTACTCGACTGGCACAGCTTCGTCGGCGCCCAGTCGCGAATAACCTCTGCAGCCACGATGCCCATAGGTTCAGTAAAGTAAGCAACGTGCTTTTTCTCAACGCCGAAGGTAGTCAGGCCCAGTCAGAATCCCGGTCATACGGTTTGCCCTCTGAGTAGGAATGGGCCACCGAGGGGGTCCAGGTCGTGCGTTGCAAGTCTTGTGGTAGATCGCGTGTCTAACCAAGAAATCGTGAAGTTTGACCCTTGCAGATGCACTTGTCAGTTGTAGAAAATATCCGACGTTGGGTTGGAGAGTCTGCCGTGCGAACTATAGTGGATAGCCCTCTTGATAGACAGAGTAGAAAGGATATGGAAGAGTTCAGGATCTCGAAAAACGCTTATCTCGTCAAGAATGACAGCCCAGCATTGGGAGGAACGCCTGCCAAGTCCCCGGACATTCATTATTGTGGTCACAACGATATCAGCCGTCATGTTCCATTTTATCGTCGCCTCCCTGCCTTGGAATCACGCCGACCAGTGACTCGGGATCGATCTTCACGGGAGGATAAACGTCGGTCCAATCCCCCCCCCGGCGCCATGGCTCCCTCCAAGTGGCCCACCATGGCCCATCCTAATTGTTGTATATAACAGATGTAGCCGTTGCAACAAGATGATCGGGGCAATAGTTCCCCACTTCCCGGGGTTGAGGTCGACTCGGTCTTGCACACTTGGTGTTGGTGTTTTGCCCATCGTCGTTCGGTGCAGCCACATAGATACTCCTCCTCCATATTAAACACCTCCAATCTACAGTATTCTGAAGATCCACATAGTCCAACCCCTTGTGCAACCTCTTGTGCCAAGTACCAACTCCACCGTGCAACGATGGATCTCAATACCCGGGTTTTGTGGTTGTCCCGTTTTCGATGTATCGTTCCCATTGGCGAATAGCCGACCGCCAGGGACAGAAGAAGACTTGTCCAGCGCAGGCGGAGTGGGTTTAGGAGAAGTGGCCTCGGGGGAATAGAGCTGGACTTCATCTTGCTGGTGTTTAGAAGTATGTGGGACGTGGGTGAGAGGGATCATGAGGGTCGGACGGCACTGTTCATTGCTGCACAGATTGGCAACATGCAGATAATCCATCTGCTACTGAGCCGGGCCAGGTTGATAGGCTATTTGGACCGATGACCTGGCGAGTGATATTGAGAGCATGAACGGGAAGAGGCCTTCATCGATAACACAAAAAGGTTTCCCCCTGGACCCTCCACCACTTTTCATCGTGCTATAAGATATCCATATTAGTATAGATTCCACTTGAGATCACCGGCTATCCTACGTGGAGGGCGCGTGAGCCTATATGCTCTTTCAAAGTCTTCAGTGGTGGGGGGCATATTCCCCCAAGGGGTATCTATATAATGGTAGATATTAGCCTTCTTTCAATATGTATAAACTCATTATAGATCATACATACACGTGCTGACACATTACAACTCATGTGCCAAAGGTGCCGAGGATTAGGTGGAACGCTTGTTATTGTTTGCTGGTTGGTTTCAAGCCAGCAAGTGGGGGATTTCTCAATAAACACCCATGGTGAAGTAAGACGATCTCTTCATAGACCATGTCGTTAAAAGGAATGGCTTCTAAGCGGGACTAAGGTTCATGCGCTGTGGTGTGAGTTCTATGCCCCCAGACCATCTTCTTTTTCGATATCCCATTGGAACGAATGACATAGCCGTCCTCCAATGGATTTGCGGTCCGAAGAAATACTTGGTCGAAAGGGATCTGTAAGGGGTCGCCGGTGCTCATGACAACCCTGTTCCGATCCCGAGAGAGCGTGATTGTTTGCTCTATAACTGGGGCATAACGAGAAAGTGCCCTTGTTTGTAAGTACGGCCTCAAGATGTTGACACGCTCTTGCTATCGAGGCTAGTCCTACTTATAGCTCGCACCAGCAGTTCTGCGAGATTGAGAGCCTTGGACATGGTCAGCAAATAATTGGTAATCTAGACGGGAGATTGGTAAACCCACTACTGGTAGCCTCTGGATGAGGGTCTCCTGGATTCCATGAATGAACGGTCGATGGGTCCTCTCGGTTTGACTGCCACGGATGCTCCAGCATCCGGTAGTCTTGAATCCATTCTGCGACCCCTTTAGCAGTGTTGAGTCTTTTGGTGGAGATATGGAGAATGATCCACGTCGCCTCACGACAGAATATCTATTCCAATCATTAGAATGGTCTGACAGATGGGGTAAGAAAGGAGAGAAATGGATAGTAATACATAAGGTTTCTTTGTCGTGTCCGGCTCCAGCTGCTTCTTGGGGTTCATAATCTCACACGTAGTACACCACTCGCTGTCTGCGATGTGCTCTGAGATATCTGTAGAAAATGATCATCGATAGATAGAAGGGAAATATATATGTCAAGTGGCAGGCTCATAACCTGTACTGGAAGCTCTCTTGATGTCCAAGTGTAGCCCAGGGAGAGTGCTATCTCTTAAATATTCGCCTGGAAGACTCTGAGCTACGTGGCAAGGGTGAAGTTACCCGCCATACTATTGAATTGACAATAAGTGCATGGTCTGGATTCTCTGGTGTGTAACATGCACTATGCTGGGGCGGGCGAGGTTGCGTTAATTCCTACTATATTTACTGGCCAAATCAGGATAAATTCGCTCACAACTTTGTTGAATAACTCGCATGAGTACTAGGTTTTACAGCATTAAATTCAAAAAAAGGATATTAAATGAAAAAAGGTACGAAGAATGTCGGAGGTTACATGGAACGGCATCTACACGTCACCACCCCTCAGCCAAGCCCTAAACGACGAAAGCCAGAAGCAAGCCACGATCATACCACGACACGCTATAACGCCACCCCATACTCAAACAAAATGCAATCAATTCCCCATGTCAATGCGACGATTTCCCATTATCTGAACAAAAAAAAAACATTCCTAATCCTCCAACATGAAGCTGGCAGTCTTCAGCGCCAAGTCCTACGATAAGCACTATTTCGACGTCACACTCCGCAAACAACACCCCACGCTTTGTGAGATCACCTACCATTCATTCGCCCTCTCATCCGAGACCGTTTCTCTCGCGCAAGACAGCGATGCAGTCTGCGTCTTTGTAAACGACCAGCTGGACGCCCGCGTCCTCCAAACCCTCTACGCAAACGGCGTCCGCGCCATTCTCCTGCGCTGTGCGGGCTTCAACAACATCGACCTGCAAGTCGCCGAGGACCTAGGCTTCTTTGTCGCCAATGTCCCCTCGTATTCCCCCGAAGCGGTCGCTGAGTTCGCAGTGGCGCTGATCCAGACCTTGAATCGCAAGACACATCGCGCGTTTAACCGCGTCCGGGAGGGGAACTTCAACCTTGAGGGATTTCTGGGCCGCACACTCTACGGTAAAACGGTGGGGGTTGTAGGCGTCGGTCGTATCGGGCTGGCGTTTGTGAAGATACTACATGGGTTCGGGTGTAAGCTGCTGGCGTATGACCCATTTGGAGGCGAGGAGTTCAAGAAGTATGGTGAGTTTGTGGAGCTAGGCGATCTGCTGTCACAAAGCGATATTGTCAGTCTGCATTGCCCTCTTACAGAAGGTACGAGACATGTGATCAATGATGAGAATCTCTCGCGGATGAAGAAGGGTGCGTTGTTGGTCAATACCTCTCGTGGCGGCCTGGTTAACACCAAGGCTGTGATCAATGCGCTCAAATCGGGTCAGCTTGGTGGTGTGGCACTGGATGTGTACGAGGAAGAAGGATCGCTGTTCTACAATGATCATTCTGGCGAGATTATCCATGACGATGTGTTCATGCGGCTGATGACGTTCCCTAATGTGCTTGTTTGCGGCCATCAGGCTTTCTTTACGGAGGAGGCGCTCAGTGAGATCGCGGGCGTTACGTTGGGGAATTTGGAGGACTTTTCTTTGAAGAGGACTTGCAAGAACTCGCTGGTACGCGAGGGTCATCTGGTGGTTCCGACGGACAAGGAGCCTGTGCGGCTGTAGTATTCAAACTACCGAACGCTGGGCTTATTCTTTTGAGGATTGTCTGGGTGCCTAGTCTCCAGACGAAACTGCGATATTCATAGTTTATGCAGTCGTAGCTTATGCATAGCATTCATTAATTCATCCATAACCATTGACCCGTGAGGTAAACGTCAAGTCACAATGATCGGACATTGTTCATGTCTCATAACATCAAACCAACCCAGCATCTAATCCATAGCTTTGCCTCACGACTGACCGACACTTATATAGTCATAGTAGCTCTACAGCTTGGAAGTGAACTGTGACGCTTCCTCCCGCACAGCTCTCAGAATCTCCTCCTCTAGACTGGGACCCTGTGGCTTCCAACCCAGCAATTCACGTGCCCGAGAAGCAGTGTATTGAGCATTCGTCCCCAGCAGCACGGCACCATGTGCAGTCAGCTTGTCCGCAGTATCAGCATCGATACTCTTGACGGTGGGGTCCTTGATAAAGCCTTGTTCAGCAGCAAACGAAGACACCCTTTGCGAAATCTCCCCAAACGGCTATAAACTATAATCAGAAAACCAGGCACCCACAACTTATCCCAGGGGTCTATCGACTCACCATCTTCCCATTCTCAGCAAAATAAATCCCATTCTCGTTCCATAGCGACACATTCTGAGAGTTGGACGCTTCCTGCGTTAACTTCACCACCAATTGCGCAATATCCGAGACATGAACGTTGCTCCAGCAACTGAGGCCTCTACCGACCTGGAGGCCATGGCCGTGCTGGATGATTGCTTTTGCCAAGCTTGGGAGTTGTATGCTGCGCTGGTTTACGGGGCCTCTTCCCTGGCCGTAGATTAGTGGTCCGTATATAATGGCTGTTCGGACGTGAGGATTCGTGGCGGAGAGACTAAGGAGGAGATTATCGACGGCGCGCTTCGGCGAGGAAGTGATGATGTCTCTGATCTCGGATATGCCGTGTAGATCATTGAACTCTTGCGAGCGTGGTTCGCCATAGGCATTGGCTGTGATGTCGGGTCCGGAGAGGAGGCTTGCACCCGAGATTTGGATCCATACTAGGGTTTTGTCAGAATTTCAAAGTTTTGATAAGGGGGAAGAGTTGAAACAGGGGTGAAATGAATACCTGGCTTTTGGCGCTTGCTTTCAGTCAACCCTTGTGCTATGGCAGTGGCGCTGGGTAGGTGATTCGAGCTGGCGAGATCTGTTTTCCTTGGTTAGCGTGCCAACGGTCACTATACACAGAGATAGAATTCTTACGAAGAACAACGTCAGCCTCTGAGGCTTCACGTGTGATTTTCGCGACGGAATCCAGGTCCCCAATCACGGGAGTGACGGATGGAAACTTGTTCGTGAGCTGAGATGCTCGACTCTCACTCCGCACTAGGGCTGAGATATTGGAGGCGCGGCAGGCTTGTGTGAGAGCGAAGAGAACATCCCCACCAATGTATCCTGTGGCGCCGGTACTGGTTGGAATATTCGTATTAGTGCTATGTCTTTGATGTTTTCGAAGTACTTACATGAAGATGCGAGACATTGTCTAGTTGGAGAAGCAGCTGTAGTCAATAAGGCGAAGGGGTGGTATTCAGTGTTTAAAAAAAATGTCACGAGCAATGTAGAAGGTCGCTGATCAATGTTGAATTAGGATCTAATTCCAGTAGTTGTATATGTACACTTGGGGGATTGATATACTTAGGGCTGCCGGGAATTCCTGCCTCATTCTGATGGCATGACCCACCCCGCTTATAAATGGGCCACGCATTTGGGAGGTAATCGCGATGGGTGTATACAGGTCATCTGACCTTAGTCCCAAGATGGGATAACCCTTACTAAGCACACGTGAGTGCCATGCACAAATTAATAAGCAAAACAAGTCACACTAGCTTGTATATTAATTGTAGTATAATTTCACTGTATTATTATTTATTATTCTAAATTAATATTTTCTTAATATTTTTTTAAATATTTTTTAAGTACTTAGAATTATAGTAGTAAATAGTAATAGAGAGAAATTGTATTTTTACAGGTAATAGATTTAATATCTTGAAACTTTGATATTTTATTACTGACAATCTCAGGACTAAAACCTGATTATTAAGCGCCGCAAGGATAGTTAGCGCCACCTAGAAGTAGGGTCCCGCTGACCTGCAACCACTCGCGATGGAGTCTATCTAGGAGATTAGCATTTCTAGTACACTCGAATACTTCTCTCGTACAAGGGATGGAGAGTCGACAGCTCAGAGTAGAATATCAAGATTAATTATAAATCTAAAGCTACATTCCAGTCCGCCTGAATAGTTCTAACTACAAACAGAAAGGTGAGAATGAAAGACAGCGCGAACTCTCTATATAAACATACAAATACGACACCACCGTGTAGCAGAATTCACCACATCAATATACTCAGAAGTGGCCAAGGTGCAGGCACAGCAGTACCCCCAACTAGACCCGGGGGTAGACATCCAAGGGACTAATCCCCTGAGGAGTACCCAGACTAGTCTCCAATTGGCTCTTCCACCAATCGACCACATTGCGCTGGCTCATAAAGACCCGGAAGCCACCAACCTCACTAACATTCTGCTCGTAAAGCCTGCCCTGGTCCAGGCTAACGCGGGGAACGAAGCTGCCGGCATCAGCCTGAGCCTTCTGCCACTCATCGCTGACCAAGAAACTAAGCAGAAGCTTAGAGGTCTCCGGCCTCTTCGTGCTTGCAAGGATCGCTGCTGTCTGGGACCAGGTCATGCTCTCGTCCTTTTGAGGGGCCTTGATTCTCCACCAATCTTCGGCGCCGTCGGCAGTGGTGAAAGTGATCGACCGAGGATTGCTCGTGTTGTTGTGGGCGGCCGAGATAACGGCAGCCGGGGTGTAGGAGCCCCGTACCCACTGAACATCGTTTGCCTGGAGGGCACTGAGCCATTCAAAGCCGTAGCGGCCGATGATCTTGGCGAAGAGATACAGAACGGCATCATCGTCGTTGGGATAGGTGAGAACCAGCTTTCCGTGCCATTTTGGGTCAGTGAAAGATGCATAGTCATCGGGGACCTCGGATTCCTTCAGTTTGGTACTATCCCAAAACATGTTGCCGAAGCCATCTGTAGACATTGTCAGACTAGACTCGAGTTTGCAAAGGAAGGGTAGCTTACACTCTGCGATGGGAAGGTAAGCGCCCTGAGGGTCGCGCTCGGAAGCATATATATCGTTCCACACTGCTGGCTTATAGTAAAGCAGGCGATTCTGCGACTTCCAGCGCGGGAAATCCTGCAAGGTCTGCAGGATTACCACATCGGTTGTCTCCCCCTTGCCGTAGAAGCCACGGTCAATGCGACTCGCGTGATACTTGGAGAGGTCGACTGTCCAGTTCACCTGGATATCAGGGAAGCGTTTCTGGAACGCATCGATGATGAAATCGTTCTGGTTTCCGGCTATGTATGCTGTCAGTAATAGGTAGGAGAAGCAGCTACCGTGACTCTTACCATCTCCGCCAGAGGACACAACCAGAGGGCCGGACTCCTTCTTAGCAGCTTCGTAGATCTCGTCGAGAGAGCGAGTCTCCAAGGGAACGTTTGGAGACCACTGCGATTGACCGAGTGACAAGAGGCTCGAAAGAGCAAGAAGACGTTTCAAGTAAACCATTGTTCGATAGAGATAGGGTCTAGTATTAATGGAGTGGACACTTAATAGATAGATGTGGTAGCTATGAGAATAATGCTGGCTACATTCTGAGGATCTTCACGCCTTTTAAGCAAGTCATGAGTCCCTAGACATCCAAATTTGTCGAGTACTGAGAATTACTATTCCAGTCGAATACTTCTCGAATCCTCCAAGCCTACTTGGCGCCGAGCCACGGCACAGTCAATCTGCCCTAATGGACAGTGATGCAGTCATTGGACAACATATTAGAGAATGAAACTAAATGCACGGGTCACCTAGCAGGCAACCGGCCGAAGGAAAATCCCTCAAAAGTACTCGAAACAATTTAGAAACAACGCCTTTGTGCCTTCATAAGCTGCTACACCGTGATGTGAAAGTCTAATGAATCAATCATCAATGCCTCGAGATTAAAAACCATATCCCTACGCCGAGAGCACAATCATAGATCACACTCAAGTCACTGCACGTTGTGTCTTCCATAAAAGGACGTAAGAGTAGCCTGAATTAAAGGATTCAGATATCCACTTAATCTGAATCCTACCTCGAACCATCAGATAGATTGATAATCGCGGAATTATTCCGAGATTGAATTTCTGGCGTTGAATGATCCTCGATCCCAACGGTCAGGCGAAGATAGCTGCCCTGTGGCTGCTGCGCCACACGATCCACGGTGGATGATTCTTGGCTTGCACCAAGATTGCCAAACTACAAATAAGAGACTCGTGGTGAATGCCAATTTTGGGCCAAAACCTTGTGGTGTTGCATCAGGAAGCTGGTAGACGTGTGGGGAGGCACAGTCCAGACCCTACAATATTGGGCCTTATTAAACCCTAATTCTATTTCTTCACAATCTTGGGCTTGGCGCTATCTTGAGCAACGATCCTATTTCTACCAACTTGGCAATAAATATACCGATTAAGGACTTAAAGTATATTCTTGGTGTATGTTGGATACAGAGAATATATTCTGCCAATCTCCGGTGTGGCCGTCTGGTATTTCTGGGAGGGATATCCGATTGGCATCACAGAGTACCAAATGGGAAGGATTTTCTAGGGCCTTTGCTAGGACCCAGAGTATGGTCATGCGTACCTAGGTGCTGGCAGCTGGCGTCTCTTCAAACAGTGGCTACAGCGTTAGTGGATTGTGGCAGACTTGGTAGGCCCTTTTCTTCCGGATCCGAGAGCTGCAGATTACATGTCACAGTTGTCACTATTCCGTACAGGTATGTATATGATGCAAGGGTATGCGTTTCAGTGTCCTATCACAGGCTCTTGGGGAAACAACATAAAATCTTGCCATTGGCATAAGTGGTAAACATTCTCATGAGGTAATGTCTACAATGAATGTCTATTGTCCAGAACTCAACTGATCAGTTTACAGACAGATCTTCTCATAACACTGATATCCTTGTTTCTTCGCTGAGAGTGACTACGCTGCTTTGCGTCACACCAAAATCATTAACGTAGAAGATGAATGTGCATACCCAATATGGAACCGCCTCTATAGCTTCTATACATACATTACCCAGAGCGATACCGTATACACCTCCCAATTAACGGCACTGTATGCACCAATTCCAAAGCTCTGGGGACGATCCGTTGTCCGTGAATAATCAAAGGAACCACAGCAACCAACCACATGAAGTACACAAGTCCAACAGCGAGAGTTAGGCGCAGCTTTTCCAAGATAGGCAACATGAAGTTGGCCACGACAGGTTCATCAGAACTACCCAGGCTTTCTTCGGCTGAACGTTGCTCGAGCGCGCTTGCCATCTGCCAAGCCACACGATTATTGATCTTCTCCCACGTTGTCTCTTCTGCATACCTCCGGGCAGAGGTGGCTAGGGTAGACCGCAGCTGGCTATCAATAGAAACCTCTCGTACTAGGCCGACAAAGTTGTGTATGTCATTTGGAGGAACCAGATATCCCGTCTTTTGATGTTGTACAATATCCGACGGGCCTCCTTGGTCTCTGGCGATAACGGGTACCCCACTGGCCATTGCCTCCAGCACAACCAGCCCGAAGGTTTCAGTGATCGAGCAATGGAGGAAGATATCGCCTGAGGCGTAGGCGCGAGCTAGGGGCTGGCCGGTCAGGAACCCGGTGAAGATGACATGCTCTCTGACCGCGTCGAAAAGACGGTGGATCCGGCTTTCAACGACCGGGTTGCGATTCCCTCCGATGATCAGCAGCTTGAATGGAACCTTTTGTTCAGCAAGCTTGACTGTCGCCTGCGCCAGGAACTCGAACCCCTTCTCTGGAGCAAGGCGACATACGCAAACGAGAATGATCTCGCCATTCGGGGCAATCTTTGTTCGGCAGGCATTGTCACGGTGCGCGGGGTTAAACAACAAGGTATCAACGCCACGCCCTAATCGTACAGTGCGCTCGGCAGGAGCTCCAGCATCTTTTAGGTAGTTCAGTACTGCCGAACAAGGATAGAAGATGGTGTGGACAGCTGAATGACTGAACAGGAACCCTTGCACTGTGGCCAAGAGCCAAACTGCGAATCTGTCAAGAGGTGCCGGAAAAATTATTTCACTGTAGGCTGAGAGATCTGTTTGGTAGTTGAGTAGCACCGTAGGTGGTTTCCGAAGTTGGCGGGTTTGTAGCAGGACTTGGAACCCCAGAGATGCTGGACTGGCGACGTAGATGATATCTGGCTGGAAGGTTTGTTTGTAGACAGTGTCCAAGCGAAAAGGGTACACTATCGTCAGGTCCGGATTGTATGGCAGGGGATATCCTGGTATCCGTGAATCTGCTGCATCCCGTGCCTGGTGGCGGAAGCCTTGATAATGCGGTGCAACTACAGCCAGATCGACACCGTTGCGCCGGAGGTACTCCACCAAGCTCAACGTTGTCCGACTAACGCCATTAACGGGCCCCAGAGACTCTGTAGTCAGCAGAACACGCCTTCCTTTGAGAATATTAGGAAAATCATCTGGGTTGGAAATGAGCAACGCCATTGTGTACTGCAGGCATGCAGCGAATTAGAGGCGGCAATACCATGGTTTATTCCCACCTTTTATCTTGCATTAGATCGCATTCAAGGCAGATGACATGAAATCATGGATAGCACATGATCGCCAGTTGATTTGACGATCCCCTGCAGGTTGGAGGGCTCATTCTTTAGGGATGGACCACAAGCTTCGTGTAGGAGGGCTTCGTGCGGGCACGTGGGCTGGCCGCTATACAAATAACCTTCAGACTTCACCAGTGACGTTCCGTCTTCACTTCCCCGTGCATTAACTCTTCAAGCTCTTTGGAGCCCTCCTACGATTATCTACGATGCTCATCTGGCTCTTTGGCCCTTATCTTGCTTCATCACGTTCCGGAAACGCTCGTAGAGAGGCATTCGCGGGACCAGTAGCCTGCCGGAAACATATAGCGATTAACCATGCTAGTTTACCTTGGCCACCGGGTGACCAGGAAAGGTCAGGTGAAGTAATAGATTGTATAAACGGTTTGATTTCTGTTGGTAATTCCATTCAAGAAGCCTCATGCCCGCAAACTGGACGTTCTCTCGAACATTATCGCGGAAAACGAGACTCACCCGATGGACATTCCGTCTTCTCCACTAGGCTCCTCGGAGGGGAGTTTGTATGAGGACTCCACGCCTCCTACGACTCCAGCTTCGAGTCCCTTGTTCGGTGCCTCCAGAGGAGATGAGCTGGTCTCGTCAAGCTTTCCGTCTTCATCAACTACTTATAATCTCAGCTCCGAGCAGAGGGTACACGACATTCCCAGCGTTGCTACACTTTGGAGACCCTCGGCGGCACTGGTCCAAAACGTCTGCGTCGTGGGCGCGGGGTACGTAGGTACGTTGGCTCTGCTACATAGCTCTCCTCTCAAGCTGCTTTCACGCATGACCCTAACTCTCCATAGGTGGGCCGACCGCTGCAGTCCTCGCGCTCCATAACCCGTCCATCGCAGTCGAAGTCGTAGACCGAGACCCTCGTCGCATTCAGAGATGGAAGTCACCACATCTCCCCGTCCATGAACCAGGCCTGGGCAATGTTGTCCGTGTAGCAAGGGACGGCGCGGATTTTGTCACTTCGAGTGCTTCTATTGCAGCCATGTTAGGGGACGTGAAGCGAAAGCCCAACCTGTTCTTTACATGCGATTCAGCTAGAAGCATCTCTCGCGCGGACATGGTCTTCCTTGCAGTGAACACGCCCACCAAGTCCTTTGGGTTAGGCGCTGGAAGAGCGACTGATATGACAGCTGTCGACGAGGCTGTGCGAGAGATCGCGCTCCACGCAAAGCCTGGCGCGGTCATCGTGGAGAAGAGTACGGTGCCGTGTGGCACTGCTCAGCGGATCCGCCAAATGGTATAAATTACTCCTTGCTTTCATTTCCTTTGCGATATAACATCCCTCCGCCAAATTATGAGACCTTTGAGGACTCAGCTTTAGACAAAGATGCAACGAAACTAACTTCACCGTAGTTCGCCACCCTTCGACCAGAAGTCCCCTTCGAGGTTCTCTCCAATCCAGAATTTCTATCCGAAGGCTCAGCCATCGACAACCTCGTCAAACCTGACCGCGTCCTCATCGGATATTCCGGAACACCAGTAGGTCGTCGTGCAGCAAACATGCTCGCAAGCCTGTATTCCACCTGGGTCCCAGCATCGCGTATCCTCGAAATCAACTCCTGGTCTTCGGAGCTATCCAAACTAGTAGCCAATGCCATGCTCGCCCAGCGCATCAGCAGCATCAACTCTATCAGTGCCATCTGCGAGAAGACCGGCGCCGAGGTCGACCAAGTTGCTAAGGCCGTGGGCATGGATACACGGATTGGACCCCAGTTTCTCAAGGCCGGTCTGGGGTTCGGCGGATCGTGCTTCCGCAAGGACATCGCCAGCTTGACATATCTGGCTGAGTCCCTGGGGCTGGACGACGTCGCGCAGTATTGGAATCAGGTCAATGTCATGAATGTAGCGCAGCGGAGCCGGTTCGCCAGGAAGGTTATTGACCGATTTGAGGGCAATTTGCATGGTCGTAAGGTTGCCTTGCTGGGATTTGCATTTAAGAAGGATACGGGAGATACGCGCGAGTCTTTGGCAGTTGATGTGGTGCAGCTTTTGATAGAGGAGCGGCCGATGGAGATCGCGATATATGATCCTTACTGTCAGGAAGAGGATATCCTCCGGGAGCTAGAGATGATATTGGCTAACCACTCAGAGAAGGACAGTGTCGTGAAGGTTCTTGCAGATCCTTACCTGGCTTGTTCTCAGGCGCATGCTGTCCTGGTCATGACGGACTGTGGCCAGTTCAAGAATGTTCCTGCTAGCCGAGGTCGTTCGTCGTCGGCCTATCAGACATCTGCTGCTCGAGCAGACCAGGACATATATGATAGCTTGGCCGAGGTAATTATGACACCCGTCAAACCAGAAGAGGAGACCTGGGCTTTCAATGGAATATCCTACCGTCTTGTCCCGCAAGAGGCTTGTGCCACTGATTGTGCTTCTTGCCGCTCGACATCAAGCCGACCTGCAACGGCCGAACCGCTGGAGTGGGCGCGCATTGCTTACAATTTAAAAGAGCCCAAATGGGTGCTGGACGGCCGGTGTTTCCTGGATGTACGGGAGATGGAGAAATTAGGTATTCAACTGGATACTGTTGGACGGCGGCCTGGTGCATCACAATCGAATGATAGTACTACCGCTGAGATTTGATCTGAACACCTCGGAAGACCTAATTAGATTGATACCCTACTTATGTTTATATTGAAATTCGAATATAAGAATCGAGCACATTATCAATTAAGCACTATAGCACGGTCATAGGCATAAGTATCAACATACAAAAACATCATCACCATATCAACCATACAACAGAATTCAGAAGCGTAAAAGAAGCTCACAGGGAAGCCTGGAACTTCCCATCAATCTCCTCCACTTTCTTCACAGCCCTCTGGTAGCCTTCCTCGGCCTGGATCATCTCCACATACTTGGCCAGATGCGGATACTTCTCCTTCAGTGGCAATCTCAACGATGCCGCAATGAGCGGAAAGCTCATCATAATATCAGCCGCCGTCAACTGCTGTCCGCAGAGATACGGTCCACCACCCGGGGCAGTCTTCAGGCGCTCCTCGAGGAAATCAAAGTTCCCAAAGATGTTCCTGGAGAGGAAGGCCTCTTCAACCTTGGACGCAACAAACCTTGGGATGGGCTTAATGAAGAACGGAACAGGGGCATCCTTCATACCTATACCACATCGTCAGCCACCCACCACAAGTACCAGGCGAAAAAGAGAAAAGAAAAGTCAAAACTCACGATCCATAACCAACTGAAACACCAAAAACGGCATCAAAGTACCCTCGGCATAGTGCATGAAATACCGATAGCGCATCCATTCCTCGGTCTCGCCGCCGACAGCGCCCTCCTTGCCCTCGGGATAGCGCTTGGGGATGAGCTTCTCGCCGCCGAAATGGTCGCACAGGTACTCGGTGATATTACCCGATTCGGCAAGCACGAGCGGCTTCTCTGACTGCTCGGTTTCGATGGTGATGACGGGCGATTTGCCCAGCGGATGGATCTTCTTGAGCTCCGGGGGAGCCAGCATCTCCGATGTGCGCTTGAAGGTCTTCAAGTTGTAGGTGAGGCCTAGCTCCTCGAAGAGCCAGACGATGCGCTGGGAGCGGGATTGCTCCAGCCTGTAGGTTTTCTCTCTTGTTAGTGTGCTCTGATGTGGCCACAGTATGCAGAAGGGACGCACCAGTAAAGGGTGATGTTGGCGCCTTTGTTTGCGTCCGTCATCTTGATATATATCTATGCTCTGGTATGAGCGTAAAAGTAGATCACTTTGAGTTGATCGAGTTGATATATAAAATCTGAACTGAATACGGTATCGTATCCGATGACAGCGAGTACAGTTTCTGGCGTGGTAAATACGAGCAGCAGACCACTATCAGGAAGTCAGGACTCTTATACCGAGCAGATCTAGACTGATCGACTGGAATAATCTCCTCGTATAGCAGCGACCGAGTAGAAAGAGCATATCTGCCTCGGCATCTCCGCCTGTGAAACTGCGTCATCGGCGGGAGTGGGTCTTTCAGTCCAATTCCTAGAGGACCATTTTCGAGTTTGGTGGTTGAACATCTTAAGTACCTGGACTTTTCCCGACAATCACCCGATTACTGCAGGGTCTAGTACAATAGCTGCCTGTAGGATAGACACTACACACCCTAATTAGGATAAAGAAGAAGGAATCCACATGACTGCATAACATTCAACTGTACCCAATCACATCCACGCACTATATATACTTACTAAGCAATGCAAAGTGCTCACGTGACATCACGGGGAACCTCACCTCGCCCAATCGAAGCTCAGCCAATTCAAGACGAAGATAGGTGATAACGCTGTCCATCCTACACAACCGCTACCATGGCCGGTCCTAGCAAGTGTGAGTCTCCTTCTCGGATTGCAATTGATGGAGGAGGTACTAATACGTTTCCATTCCAGCCCTGGTCCTTGACCCGGCCCTCCAGAAATACTACGGTACATTTCCTCCCCTCGCTTTCTCCCCCGACATCCAATGCTACCAAGCTTGATGTGATATAACGACGGAATTCGATTGAATCTATACCCTCTCGATGCGCTTTGCCGTCCAATACCGCGATTGGGAACATAGGATTATCGAGCGAGACCCACGATCAGGGCTAATATTGTCGAACAGAGATCAACGCAAACCGCTACAAGTACTTCCGCTGGACCCCGCGCCATGCCTGGTTCTCGTTCCTCTACATGGCTTTGATTCCCGGAACGCTGGGCTACATTGCCTACAACACTGAGGTGGGTTTGATTCAGGTTCCCTCGGCGAACTGCGGAATGAATGGGCTTCGGACTGACGGGTTTTTCCTTGTTACAGGGCAAGTACGATTTCCGTGGGAAGAAGAGAGGAGACACGATTGAGGAGTTCTGATTTCTCGTTGTTTTGCGCTCGATCGGTTTGAGGGTGGATGAAAATGAAGGGTTTGTCGATTATGACGACACACCCATCGCTAGATGTGTATTTATTACGGAATATACCGCCTCTTGTTTCTTTTTCCTTCTCGGTACTTGGTTGCATTGTAGGCTAGGAGCTTGGGTTGTGCGTTTGCGGTACTTCCAGTGTATATGGATTCTGTTGTGTAGCATATGTGCGGATATATATACACACATATATCTGGAGTGAGATATGTCTCCCAATTGAAGCATTGCACTACACATTCAGAAAAGAAGAGCACCGACCCATAGACCAGATAGCAGCTATATTTTCAGTACCGGGTATCCCTCGGGATCACAACTCCAGAAACTAATACAATCCGAGATCGTTAGACAGAAAACAGAAAGAGATTCAATTAATAAGGACCCCATCCTCTCCTCCCGCGTCCCCCTCCTTCCGGTAGCCTCTCTCCCCGTCGCCAATCGCCTGCAGGAATGCGCTCGCCGCCACCTCGACCTCCCCGGCCTGGCCGCCCTGCGAATCCATTATCGCGGAATGCTCTCATGCCACCCCCAACAGCTGAGCCGATGGACCCCCTCCCGGACGTGATCGGTGGTGCTACCGACCCGTCCTCCAGTGGTGGCAGAATCGCACAATCTACATAGTCTCCGATCACGAATCGTACGTCTTGTAGCGTTTTGTCGGCGTCGTGGCCCTGTAGTCGTAGGGGACCGGCCCGGGGTCCCGCAGGAGCGCTGTTCTCTTCGTCGTTTTCATCACGGTACGGGCTGTCCCTTGGTCCGACCACCACACTGCCCATGTCCTTGCTTAGGTATCGGCCGCGCGCCTCGGGCCCCATCGTCGCAGCGGTCTTTGTGTCGGGGTAGATGAGGCGGAAGCATAGTCTTGTGCCCACGGGCGGGTCTGGTAGTAGCGACGGCAAGGCGGAGGTGAGGAGCTGTGACAACTCGCGCAGCGAGCAGGACTGCCAGGTGTAGATTTGAAGGTGGGCAGGGAGCGGCGGCGGCGGGGGAGGGGAGCGCGCCCGGATGGCATTGGGACCGCTGACAGGACCACTGTACGATGCAGGCGATGACTGGGGAGCAAAGTCGGACAGGTGGTGGAAGTTGTTCACGCGGTAGAAAAGCTTCAGATGGAAGGGCGTTGTGGACTGACGGTCGATTTGGGGTTTCGGCGCATCTCGAGCGGCGGCCATGATGCCGTTTGTCTGTGGTTTGAAGGACGGTACAATTGGTCGTTCAAGGAGGGCTCAAATAAGATGTGGAGATAGTGTTCTTGCGAATGGGTCTATTGCGTCACGGGCATCAACGGGAGACAACAATGAGGGATTATAAACGGAGGGATTGAATGTTCAACGGAAGTGTTGCGGTTGAAACGGAGAGCTCTGGTTTTGTCCCGAGAGTTAAGCTCGACCGCCGGAGGAGCTTTAGTCTAGCCTTTCCTCGCGACCCTCCGCCCGAGAATCAACTTTTGCCGCTTCCTCCCAACCAACTCGCGCTGTTGTCCGTCACGGAACTCTACTACGATCTCGCTCCCTTTCCATATTTCATCTAAATCGTTTATGGCTGGCTTTTGTCCGTATCGGCAGTCAGCAACATGGATTTCGCGGCGTTAATGTCCAAGGAGATCTCCAAAGCCAAAAACGGCGGATCGTCGTCATCAGACCAAAAAGATACATCGAAACCTCCGGAGAAGAAATACGTTCGCCGCAGTGAATTAGAAGCAGCTCGAATTGCCGCCTACAATGAAGAGCAGGAGCGGGCGCAACGCGAACGAGACGAGCGCATGGCTCAGAAGCGCAAACTGGACGAGGAAGAGGCCGAACGGCGCCAGGAGCGAGAAGAGAAAAAACGACGACTAGCAGAAGAGTCACGAAAGAAGAGAGAAGAAGAAGAGACGGCCAAGGAGCGAGAGCGACGGAAGCGGTTGGGATTGCCTGAGTTGCCCCCTGCCAGCGAAAAGGATGAGGACAAGGATGAAGAGGAAGACATCCCAGACGAGGAACTGGTTGCGAAGTTGCGTGAGCTGGATGAACCGGCTCGGTTGTTCGGAGAGACACATCGCAGTCGTTTACGGCGGTATCATCGACTCGTACAGCGTTCGCTCACCCCTCAACAGCAGTTGTCGGATGGGCCTATTCCCACGACGCTGGAACTGGTCTCCGAGAAGGATATGAAGATTTCCACGACACTCCCTAAGGATACAGAAGGCCGCAAGTATCTGTTCCGCCAGCTGGCTTCGTATTTCAACATGGTGCTAGGGGAATGGGAGCTTGCATTGGCGAAGCGAGATATATCTGTCAAGCAAAGTCTCCAGGGACGACAAGCCTACAATGCAATGGTCCAGTCGAGGGAGAATATGAAGCCGCTGTTCCGAAAGTTCGAGAAGGTGGATGTTGATGATAGCGTGCTGGAGCATGTTGTCGAAATCGTCCACAAGGCCCAGCTGCGGAGATATGTAGATGCAAACGATGCCTATCTACGATTGAGTATTGGAAAGGCGTACGTGTTGACCCACTAAACTATTTTTTATACCTTGAGATAACTAACGGTGTACAGAGCATGGCCCATTGGTGTTACCATGGTTGGTATCCACGAGCGATCAGCCCGAGAAAAGCTACACCAGAGCGACCAGCAGGCTCATATTCTAAGTGATGAGATCACTCGCAAGTACCTGCAAAGCATTAAACGATGCTTGAGCTTTGCGCAAACTCGGTGGCCTCCAGACGACCAGCTACAGATCATGGGTTAGAGATATGACGTTATTCTGCTCGACCTTCGCGCGTAGTTAGTGTACAATAATGATGATGAGATTATATACCCTGTTGCACGTATACAGAGCATAACTTCTGTGAACATGTGTGGCCCTTGAGGCGTGTAAGAGTGCCAAATGTAATCGATTCTTATACAGTATAAACGTCTCGTACATCCCTTCTAGAATCTATGTGTTGTGCATGTAGAGGAAAGGAGATAAAAACATTGTGTCGTTACCAGATTGTTGTTAGAACTTTCCAAATGCTTCCAAGCAGACCTGACTTCTCAGACATAGGGTACTCCGTCCGGCAGCTATCAATCTTATCGAGTTGGATCCTGTGATTTCCGTTTTCGTAAATATCGTGGCCATCGATGCCCTGCATCACCCCTGGGGATGATCCCTGTGATCGAGTAGAGGCCACTGCTTTAGTCCCTGCCTTGTTTTCCCCAGTATATGTACGGATCAGTTTGCCTGCTGTTTGAGCACAGCTGCCATGTGCAAACCGAATGAGAGTGTCGCCCGTCAAACTGCCAACGATGAAGATATTATTCGCAATTTCCATGTTTTCAAATGCCTTCTGTCGCAGGGTTTGCCCAGAGACGGTTGGGGTTATTTCGCCTTTATCATCACATTCCAAGATCTCGGAGAGGAGCCCACGGTCCAGGTAACCAAGAGAGCCTCGGCGACCAGTCGCGTACACCATGCCGCGTACAGGTTGCGAAAAAGTGGTTCCATCAGTTCGGCGGAAGGTAACCGTAGCGAATTCCTTCTCCATGTCCACGCCGATGATTTCGGTGTTCGGATATCCTTTATAAACCTCATCCCAAGCACGGCTTTCGAGAAACGGGCTTGATGCCGTCCGCTTCACTCTGGCAGGACGCTTATTTGTGGTTGGCGCTGCCGCAACAGCCGCTCGTTTCATCAAACGGTAGACCCCCGCGTACTCGGGGTAGGCTTGTTGGTGGCAGCCCCGCAGGGGAGAGGGCCGGGATTCAGGATCCCATTTGAATACATGAATGATCTTCTGATCTTTTGGTGCTGAGATAATTACATCTGCAGCTGAAAACCCAGACCCAATAATGAGAAGAGGGATATCTGGGACTGGTTGAAGCGACAGGAGAGGCTGGAGCAGCGGACGAGGCTTTATCACTTCGGAAAAGATGCCGCTCGCTAAGACCAAGTTTTTGCAACGGATATTGTGTGACTCAATGAAAAAGCCATTCTCTGTTCTGGAAATACCGGCCAGGGTTTCATTGCTCTTGAAAACATCCGCAATCCCAACTGCTTCCGGATACATCCGAAAATATTCCGCCGTTTCCTGTCTACTGGGCCGGGTGAAAGCAGGGAGATCTTGGCCTGTGACTTTCCGGTAATGTTCCGCGAAGGAATAACCCGGAAGAGATAACATGGATGCATAGCTCAAAGTCTGAATGTCCCAACTAGCAGGGACAAGATTTTCGGTCCATTGCCCACCAGGCCGTGGCGCATTCCCGAAAACCAAATGAGGAACCGCTTTTTCAGGCACATATCGCCATTCGATATTTGAAATGCTTCCCAGTTCTTCCACATCGATACTGGGGCGGAAGAGGGTGTCAAATAAGACATTGATCGGCAGAGCTTGAGTGGAGTAGCTCAGCGGGAAGCGGCAAAATGCTCCGTCAGAGCATCGACATCAGCATCCAGCAACGCCGGGTGATCTTTGAGCTTGGCGTGGAGAAGAGGATCAGGATGTGGAGGATTGGGGGAATAATACGGGACGTGACCGTGCAGGATAAAGGACAGGATCATGGCCGACGGCCCATTTCCTGTGGCAGTTTACAGGTCAATCACGGCGCCCATTGGCAGAAATAGCCTTCAAGGAGTATGGCGACATACCGATTATAATGGTGTCAGTGTCCATTGAAGGCAATCTGTGAGCCTCCGGCCGCCCGGTCAGCGCGGAGCATTCTCGACGGGACATGCGATATGAGTGGCAGAAGCCCAGAGGGACAGTGCTTTCAATCGGTGGGTCTAGATGATGATGATGACGGCGCCACTACCTTCCTGTGAAGGACATGAAGCCGCTAGGCCATCGAAAGAGGTTACATCTGAGATGGCAGAAAATGCTGCAAGAAGATGGCGTGAGAGGCGCACATTGAGCGGATCACAAAAGTAAAGCCAGTCGCTGACAAAACTCTGGTCTAGCTTAGCAATCCTGTCCCGATTATGGTCCGAACGGCGGCGTGGGGTGAACTATGGAAATTAAGCTTGGTTCCAGTCGCCTAGACCGGTGGCAGTCGGCGGGACATTCATCTCGTATCAAAGTACAAGTACATCAATCCACTTTTCCCCCCTCCCAATCTTTGATAGAGTTGAGATAAATCTCATTCAACCAGGGTCACGAAATGACCTTTTTGCACCCAGGGGCGATAAAAGAGGCCTCACCCATGGTAGCGTAATGGTTCAGTGAAATCATCGAGGGAATCCACCGGGGAAAACAATACCCAATTCTATCATAATCATGAAAAAGGCGGCGACCCTCCGGCTGCGGGGTAGCCGTACTAGGATATTTAGGGCATAGGGTGAGGGGCTTTGGCAGCCCTGTGCCCTACCTTCCGAAAGGAGCCAAGGCTGACGCGTTGGACGGAAGAGCAGACGGGTGAATGATCGTCACCAGAGGCAGAACGAGCAGAAAGAAAGCGAGAAGTGAAGGGCTAGGGAATCAGAGGCAAGTTGCGCTGCCATGATTCTGTTATTCCGACTCTCGTTACGCCCGTTCTGATACCAGGAGTTGGCTCCGGCCTCCGCCGACTTGCAACGATGTACCATCTAGCTAAGTCGTTGTATATGTACGCTACGAGCAAAGAGGGTAAGAGAACGCGCTGCGAGGTCAGATGCAGAGTTGCGTACTGATGATTTACCATGTAGAGTACTCGGTCCTCCTTCTCGGGCTAGATAACGCTGGCAAAACTACGCTCCTCTCTCAGATCAAGGCCCTCTACCAACCCCGTCCCGATGGCGCCCCTGCTCCGAACCCCGGCAAGACCGTGCCTACAGTCGGCCAAAATGTCGCAACCATCAACCTCCCGGAAATGTACCTGAAGATCTGGGATGTTGGGGGTCAGTTAACGATGAGAAATCTATGGCAAAGCTACTACTCAAGCTGTCATGCAATCATCTTCGTCGTCGACAGCACCGACGTCGGTCAGGACCCAGATATCGCCCGTCTCCCTTCGAATCGGCGATCCAGTTCTGCATCGGGCCCTTCGGGGAGTGCCTCCGATGCGTTCACCGAACAGACAGTAGGCATCAATGCGCCTGGGAGTGACTTTGGTCGGCTCGATGAGTGTCGTGAGGTGTTAGAATCAGTCTTAAAGAACTCGGATGTGGCCGGAGTACCGATTCTGGTCCTAGCAAATAAACAAGATCGAGAAGACTCGGTAGAAGTTGTTCGCATCAAGGAGGGATTTGTGCGCAAGGTCTTCGAGGGAGAATCTGGAGGCGCAATGCGCGACAGTCGCGTCTTACCGATCAGTGCGCTCCTGGGCTCAGGAGTCCAGGAAGCTGTGGAGTGGGTTCAAACCCGAGTCAAATGGAATAAGGAGGGAAGGCCTCCGGTGATGAGGTGATACGTCATGCCAAATATGGGGAGCTCCACGTTAGACCGGAGCGGAGATCGCTCCCCGTACCTGGCTGAATTCGTGAGACGGTCAGGAACAGGTGCCTCTAGATTTTGCTCGGTGCCCTTGATATTAGATCTGATTGGATTGGGGCTTGTTAATGGCGTAGAGAGGATTGTTCACACGCAAAGATACCTTAGTTTAATCGTTTAATTTTCTTCATGTGCTATATATTCTGTATGGAATCTACTTTTCAATGACACAATGTTTCACGCAGCCGATGTCTCCCATGGGCCATCTGCACAAGCTACTGTCTCGGCACAGTTTCAAGACGTCTGATGAAGTCATATGTTTGTGATCAATGCATCTGGATGTTGTGAGTAAATGCCCTTCAATCGGCACTATATACACAGTAACTTCGCTGAAGTCGCGCGATCATCTCCACAGCTGAGCCCACCGTGTTAAACATAGCAACGTCATGTTGCGAGAATTTACAGGGAAGAGCAACAGTGGTGTGCGACACCCTAGACCCATTGTTTGATAGAAGATAATCATGGACATCGATGGTGGTGAGTTAAGTATGAAGTCAACCTCCATCAGCCTTGACGTCATAGGGTTGCTAGTATGCAACAACCGACTTGTATCTAGCCATTCGAAGGGTTATAAGGAAGAGCGTATTGGCTGTAGAAGGCTTTGTCCCATAGGAAACAAAACAATCACTGCCAAATCTTTAGCTCTTCTCATTATCACGACTCGAATTACTCCACACAATTTCCAAAGACCACATCCAAGACCTTCAGTATGAGCACTCTCGACAAGATCCACTCCGACAACAACCCTAAGCAGGGTTTCCATCCTAGCGCTGGCAACTCTAAACCTCTCACAGACAAGGGCGTATGTGCACCTGAGCTCGATATCTTCCAAGGCCATTGGCTAATCGTTCAAAACAGCATCAACCCGGTCGCAAGGTATCTCCTAAGGACTATGCCCCTGAATTCCACGCAGAGACATACCCTCCTGGAACTGCTCCCGCTTCCAACTCTTACACCCCCAACACCCAGTTGGAGGTGGGAAGCCAGGCTCAGAGTCCTAATGTTGAGCACGGGAAGGGGTCCGTAAAAACACCTGCGGAACAGAGTTTACAGGGAGCTACCTCTCAGGATGTGCACACCGGTCTAGGCCACCCTGGAGGCGGCCAAACGAGCGCAGAACTTCGCCATGACGGACAAACACACCGGAAGAACCCTGGTGGTGGCCTCGAGAGTGTCGGAGCAAACAGGGAGCCCGGCTTAGAACGCGAGATTCCCGGCCTGCGCGGACTTGGGCGTGAGGAAGCGCAGAGAAGCCAGCGTGGAGATAAGGGTGCGTTGGCTGCTGAAGACAGGCAGCCCGAGTCTGCGGAGACGCTGGACGCGGAATGGAAGTACGAGCCTCAGACCCAGAGACAGAGATTGCAGTCTTAGAAACACCAGTTGGTATAATATCTTATATTATGTACTATAAATTATGAGGAACATGGGTATCACAGTGTTAATTTGAGCGAATGAAAAACCAGATTGGAAGTCATCACATGTCGCGCAAAGGAATCGTAACAGAAGTGTTATTTGGGTCAAGTCGTCGAGCCGATGCGATGTGGGCCATTTCTGGTTGAGTCGGCGGTTTCCTTCTGTTTCAGCTTCTTTGGCCAACTGCGGGCAATATCGATATTCGCGCGGGGGAACCACATCTCTAGAAAGACGTAGATTAAGACATCAATGACCACGCAAAGACAAAACAATTTGCCTGCCCACACCCCGCAACCGTAGTACCGCTTCAGTCGGTCAATGAGGGCAAAGCTCCGTACCCTATCACCACTCGCTTCCCAACCTTGGCCAGGATAATAACCATAAAACTCTTCAGGGCTTATGTCGCCCTGGATTCCATTGTACACACGTTCTGTGCGCTCTGCCACATCGGTCCAGGAGTACATCATCTTCACCTGATCGTGAAATCGATCAGTCCTTACTTTGTTGGAGCGCAACGCGGCTATGGCCTTGCTAGTAGCCATGACCAGATCATCTTCTTCCGGCTTAGCGAAAGTGGTCATATGCTGGGGGAGCACTTCTGGAATGCCACCGACCCGCGTACACACCACATAGAGGCCACAGCTAGCGGCTTCCACAAGAACTGTCCCGAAGGCTTCGGTTAAACTTGGGTGTAGATAGATGTGACCTCGGACCATAACATCTCGAACTTCTTCGTGACGAACGGGACCGAGCATCTCTACTTTGTCTTGCAGTACGTTGCGCTCTAACATCTGCTCTAGGTCGATGGCCTTGGGCCCTGACCCGGCGATGATGAACCGCACATTCGGATGGGACGAAAGTATTCTGGGAATCGTAGCAATCAACAGATCAGTTCCCTTGTTATAGAATAAGCGCGAGATCACGACGATAGTGATAATATCATTCGGCCCAATTGGTCTCGGCGACCCCTCTTGCTCTAGAGGTCGGAAGTTTTCCGCGACAACCGCATTGGGGATTACAGAGACCATTAGCGGGTCTAAGGATGCTCGAAGAACCGTATTCTCTTTACTATGTCGCAAAGTCAGCAGATAGTTCTCTGATTTCTATTCTGGTGCCATCGGCATCAGCTGGGATGACCGCGGGGTAGACTATCAACTGTAGTCATCTCAACCGCTTGTTCTTACCATGTATGGCTGACACAGATGACATGGTCCACATCACTCAGCGTAAACTTGAGCAGTTTATTGGTAAGAATTGATCCTGCGTCCGCGAACCCAAATAGCGAATGATCGGTAAAGACTGTCCGTAGACCCATCGTCCGGGCATGCAGGATAGCTTCATGGCAGAAGCTGCTCAAGCTTGCGTGCCCATGAACGATCTGAATCTGCTCGCGGATGACAATGTTGCGAAAGATAGGAAAGAATGAAAAAACAGTTGGCATAGTCGATTCACGGTATATGACGAGAAATGGGACATGGTATACTTTGAGGCCATTTGTAAGATATCGAACTCCCGTGCGACCCTTGTACGCATGGGTAATGATAATGACTTTGTGGCCACGGTCGATGAGCTTCTGAGGGCCGATGAGTATCCATCTGGACAAAGATAGTAGGATATCTTACGGTCGACAACTGGTAAATGTGACTTTCAATCCCACCTGGTTGTGGGAAGAAAAAGTCACTGACCATACTGCGCAGAAAGCTGTTAGATAAGATCACCTGGCCCAGACGATGCGACGAGACTCACGCAATGTTGTAAGGCATTTTTGGCTATTTCTTTAGCTTGGAAGCCCAGAAATCATCAATGGAGCATAATACACTGTTCTGTCCATGTCCGGACTCTATCAGTTTAAAAATAGGATGTAATTTATGTCCAGGGGTATAATCGCCATCTCTGGAGCATGCGGTCGATTGCGCCGGAGCGGATCGACCAATGTTATCTCCCAAATGGTCCAGGCCCTGGCGGCACTTTTGGCGGTGTGGATATTCTGCCGACGGAATAATCCCCGCTAGAAAGAAATATTTCGGAGAATCTCTTTCGTAGCACCGAGAAGTACTGTTGATCGATAGCATTTTGCGCTGGTGGTGCGCTGACACGCTCGACAATGGCCGGTGACCACTCTGCGCATGATGTATCTTCAAAGAAAAGTTCATCGACACCCTTGAGTGCGAAGAAATCTCACAAGAGGAAGAGAGATCCTGATGGCGCCGTCGTCACTACCTCGACCCCAACGCCGACCAAGAAGCCGAAGAAAACCCAGAGCCCTTCGTCCACCCCTACACCACTCAAAGAAAGCCGGAAAAAGAAAAGAAAATCCGAATCAGCTGCCAGTGGTGCTGTTCAAGAAGAATCGTCCCAGGAAGAGAGTGCTGTCTCGCCGGTCAGCCGTAAAAAGGCTTCTTCAAGTAAAAATGACAGCAAGGATAAAACAAAAAAGAAATCAAAGAAGGTTAAACGAGAAAGCTCACGAGACAACAATGATTCGTCTGAGGATGCTGCAGATATAGAAGAACCGAACAGTGACCAGGAACGCAATGTGAAAAAACACGTGAATTCGAAGGATATGGACGCCATGTCAGAGGAGGAAGATAACGCAAAGCCGCAAAAGAACAAATACTCGGGAATCTTGTCTAAATTTGAAAAGGCAGTTAAAGCGGCGGAATCGGCCAAGGCGAAATCTGGCGAAGAGGATGGCGACAATGAGTCTACTGGACCTGTAACTGCGGAACCTGTTATAGCTCAGGGCCTGGAGCCGTTGCCTCAGCCAGAAGCAGCCCCCGAGCAGGATGAGAAGCCAAGCTATTCCTCCCTTCCGTCGTGGCTTGCCAACCCTTTAAGGACTTCCGCCGAAGAACGAACCCCGTTTTCAAGCCTAGGGATCGAGGAGAATGTCCTACGCATTCTTGAAAGCAATGGGTACAAGGAAGCGTTTGCCGTCCAGTCCACTGTGATTCCGTTACTCTTGCAGGGATCTAAGAATCACCCAGGAGATGTATGTATTTCTGCGGCCACCGGTTCGGGAAAGACATTGTCATACGTCCTACCCATGGTTACCGCTCTGGAGCAAGTCCCTGCTCCTAGGCTAAGGGGCCTCATTGTCGTGCCCACAAGGGAACTAGTTAAACAAGCTCGGGAGGCCTGCGAGCTTTGCGCCGCTGGGTCTGGACTTCGTGTCGCTTCCGCTGTGGGAAATGTGGCCATCAAAGAAGAGCAGCGTTCATTAATGCGCGATGATGAAGTCTATGGCCCGGAGAACTTTAAACTGCGACAACAGGATAAATTAACGGACAATGACTGGTTGAACTTTAGTCTACAAGACTATATTTCAGATGCGGGAGATCAAAGTGAATCGTTGCCGGGCTATATTCGCAAGGCAGAGCCCAATGTTGATGTTCTGATATGTACCCCAGGTCGTCTCGTCGACCATATCCGGTATACTAAAGGTTTCACCTTGAAGCATCTTGAGTGGCTCGTCATTGATGAAGCCGATCGACTGCTCAACGAAAGCTTCCAGGAATGGGTTGATGTTGTAATGAACTCTCTAGACGCAAGAAAGGGTGCGGGAACTTTTGGGTTTAGCGGAAAGTTTCTCGCCAATCTTGGGCTTCCGATACAAACTAAAGACCCGAGAAAGGTGATTCTCAGTGCCACCATGACGAAGGATATCTCGAAGTTGAACTCTCTACGGCTTTCGAATCCTAAGCTGGTTATTGTTGGTTCAGCTGAACAAACCACATCCCAGGAGGATGAAACTGGTATTCGTGATGGCGCTGGCGATCAGTACACTCTGCCGCCTAGACTGAAGGAGTGCTCTCTTTCGGTTGGAGACGGGTCGCAGAAGCCACTTTATCTCCTGCGTCTCCTCCTGTCGCACATTAAGGTGGATGTTAATAGGAACGCAAAGCGTGTTTTGACAAACACGTCCGATTCAGATGATACTAGTTCTGAGGGTTCGGCTTCTGAGGAATCTAGCTCTGAAGAATCGGACTCGGATTCGACCTCCGATCCAGAAAGCTCTGATTCAGACACCGACTCCGAGACTTCTAGCTCGGACGAATCGAGCTCGGACGAATCAGCGTCTGACTCTTCCAGTGACGACAGCTCATCGTCGAGTGATAGTTCCGATTCCGAAGATAGTTCAACATCTGAAGATGAACTATCCGTGGACATCAAGGCAGACAATAGTCGCCCGCGAGCCTCTGTTTTGGTCTTTACCAAGTCATCCGAATCCGCCTCGCGACTTGCGCGTTTGCTTGCCTTGCTTGATCCATCCTTGGCCAAGGAGATTGGAACGATCATCAAGTCGAATAAGTCATCAGCCTCCCGGAAAACGCTCACTGCTTACCGTCAAGGGAAGATTTCGATCATCATTGCTACCGATCGGGCATCTCGTGGTCTTGACTTGCAATCCTTGACTCATGTTGTCAACTATGATGTGCCAACAAGCATTACTACCTACGTGCACCGTGTCGGTCGTACCGCGAGAGCTGGCAGGGAGGGATCTGCCTGGACCCTTGTTGCCCATCGGGAAGGCCGGTGGTTCACGAAGGAGATCATCCAAACATCTGACAATAGAATTACCAGGTCTTCTAAGGTACAAAAAGTGGCCATGAAGCTTGACAACATGAAGGATGTCAAATTGAGGTACAGACAAGCGCTGGATACACTCGAGCAGGAGGTGAAAACAGGGGGAACAGGGAAAGCTTCACGGACAGAAAAGTGAACAATCGCGCTGCAAAGTGCTGTTAGTAAATACTATATTATATGCGCATACCCCTTCTGACTCAAGACTTCATATCTCCTACATGACCACAGCGTTGACTAGTAGAGTAAATTTCGATCTGAATGCATATATTCCTGTAAGTACGGGGCTGGCACAATCGACTATAGCTCTTTTAAGGACAGCCACACGGCTATGTAATGAGGGTACTAAGCAGTTGCTTAGGAAGTACCTCAAGCTACTAAACGCTCCTTTGCTTTGTGCGCATTCATGATCCCGTCCACATATTTACGAGACTATACAAGAGAATAAGAGTAGTGTGTCAGAGACCTCAGAATAATGCTCAGGAAGGTCAAGTATAATGTTTGGATCGAAATGTACTCAGATGCTAATGGTATGCGCTACAATCAACTCGACTCTATCGGCTACTTCTGCGGCATCCTGTAGTAGCCCTAGATGGCCTACTCCACGCCCTACTCTGACCCGGAAAGCCGGGCCTCACTGCCGATACTTCACTTGCGATAGTAGTCCAGGGCGCAAAATAGACCCCGTAATTCTCCACTTCTCCCCACGGGATTAAAGGATCAGCCAGTTCTACTGCTTGAACTTGAGTTTCCTCCGTAGAAGCGAGGACAAGTCTTGAGCCAATCCCCAAGCCATGCCTATCCCTTGGCATTAGGGCTCGGCAGCATCGCCGTCGGGTAAAGCTCGGGAAAACTGACTGGCGTGGCAGATGGACCATCAATCCTGATTCCTGACATCGGCTCGGTTCTTGTCCCCGCAAATTACCCCGGGGAGGAAGAAACCGTGGAGAAGGCTAGGAGTACACCGGCTTGGCTCTAGTGGCAGGAATTTGGACCGAATCGAGGGCGTTTCAAGCATAGCATCTGGTGCCTCGAGTTTCCGTTTTGGCAAGAAATTATGGGCAGTCTGTTTAACAGAAGTATAGAGCAGCTACCTGCTGCATCTTCCAAAGGTCGCTTTGACACCTCCTGTTGCCGTATGATCCATTGGACGGCTCTTACATTTCATCATGGCTGAACCTGCAAAACTTCGGTTGTGCGAAAGTCGACCCCGAGTGTTCATTGTCTCCGATATCTCGAACGAGCCAGACGACGATGAGTCTCTCGTCCGGTACCTTCTCTATAGCAATGAATTCGACACCCGAGGGATAGTGGCGTGTACATCATGCTGGCTGAGACAGAAGGTTTCCCCGGAAAGCATGGAGAGAATTGTAAATGCCTATGCAAAGGTCGTCGACAATCTCAATGCCCACGTTCATCCGAGCAACCCATATCCCAGCCCAGAATATCTGCTTTCCATCATTAAGAGCGGTCCTCCGGTTTATGGCCGTGCTGCGCTCGCACCCGGTGTGCCGCTCAGCTCCGGCGCAGAGCTTCTAGTCGAGCAGCTGAAGGCTTCAGAAGAGCCTCTCTGGGTAATTTCGTGGGGAGGCGCGAATGTCCTTGCGCAGGCGCTTCAGCATATACACCAAACATGTTCGGCGACCGAGAGCGCGGCACTACGATCGAGACTGAGAGTGTACACCATATCCGACCAGGACGACACAGGGATGTGGATTCGAGTCACATACCCGGATATTTTCTACATCTGCTCCGTACACGCCTGGAAGGAGTACGGCATGGCGGCGTGGATCGGCATATCTGGGGATGCGCTTGTACCGTTCGATGAAGGGGGACCGGACGTCACCAAGGTGAAGAAAGAGTGGCTTCGAGAACACATTCAGATCGGGCCCTTGGGGCAAGCATACCCAACGTACTCTTTTATTATGGAGGGCGATACACCGACATTCCTATATCTTATTCAGAACGGGCTGGGTTCCCCAGAGCACCCGGAATGGGGGAGCTGGGGAGGCCGTTACGCTCTCGGCGATATTGGAGGCGCTTCAAAGCATTACGCCGATGCCCGTGACACAGTTGTCGGCAAAGACGGGAAATCCCATACCAGCAACCAAGCAACCATCTGGCGCTGGAGGGATCATTTTCAGGATGACTTTGCGGCACGTATGCAGTGGAGTTTGGGGAGTGACAGATCAAAAGCCAACCATGCCCCTGTTGCTATCGTGAACAAAAGCAATGCGGGACCCAAGCCATTGCTTCTAGAGCCTGTCGCGGGCGCGAAGTTCTTCTGGATGCATCGCAGAGTTACGATCCAGATGGCGATGAGCTCACATTCACCTGGTTCTTTTACAAAGAGGTGACCTCGGCACAACAAGACATTCAGTGGATAGTCCCAGATCTGCAATGGGACGTCGTTGAGGACGCTCAGAAGCCTAGAGGAAGTGTCATTCGTGTGAAGATTCCTCCACCGGCGGAGTGTGCAGTTGATCTCGTCAATGGCCAGGCCGTGGAGAAGGGCCAGGCTTTCCATCTCATACTTCAGCTGCAAGACAACGGAGTCCCCAGAATGACGACTTATAAGAGGGTTATACTCCAAACGACGAACCCTGAGCTGCTGGGCGGAACTGGGAAGGTCTTTTCTACATTCACTGAAGTTGTGGAGTCTCGTGGAGATATATAGTTGGGTAGATAAAAAGACGGATAAGAGATTGCAAATAATGAGTCCTAATCTTGTTAGTCCCTTTGATGAATATGGACTTATTGATGATGTTGGCGAGTTATAATAGACATGTGTTGTTTGACGGCTGATATAGAGCAAAGACTAAGCTACCCTACTGTTTTTGCCATACAATGCGCGATAATATCCGCAGTATCACACATAGGTGCATGTCTATCACTGCTATAAGGCAGCTTGCACGTAGGGAGAAGGCTTTCTTTCCATTTTCCGAATCTGAACCTCGACACGTTTGGAACTCGTTAGCCGGCAACAAATCTCCAATCCTCGAAAGGCTATCGTAAACCATCGTTCACTATACCTAAACCAGTATGGCGAATCACTTCACAAATTCATGTTTTCGGTTTTTGTCTCTTCTAATTCTCCTTTTCGAGCTTGGTGGCTTAAGGTAGTGGGTCTTTCCCATCGGTTCCAGACACGGCAGTCCTAAGCGTCCAGCTCCCTTCCCCAGATTCTCCCCCGGGCTTCTCCAGAGTCCCGCCATTTGATATAATATGGAGTGGCCTCTAGTATTTACGATGATTATCACCTACCACCTCTGCTTGTCGTCTTTTCAATTGCATATCTACCCTCATGTCGGAGACGGTTGCGGTCGAGAAAGACCTCGCCAGCCATATCGAAACTATCCCGGGGAACAATGAAGCTGTCTCAAGCAATGAGAACTCCACTTTGAAGGAACTATGGCAGAACAGGAGGGTGCTGTTGTGGTGTATGTGTGAACCTCTTCGGCTGTATCTGAGTAGAGCAGTCCCGGATGAGATCGAAGAGTCGCTAACATAGTATACAGGCCTTCTCATCTTCCTGCTTCCGGTCAACTTCGGATACGAAAATGCGATGATTGGAAACCTGTTTGCGTCTCGTGCCTTTCAGCTACGATTCGGGGTGGAGGTCAATGGCAGTTGGGCTGTCGCGGCTCGCGATCAACAGATCCTCAATGCAGCTCCCACTATTGGTCTCTTTGCGTCGGCGCTTGCCACTGGCTACCTTTCAGACTTCCTCGGCAGAAAGAAAGTGGTCATCCTGGCCTGTATAATTTGCGTCGGTGGTGTCATCCTCCAATACTTCAGTGAGACGGTGATGATGCTTTTCGGTGGGAAACTGGTTGCATGCTTTGGATTCGGCCTGGGACATTCCCTCGGCCCCGTCTGGGTTGCAGAATTAGCACCAAACTCGATTCGCGGTATCTGTCTTGCTCTAATCGTCAGTACCCATTCATGCAGAAGAATTCGCCTGGTCACTAACCTGTGCTAGAACACCATGATTGTCATAGGGCAGTGGCTGTCTTCTCTCTGCATCTACGCCGCCTCGTTCCGAGACAACGATCTCGCCTGGCGGATCCCCCTGATCACCCAGATAATCATGCCAGGTCTCCTATTCATCATCGGCGTCCCTCTGCTCCCAGAGTCGCCAACCTGGCTTCTAATGCGGGGCCGAGATGAAGAAGCACACAAGGCTCTCAAAAGATTCAACGGCCCGAGGTTCGACGCCGACAGTGCGCTGCAGATCATGCGCAACGCCTTGGAGATGGAGAAGAGTGTGACGGAAGCACAAAGCTCCGCCAGCTATCTGGACTGCTTCCGGGGGCCCAACCTGCGCCGCACCACGATCATCTGCATGGTGTACCTTGCGCAGCAGTTCCTCGGTGTCAACTTCGTGTCCGGCTATCTGACCTACTACTTCGACCTCGCCGGCGTGGGCAACGCGCTGGCTGTCGCGCAGGGCGCCTACGCCATCCAGCTTTTCGGTAACATGTGCTCGTGGCCCTTGATCGAGCGCATTGGACGGCGTTCTATGCTGGTCTACGGCTCCACCATCATGACCGTCGGTCTCCTGGTTATCGGCTGCGTCAATATCAGGATCACCGACGCCTCGCTCAAGGCCACGGTTGCTCTGATGTGTCTCTGGGGTTGGCTGGTAAGTTACTCACCCATAGACTCCCCACAATACACTGAGACAAACCTAATAATCAATTTAAAATTTAGTACCAAGGATCCCTGGGTGCCGTTGCTTACGCCGTCGGTGGCGAGACCCCCACGCCCCGCTTGCGACAGAAGACCTATGCGATCAATATCATGAGTGCAACCGCCGTGTCCTGCATGGTCAACCAGGTCATCCCGTACCTGATCAATCCCGATAAAGCCAATTTAGGTGGCAAGATCGGGTTCATTTTCTTTGGCCCCTCCGTTCTGGTCTGCATCTATCTCTTCTTCTGTGTGCCTGAAATGCAAGGCCGCACGCCCGAGGAACTCGAAGAAATGTTCACTGTTGGTGTCCCGGCGAGGAAGTTCCAGACATATGTGTGTCAAGGCCAGCGGCTTGAGGAGAGAAAGGAGGATTTGGCATAGAGATGGTGCGTAGATACCTCTGGTGCTGCTGTGTATAGTACGAATATACCCCTTGTATATGTGATGAACTGGGTAGGAAAACAATCAAACAATCAGTCAGTTAAAATTCCACTAGCCAGCTAGATCCAAAGTACGGTATGGTTATATAACTGCGAATTGAACATGAGCGAGTAGTCCACTGCCAGACTCTGTAAGTTCCTCAAGAGTGGAGAATAAAAACATCCCCGATCCTAACAGACTACTCAGCTGGAGGCTTTCATGCAATGACTGCAGTACTACTCACATCCCGCAGACACTGTACGGACAAGCATGAGATGTCAGCAATTGGACCTGTAAATTTCGCAATGAAAGTTGTATCGGTCATGCTCCTCGGCATCTCGGGTGGCTCTTACTGAGCCTGATCCTGCATATTTTTATGAGGATCGGATAGAATGTGTCATACCAAAGCATAGCACAGGTTTACTGAAAACCATTACTTAGAGACATGAGAAGTCATATAAATTCATCAGTTTCGTCATATATAAACCCAAGCGCAGGGAGGGCCCTGCGTCAACCTCGATCAGGCATCAGCCATTCCTTTCCCCGATAGCCAACGGCATAAGAGGAATACTACTCGACTCTTTCTCTCCGACAGGATCAACAAGACAAATCGTGAGGTCGGCATCTCTCTTCTCTTCCGTAGGCGAGGAGGAAGAGTCCGACAGATTCTCGGCATTCTGTCTTCCAAGAACGAACCGCGAACCGGCGAAGAATTTGCGCCCACGAGCCGTGTCATTTGGATCCTCGGCTGGTTGGTACCAGTCCAAGAAATTCGAGTCTGCCAGCAAGCTCGCTACCGCTGCAATGCTGGACGGGCTCTTGGGTAAAATATGGTCCGTATTCACGAGGATGGAGCCTATAATTCCCAGAATAAGGATGGATACAAGCAGAGCGTCGAGGACTCTGGTTGAGGTGGCGTCTTGGATAAGTCGAAGACGGTTGTTAGTAAGAGTGACATTGCCTGGTAATGAGACACCCAGTGAAGCATTCGCCAGACGAGTCATTCCATTAAACTCCTGCGCCTTCATAATACCGTCTTGGAATTTGATAGCCTCAATCACATTCTCTATTTTGTCTGCATCGCCAAGATAATCCCGGGGGATGGCCCACCTTCCAGACACCAGTGCTTGGAAGAAAGAATCTAGGTTGGCTGCCGTCGAAGAGGTACTACTCCACGGCGAGTACGGTATATACTGGTCTTTCACCGTGCTGGCCGAAGACTCGTCTGGCACTGGGGGGTGATCGGCGGGGATATCGAAATCCGGGAGCTGAAAACGAGTCCAGGTATTGACTGTCTCGGCTACCGGGGCGCATGTCATGGCCGCTATGTTTGCGACTTTGCCGTTTCTAACCTCTCCCCAGAAATAACTCACTGGTAGGTTGGCACCACTGCTATTGGCATTATAGCACGGGCTTAAGATCGCGAGTCCAAAGTACCCTTCGGTCTCGAGTTCGAGCAGATCGCCGCTATTCTCTTGCCACCCTGTACCATTGCTCCATGGCGCGCAACCTATGCGGGGCGGCTCAATGTAGAGTACTTGAGATACCTTGGAATTAACACTGGTTTGTTCATCCGTGGCTGCTTGGAGTGTGTAGTTAACCTCGGAGCCTCTTTGCACAAGACAAGTTGGGGCTGTTCTCAGGGCAGGGACCCAAAGTTCGACGAAAGAGCTTTCGGGGAGATTTGTTCTGAGAGAAGCGTTCATTGAGAGCTTGGGGAATATAAGCCTCTCGTAGGTCCAGCGGGGGAAAGAAGTGCGGTTCCCCTGGATAATGTATTGAGCAGTGATAACGTTAGAATTGTCCAGGTCGGGACTAACGCTGGCGTTCCATATTGCAAAGCGGTGGAAGGTATCTTCCTGGGAGAAGTTTGTGCTGATGTATTGCGAGGTGTCCATCGCAGAGAACAGCCCGCTTGTTACAATCGATAAGAACGAGGTGATGAAGGCAGCGAGTGTTGCAGCCAGGACAGCAAAATGCCTGGTGCGGATCGAACGGATAACAGTAGTCACGCTCAGGGAATCTAGGAAGTTGACTGGCATACAGCTTTGGAACACTGCGCCAGAGGGCCGTTTCAGGCGGGCATATGGCGCCAGGATTCGGCTATTGAAGCTCATGCTCCGGAAAGAAAGACCGATGATCTCCATCAACAGCGACGGAAGAAGTGTCCAGGAATAATGCATATATTTATTGGTGGTGACATCTGCAAGCCCGTCGCGTGTCTCGGATATATGCAGAAGAACCTCTAGTACCACAAGGATCGATGCCACAGCGACAAAGATGGCGACGCGAAAAATGAAACTGGGAAATGGCTTGGAACCGGCGCTGGAACTAGGGCTGCTTTGTTTGTCAGTAGTGGAAATATCACTCTGGTCGTTGTCCACGGTCTCGATAGAGAACCCTTCTGCAGAGGTCCGTGAGCAATAGCGACTCTCCTTTAGACGATCTTCAAGGATATATAGCGGTGATGTACTAGTACCAGCGACATACTGGCGGAGAGATTTGCTGTTGGATATGATTGCCGCAATTGCAGAAATAGAATTCGGGTTCCAAGGAGTCGATGCTGTAGCCGTGGGCGAAGCCAAGAAGATTATAACAAGGGCCAACATTATTCCTAGCGCCAAGCAGACTTCCATCGCACGAAGTGGCAGCTCTGCCATGATGACACGGTGCTCAAGGACAACAGCCGAGCCAGTTGTCGTCGAGGACCGTTGTCGGGCGAGCCCATTGTTCATATACTGGGCAGCCATTGCGCGATAGTAGGCAGAAGCCACATAGTTAAGCACATCATCTTGGAAGAGAAGATCAATATTGCCGGTAGATCCTGCAAGCCACGCACCGATTTGTAGCGAATAATCCACACTCATTTTGTCGGGGGCAACGAAGGGGTTGTTATCTTCGATTGGCCTCCCAATGGTATGACCTTTCGGACCACTAAGGACACTATTCGCAATATCCCATGCCGCCAGGCCGGGAAGAGTCGAGTTCTTCGATCTTGTATCTTCGATCTGAACGTTTGACAAAGATACGGACGCATTGTTTGTAGCATTCACCTCCAGGAGAGAATATGTCGGTGTGCAGATCAACAGGACAGATTGATCAAGCACAATGTCACTCTTTTGGTGATACCCACGAGTATAATCGTCATAAGTGTCATTCGAAAACACCACGTTCTCCCGGATCTTAGCAATAGTAACCACAACACGCGTGCCGTCAGTTCCCTTCGAACCTACACATTGGCCCTGTTCAAACATCCCCACATAGGGATAGTATGCCCCATAACCGCCATCAATAGAAAAGTTTTCAATCTTGCAAGAAGGGGTGGCAATCTCGTTGGTCATGTTCTGGTGAGTGATGGTGAACTCGCCGTACGTCGACGTTACTCCTTCCACTTCCCATTTCGTAATAGTTATATTGGCAGGTTCACAGCTCAGTTGCGCCTCCATGCCGTCGATTTGGGCGGTCACGATTGCGTTCGAAGAAATGTTTGGAGCTGAAAATCGCTGAAAAGCAAGATTAGCGGTAGTTCCTTCAGGATAGCTTCCGTTATCGAAAAGGACACTATTCAGCGTATCGAATGGCGTCGCTCCTTCGGCATCGAGGGTAGGATTTTCACCACTAAAATAATCATACAGCAAAATTGGGACATGATCCTTCTGCACACCAATCTCTTGCAGCGAAAACAAACCAGTAGAGAAGATGATGAGAAGAGTAAGCAGCATCGAACCGGTAGCCCCGGCCGCCACTGCGAAGTGTCTGTTTCGGAGCGCCTGGATCGCAGCAAATGGCTGCATTGGTGTAATATAGTCCAGGAGAATGCTTCTTTCTGCCACTTCTGGCTTCTCTTGCAAGGATTGCCATGGGGCGTGTTGTTTTACCTGGAATTCCACTCGGGACCAGAACGCAGCCACCATGGTAAGGATAGCGGTAGGGCCATAGGTCCACAGGTAGTGGCGACCTTCAACGGATGAAGCGATGCCATAATTGACTTGAGATATACGATTGAGCACCTCGAGGGCTGCGATTATCCCACAGAATATCACCACGAATGTGAGCAAGATTCGTCGTCGAAGATAGAACGGCCGCCAGCCAGAACTTTGGCTCGTTACGCCGTCTTGCGACCCCTCCCTTTGGGTTATCCATATACCATCCAACTTGAAACCTTTGGCGAGTCTGGCGGGTTTTGACATGGCTGTACGCTTTGCTCTCTAGAGCAAAGTGCCAAGGTTGCTTGTGGAGAACCTCTGGGGCAGAAGCCAATTTTAAAATAAAGGCCTGGGCAGTTTGGCCCCCAACGAGTTTTGCAATGCGCCTCGTCCATTAGTTAAAATGAGGGATCGTCGTGAAATGCTGCTGTTTAGCTGCCCTCAATGCAGTTAGCCGCCAGGAACGTAGCGACCCGATAATTGGCCTTTCTCCTGGAGCAATGATTAGATCGACCCGCTAGTTATATTGCAGGATTTCAGAAGGAGCTAGTTCCAGTGCGCTACTGCATCCGCAGCAAAGTATATAAGGCGAGCGGATTGTTAGTCTAGTAGGTGTTGAAGGAGGTGCCCTACGTTCTGCGGGTAATTGCACACCTAAACAGTAATATCTGTGTCAATCGATTGTGCTAAAGAACTGAACAATCAACTTCAGGATAGTATCTTTTAACTGAGCAGAGGACAAGCGCGGAAACGGATTATATGCCAAAGTGTCACCATACCAGTAACTGGTCCTGTGCGTTGTGTGAGTCTCATATATGACCAGTGCTTGCTCAGCAAGCCCTAATACCTACCCATAGCACCTCTTCAGTTAAGCTTCCCTCAGGCTGGCTGTAATTTAAATGGTAGATCAATCAGAACTTACCGAGCCTGCTCTAACTTCTTGATGGTTGAAGAGGAGAGAATATCATGAAGCGTCTAAATTTATATGAACACCTGGTTTATGCAGAGGAAAGCTGGATCAAGGAAATAGAATACCAGATTAAACTATCTTTACATTGGGTGACCGCTAGGCTAAGCACAATAAAAGTTGACATAGCAGTCAGGCGTTCCGTCGCTGTCAGTGTCGCATGAGTCGATCATAGGGAAGAAATCTTGATTCGGGCAAAGCGAGATGCAGCTTTTAGCACTTCCGCAAGGCGAATCGTCTATATCCCAGGGTGTCAGCAGTTGTTTCTTACTATATAATTCACCGGCGTAGTTGGCAACTTGCATTGTGCTGAAACAAAGGCGGTTAGGCCGATGAGAACAAGAGAGCACCGAAGAAGCATGTTGGCTGTCTAAAGGTTTAGTGGTGAAACTAGCACTGGTGTTGTACCGGATAAGCTTACATGTTGGACTGTTAGCTTCAGGGAATATACCAGATGTCAGTATTGCTGCTCCGAGCTCTCAGGGGGCTGTGCACTTCCTGTAGAGTGGCGTATTTAGGGAATCAACGGGTATACGGCTTAGTTTATATAAGTCAGATTTTTCATTGCCTTTGCAGTCTAGAAGAGTGCATGAGGCAGCACCGAGATAAACAGACAAACGGAGGGTCCTATCAATGAGTGGTTCGACCAGTTGAAGCTCGAATACAACATTCCAGAGCAACGTTATGACGTCCCGGAGGCTCGGCTCCAGGACCACGGTTGAGCGGGTGCTATACTATCTGTTTGCGGCGATCAGACGTGGATAAACCCGCGAAAGGGAACCAGACTTACGATCGCCTTGTGGAGAACTTGATAGTATTTAAGTGAAGACTCTCGGAAGCCTAAGTAAGTAGAGGCTGTTGGAAAGACATGACTGAATCATGTATTCCAAGAGGAAAGTCTTAATAAACAATATGCTTTCCGCAGCTGGGCTCCTTCAAATAACGTACACAATAGTAGAAAACCCGAATAATAGATTATATAGAACCGAGTCTATAGTACGAGTATAGTGACTACATATGGGTCGGAAGAAATATGACGTTTACAAAATTGGGTATGACGCTTACGAATGTTGTGAACTTATTTTTCACACATGTCGTTCTACTCCTCTACCTTTTGTTTTTAAATTTTCAAAGCCAATTCAAAATAGAATATTCATAATGATTTAGATCTGAGCCCACAGCTGCATGTGTTCTTAATGGCCCGGCGCCGTGCTATCGATCGATCATGGTGGGAACGAAGACCAAGTTCCACCGCGCCATAGGATGATTATCCATAGAAATTGATTTCAATTTATGGAGGGAGTCCACTCGATCGATGATTTCACCTTTACTTAATACTCTCATATATATGATCTGCGCTATTTCAGGGCTTACGGCGTGCGTTTCCTACGCACTGCAACTCTTCCCATTGGCATATTAGCATCTTCTACAACATTACCGCTGCACTACTGCTATATAAGCCTTGATAGAACTGTCATCTCATATACATATATGCTGTGAACCGAGGCTCGATCAGGAGAATGTAGAGCTTCATATATGGAGTTACACCTGTAGAGAATCAGACTGATTTCAATCAATTTGTGGTCGACAAACCCTCAGAATCAAAATAATATAAAATTGCCATGCTATTCTACCTCCTCTAGGCTCTAGCTACCCCTCTTGCAACGGTATCTGAGACTTGATCTGATGGCCTAATATGCAAAGATCTTGCAAAACTAGCATTAGTAGAGTGTAAACCATGGCCATTCAATCAAGAACTAGCGTGGGATCAGTCTGGCACCTTCAAGGACGGCCTGGTAAGCCGCAGCACTTCTGACGAATACGATATCGCACCGTTCCATTGCCTCCTATAACTAGGCGACAGCTAACCCCTTGGATAAGCCCCAGTATATGCAGGCTATCATAACGATCCATAGAAGTGCGGCGTCCGGCCCGCTCACGTGGTCAACTCCGTAAACATTGAGGATAAGAGACCCAACATTGACCATAATAAGCAGCACCATTCCTGATTCTCATCGGTGGAGGAGCCGATAAACCTGTTGGCATCCTTGGATTCGGCCGCATGGACCGTGAGCCGGTATTCTCGGACGTGGCTGATTCGAGGCACTTCCAAGCCAGCCATGAACCACAGCGCAGTCAGTTGTATAGTAGTTGAGTCCGATCTTGTGATCGGTGGGCCTACTGGTTTTCAAAGGGGTTTGTCACCGGCAGCGGATAACTAGGTCCGGTTTCTCGTGGATATATAAACCTACATAGTACAGGAGGGAAATGATATCGAGTTTGGTACCCGAGCAATTAAGTTCTGTATCACAGTTTTGTAAACCCCTCGCCTCATTATTCCAATATTAGGTTAACAAGCCTTGCCCTATACACGATGGCTTCTGTATTAAAGAACTTCCTGGGTGTCAAAGCGACCACAAATGACAACATATGCCCGGTGTCTCCGGAGAAGACCGCTGTAAGAGCTCTTCCCGCTGTATGGTACACATCACCAGAGCTCTACGAGCTTGAACGACGGGCAATCTTCTCCAAGAAATGGTTACTCATCACGCACATACTACGACTCCCCGACACTGGTAGTTGGTCTCGCTACAATAGTGCGGGGTATCCCTTTATTCTTGTCCGAGGCCATGGTCGACACATACAGGCATTCCATGATATATGGTCTCATGATTTTACCGATGAACTGGCACAAGCCTTAATCTCCGGGGGTTGCGAAGACAACACCAAACCCAGAACTTTCCATGTCCATCTGGATGCGAATGGCTTTATCTGGGTAAACATGGACGCTGGCAAGCAGCCTGAGATCTCGTGGGAGAAGGATTTCAAAGGTATCGACCTGCAGCCTCGATTCGAAGATGTCAACTTCGAGGATTACCGTTTTGATCACATCTGGGGGATGGATGGGCCTTATAACTGGAAGATTCTTGCGGATAACTATAACGAGTAACGTCCCTGATATTTTTCTTCTTAGCCTGGCCTCTGCACTTATGGAAAGCTTTCAAAGCCCTAACTGAGTGGGATAGGTGTTACCACTGCCCGACGGCACATCCTGACGCACAATCAATAGCCGATCTCGAAGCCTATTCAGTTGACACTGTGGACGGGTCGATCGTTCACTTTGCCAACACCAAGCCAGAGCAAATCGAACGGGGTCTGAAGATTGCCAGCACCTACTATTTCCCCAACGCGTCCATGACGGTAACGTCAGTGCTCATCGAGCTCTTTGCCAGGTCATATTGTTAATGCTAACCGAGGGATATCGAAATATAGGCCGCATTTCTTCTTTATGCAACGAGTTGTCCCGACCTCACCCACCACCTGCGAGATGCGCTACGAAGTGTACCGGAATAAACACTCCAGCGAGGAGGATTTCCAGTTGATCAATGAGATGTATAAGCGAATTATGACCGAAGACAAATATCTCTGTTCTGAGGCACAGAAGAATATCGGTAGGGGTGTCTTTGTCAATGGTCTGCTTCATCCCAGAATGGAGAAGGGGCCGCTATATTTCCAAGCTGTTGTACGAGACCTTCTGTATGAGCACTTTGATCGTGAGAAGGATGCGGGAAAGCAGATTTGGCCTGCTTGGACTTGAGGTTCCAGTGCTAGCTGAGCCCAAGTCACAGGAGAAGTGAATTCATTGGATTGATTTCTTCCTCCGAGATAAGAGATTGTGGGGCCTTTGCAGGAGAATAGTCCAGGCGAATGTGATTTGTATCTATTTAATATCTAGTCTTCTTTTGTTCGGCCATGTGAACAGAATGGGATCTTTAACTATGAACTAGCAACCACTAGTCGTATCTTAACAGCATTATACAAGGCTCCTCTCGAGTAAAGATTTCTTTCAGTCCACATGCGCTACAATAGCAGAAGTTCGGAAGGCCAATAGGTTAGTAAACAGGTGGGTAGAGCTACTGGGACAACCTAGATAAACCATACACTAGGCAGCATCTGTGATCTGCTCCTGTTTCCAAACTCATTGCATGATAAGTTATTCTCCAAATCAGGTAATCTGATCCCGACCGTTCATGTGGTCGGCATTTTCACCGAAACCGTTAGACCAACTGGTCCATGCGATTCAATGCCAGGTTCAGTAACGATTGTCATGGAAGCACTCCCCAAGATCACGGGTACGAGGAGGCCGTCATTTTCAACGACGATTCCATAGGTTTCTAAATAGAGACGTTGTTTTCCCTCCACGGAAAACCATTGGTCAAATGTCGGACCAACGGCTGAATGGCTTGCGATGCCATCAGAGATCTGATGCGTGGGGAAGTCTACCCAACTTCTCGACGTAGCGATAAGTCTTCTATTGGCTGCCGGCACATGAATCATAAATCACTGTGGCATGAATATGTAAAAGTATTTTTTAAAAATTTCCTAAATTCCACCACGTAGGAAAACTCTCACCAACAGCAGGGTCTGGCTCGAAGCCAGCCGTAGCGTCCATATCACCAAACTGGGAAAGATGCGCCCATAGCCACGGAGTATTTAACATGAGGCTATCCGCAGGTGGAACCAGAATATCTCGCATAGGAGTGCCGTTAGGGGAATCCTGTGATGAAGACACAGTGATCATATATGGCGGCAGACTGGCATTGTGCCCCGCGGCAGGGTCAACCATCACTTGTGGCGGTGATGTCGTAACACTGATCTCAAGGGTCTGGCTATGCTCTGCTTCCTTGCTAGAGGGGGTGGAAGTAAGAGAGGAGTGTAGTAAGGTGGCTGATTTGGAGGATACGCCTTGGGCAGGTGAGACATTGAACTGCAAAATGCCCCACATCAAAGGGATGCTGAGATAGATTCTGGTTGGTGTCCAGTCATCATCCATGCGATCTGAGCCAGATGCTATTTCTGTTATTTTGTCCAACGATTGGAGCTGGGCTATTAGCATTGGCCTTGGTCTCTATCTAGTGTGTGTGTGTGTGTGTGTGAAAAACATACCAGGGCTTCACAGGCAGGGGAAAACCATGCAAATCTCTTCAAGAATGTTTTGCACTTCACAAAGTCTGTTTTGGACTTTTGTTTCAGTCGAGGATCGGCCGCGCAGCAAAAGTAGAGATGTACTGTAGCTGCGATTGCGGCCGCATGCGCATAGAAGGGATCAATAAGCTTGATCTGTTTTTCTAGAGACATGTCAATCATACGGACAATCCATGTGGCATGTAGTAGGACCAGCTCGGAGGACTTCCTCCAGAAGGTGTTTGGGATCGCCAGGTTAGGCTGATGCTGGGATGCCATAATGTAGAGAAATGGGTGATTTAACACAATCAAGCTCGTATGCCATGTGAACTGTAATTTTATCCACGGTATCCAGTAATCTCTGTGGAGACTGATCTCATCTGCTCGACGCTCGTAAAACTTTGCTGAATCGTATCGATGACACCAGGGAACCTGGTTCTCGATTTCGGTCATATCGGCCAGTACTTTGGCATACATTGAATCGAGTCGCCAGGGCTCGGTCATCTGATTATGGAAACACTCAGAGACATATTCTCTGACCCTACTCCACACCCATCCGAAATATGCTGAATAGGTCCAGATGCCGATGTCAGATGAGGTGGATGACCCAGGATCGCGGGGAAATGCTGAGTCCGCACTGGTCGAAATATAGAATCGGCGCCAACCCTCGGGCGCGGTTCCCAGAATACCTTCCGATTCCGAGAAAAATTGCTCCAGCGATTGAAGGCTCCAGAGAAGTTTCTTCTTGCGCTCGGCGGCGGGAGGATTTTCGGCCGGGGATGTCAGCTCGCGGTCGATCCTGGCAGACCGACAAAGCTGAAAGCCAAGGCCAAGGTAAAATTGGCCCTGACCCCAATCGCCATCTTCTTCGTATTAGAATCCGAGACTAAACAATCAGCGAGCTAATCCATACCTATAAAGGCTGCGTATGAAAGTAAACAAAGACTTTCAATAGTTTCGAGCTCTACCGTGCCATTTGTAATTCGATGCATAATAGAGCGTCTAGCACTATCGCCATAGGCTGGCTGGTCATGCTGTCGCGAAAATCGTGATGTCAGTTCCAAGACGCTACAGGTAACCTCCGAAGGAATCTCCGAGTAGTTGTCCAGGTCTTGGTGATCGAAACACCATATAGGCTGTCTATGGAAGAGTTCAAAGTAAAGGTCGAACGCCTTGACGATGGTGGATTGAGAAATCTCCAGCTTTGCTTGTTGCAGTTCGACTGAGGGCACTTCTTTCATGGCATAGCTTGGACCAGGCTGTGATTGGTAACTATGTGTTTGATTGTAGCGAGGCGTAGTTTCATTGGGCTTGTCGTTTTGCGGCGCCTTAGAAGGGGCCTCCGGCGGCACGATGAAGACCTCTTGATCGGGCTGCTCAGAAGAAACTCGCCGCTCGCTGCCGTTTAAAATAAGATCGATCTTTTTTTCCAGGTGTGCTAGTCGATCCTGTTGACGGGGTCAACGAAGAATCCCTTGCCACAGGGTATGCGGGTTTCTCCATACCGCTTGGTGCGTAGCCGGTGTCATGTAGGTACATGACTGTTTCAGCCGGACACAGGTTGAGCAGGCCGGCTTCTCACCCGGACACCGGGTCTTCTTCTTCCTGTTAGATGTGAGATTCCAAAAAGTCGGAGTGAGAGACCTGTTGTAAGTGGGAGGGCAAGACTGACCGACAATTGAGGCAGGCGTGTCGGGTACGCAGCCTCTCGCGCTTGGGATCCGCTGGCATGCCGATCACGGATAGGTTAGTAGAAGAAAGCGCAATCCCGCTGCCGTGGGGGGATGAGTGGTAGTGGTGGAGGCCTTCAGGTAGATGGATATACCACGAAATAAGGTGTGAACCTGCGGGAAAAGCCTACAGGAAGCTAGAGCCACTCGAGCCCTATAGAGATGAAGCCAAAGGGTTCCTGTGGGAGGTTATTGGAGCTCTTCCAGTGCAGGTGCAGGGATGTAGACGAGAATTGGGGTTGAGAGCGGGGAAATGAGGGGTAAATCTGTCCATCTTAACTTGGCTTCTATAGTGGTTTGGTCTACTAGTATATCATAACGAGTATCTTGATAGCAACCTTTAACTTATTGCCTTGTAGGACCGAGTCATTTGCGACATGGGTTCGACGACAAAAAAGTATTCAGGTAGCCGGTTGTTTATTCACCTTTAAGTCACCTAGACCTGCCAAGCGCTAGCCCAGGAAGAGTAAATCTTTATAATCCTAGTAAATCCCATGGCTCTGAGGACATAGCCTGCATGTAGCTTCTCACTACTTACTATTATATAGAAGAAAGTGATCAAGATGATCACGTCGTATATGCAGTTGTCACATGGTCTTCGCACCAGAAGACGACGGTTCTGAAGGTAGGTCTCGCGGTGTCAGGTGTATCAATATTACATTACAATACGCCATGCCATGATTTTCTTACCACGGTCTTGGTTAGGGCTCGAGAAACAGGTGATATCATTGTCGAAATGATATCTCCGGCAACCGAGACAGATCCTCTAAGACTTGGTAATGTATAGCAGCTAGTACTGCTCTCTAAACAAATCCTGGCTGTTATATGTTGTTGATATTATATCATTTCTATGGGCCATGCTCTGTTAATCTATATGCGAGGTGGTACACTTCAAGCTTTGGGGGAGGCGGAAAATAAGGTAGTACTCCCCACCAACGCCCGACAGGCCCTTTGGTCCGAGTAAACAGCGAAAACGAGATGAATAGCGCCATTTAGTTTGGATGCACTTAAGGTTTTACGTCTGTAAAGGAGATATTCTCACAAACCCAACTGAAAGGTGAGCCCTAGTGGGCAGCAGGTACATTCCGTAGTGGAACAGATCCATACTGGTGGATGAAGCGCCGCAAAAGCCCACGAGCGTCATCATTTGAATGACAGGACTAGGTACATAGTGTCGACAGCTTGGCAGAGCAACCAGCTCAAAGCCCATAGCTTTTGATAATTCCCTCGGCGATTAATTGAGATATAATAGGTCCAAAACAGCCAAGGCAGCAAAACAAAGAAGGTAACGCTTTGGTACCATTACCCAAAATGTGCAATGTACAACTACGAGCCTCAGCCCCTAGGCTTACCAGTAGTTTTAAGAGAACCCTTCTTTCCTTAAGGTGCCCGGTGCTCGTGTCTCGTTTCACCAACCTTGAGATGCTGGAACAGCATTCATTCCTTAACATTCTAGTCTGTGTTGCACTTGATTCTTAGTCTATAACCTCTGGAGCTGCCTTGCTAGGATGCGGCCGGGGCAATCCTATTTGAATGTTCTAGCCTTCTGGTTTAATGCCTCAATAACTACTTCCCTTTTACAGAGGACAAAAGTTGGGTAACAAGTGTAGTGTGTTTACAACGCAGGGTTGGGTCAATCTTTGTCTTAGAAAACTACAGCATCAATTTAACAAACTAAGATTATTCATTGAAAGCTAAGAAACCCCAGAGAAAGCCATAAGAAACTCAAATGCTTTATTAATTGAAAGTGAATAACTATCTCAAATTGTCAACCCATCAGTCTTCTGTGTTATATCTCGAAAAACCCTCCGGAAAGGGTTGTCAATGGGATAAGATATATAAGGCCTGAATTCCCTCTTACAAAATCATCTAACGCAATACTTTTCGTCTCTTCAGTTGCCCAACCCTCGATACCATGAGAGCCCTAAGCTCCCTACGGGCCTGGTTTGCCCAGGAAACCCTGCTCAAAGTGACCATCTTTGGACTACTTCTTCAGCTCTGTGTCGCCCACTCCTTTAACGATGATGTGACTCCGGACAGTCTACTCGCACGGGCCCACGTTGTCAATGGCCCAATGAAGTTCGATAGCTCCCTAGGAGAGGAGGCTGCGCAGCATGTAATATGGTCTCAGCATGGGAATACACAGCGAGCCACGATCCAGGCATATGTGAGCCGAGGGTTTCTGCAGGCGCAGAACACAATGCAAAATCCCACCCCGGAAGACGTTTGCTTCACTCTCTCGAACTTGAAGCTTCTCAACGATAAATATAGTTCGACGAGGGTTGATTTTGCACGACACTCTTACACCCAGGTACAAGTCAGTATCGATCTTCCCGCGAAATGCAGTGACGGCGAAGTCCAGGCGGTATTGATCAGGAAGGCTAACAGCCTGTTGGCTGATATGGACAATCAACAAACTCAATTCGGCCAAGAATCCCGAAGGCCTAAAGCGAGCTTTGAGAAGGATGGGCTTTATGTTCAAGTCATCAAGCATCATGGGAGTCAGTAAGGAGTGGGGTGCCCTACTTGATCGGACTATTCGATTAGATGTCCGAGGATCTCTGGATTTAGTGTCTATTTACGGCCAGAATGCTACATTTCTAAGGCTTTATTTCGGGTTCACTGGGTTTGTCTTTCTTTTATAGAAACAAATTGTCACTCTCCTATGTATTGCACCAGTTTCTGTTTGAAGTACGTCTTGTCATCAATATATTTGCTTTCATGCTCCGTTAACCTTGACAACCTAGAGTACCATGCTAGCGTATAGGCAGAGCAGATAGAACATTTCTCCAACTCTTGGTACTGATACTATAGTGATTAGAGGCGTTGACTATATATTGCCTAAGGTGTTATATTCAAGCGCTTGGTGTTTAGCTGTCGTTTTGATTACTTGTGAGTTAGCACACGAAATATTGCAAACTCTTTCCCTACATCGTCATCTCCACACAGGGTCTGAACTAAAACAAGGATGATAGTGGAACTGCGATATCAATCTGCATGTTTCAGCAAGACGTAAAATATCACATACGTCCGAAGATACTCTAATCTCATATGCTTTGGCTAGCGGAGACACGCCTTCGGGATGTCGACATTCTTTGACTCCCCAATATGACCATGAAAGATCCAATCGTGTCTTCCAGGCAAAGGTCGCACCCCCATCAACTTCTAAATCTGGTCTAGTTTCAAAAACTTTTATCTGATCTCACTAATGTTCAAATCCCGGGCTAGACTTGCCCGAGGAAAGATGGTGGTTTATTCTAGCTACCCGATCGCTCGGAGACTTTATAGACCACATCGATCGCAAACTTGCAGAATGAACAGCCGACGGGCTTTCAGTTCTCCCGTTGGAGATGTTTTCGGAGACTTTTAAAGGTTCTGTTCGTTGGTTCGGGTGGATAGCACACTGCAGAGATTTGCAGTATCGAGTCTAGTGCGTACCCAGAAGGGCGGGTACATCCACTTTTCCGTGGATCATAGTCCACGGGCTAACGTTCCTTCATCTCAATGTGCTCCGCATCCACTAGACATGAAAAGCGGCATGGGTAAATACTAGTAGTATGTATGCTAGATTAGGGCTGTCGGCTTTTGCTCGCCGAGAACAGTTTGGAGTTCAACGGTTGTTCAAAACGATGGAACTCGATGAGTCGGTGTACATAAAGTGTTCAGACCTCGAACTATAGCAGGTAGATTTATTCTTGCTTTCGTTTTTATATCAGCTTTAGTCGATATACGTTTCTCAACAAATAACCATATCATAATATTAACTAAAATGAGCGTCACATTCGATGTCTTCCGTGGCTCCCCTGAGGGCAAGATTGTTGCCGATAAGACAACGCGCACCCTAGAATACAACGAAGTGTTTATTGAGACCACACATTCCGGCCTATGCGGGACAGATGAACACTACCTGAAATCAGGCCAGGTGCTTGGGCACGAGGGTATTGGTATCATCAAGGCTCTCGGGCCCGGTGTTACCTCGGTGAAGGTGGGAGACCGTGTTGGATTTGGATACACACATAGCATTTGCACGTCTTGCGATAACTGTGAGACTGGTAAGTGGTTCTGCAATCCTAGCCAACTCAACCGTCTAATACAACCTAGGCTGGGACCAGTTCTGCCGCAACCAGAAGCAATACGGCTTCCACGACTTTGATAATGGCACCTTCAGCTACGGAGCCGTTTGGGACGTCAACTGCGTCTACCCCATCCCAGAGACGGTCAGCTCGGTCGATGCCGCCCCTCTTATGTGTGCCGGTGCAACTGTGTGGACTGTCCTGACTGAGTTTGGTATTTGCTCAACCGACCGCGTCGCTATTATGGGCATTGGTGGCCTCGGCCATATCGCTATCAAGCTTGCTGTCGCATTGGGCTGCGAGGTTGTCGTTCTTTCCAGCTCTGAGGCTAAGAGAGCGGAGGCCATGGAGTATGGTGCCTCCGAGTATCATGTTTTCCGTTCCGGGGAGCCTATCAAGGATTTCAAGCCTGTTAAGCATTTGCTGCTGTGTGGAAGTGGCTCTGTTAGCTATCCTTCGTAAGTTACCTTTCCAGGGCTTGGCTCAGATAGGATCTGGCCAGGTCTTGGCCCTGTTTATATCTGTTTCTGGGTATTTGCTAACTCGGAACAGCCTCATGCCTCTGATGGACACCAATGGTAGCATCTACCCATTGACGGTCGCATTTGAGCCCTCCCCTGTTCCCATGCTGGATGTCCTCTTCAAGGGTGTCCGTATCCAGGGATCCCTGGTCGCTTCTCGGAAGGGCATTCGTACTCTTCTGGAGTTTGTCGCTAGACATAAGATCGTGCCCACGGTGATGACATTCCCGTTGACTGTGGAGGGTATAGAAGAGGCCATGCAGGTTCTTAGGGATGGCAAGATGAGATACAGGGGAGTGCTCGTGAAGGGGGAATAGATTACCAAGATACCCAATATGTGCTGTACATGATGGCAGTGTAATTGAAGATGGAACAATAAATATACCACTCGCCTGAAGAATATATAGTTGTCAAACATCCACCGATTAAGCTGGATACGGTAGTATAGAGGCAGTAGAGCAACTACTTCCTGGGTATTGCGATACCTACTCACATATATTTAATTCCTACCAATCTAACATAACTACTAGCCCGACTCCGAATATCCAGTTCTCATTCCGATTGAGATATGTTAGTGCCAAGCTATACTTCCTTACGTCTGATTCTCTTTGGATCAAAGCATTGGCGTCGGACAAACTATCCAATTAAATTAAGAAGAAAATTTAAAGGATGATCGAACAGGAAATAGTAAAAGTAAGATACCGGAGGGTTTGACCATGAGGCAATTGGCAGCAAGTGGATGTTGCTCTTCTGTACCGGGGAAGGTGTAAGTTCCATGTTAGTACCTAGTAGACAAGGATTTCTTCATGCACTGGGCCTCTGGCGCAACGGTAGCGCGTTGTAAGTACACACTTAAAAAGCAAGCAATGCCTTGAACTTCTTCTAACAAATTCACAGTGACTCCAGATCAAAAGGTTATCCGTTCAAATCGGGTGGGGCTCATTTCTTTTTTGCTTTTTGCTTCTACCCGTGCCCTTGTAAACGCCCGAGTTCTTCGCTCATTTACCTTTAATGGACATAGTTTGGTCTAGGCCTTACCAAAACTCTAATCTTCTTTTCGCCATTCCTTTCCTTCAAGTCTTACGGACCAGCCTCTATACATAGTCGACAGGTGGTGTAACGGCGGTATACTATCTAGATGCCCCCAGGACATTCGGGGTCGTTGATCCCGAATTATATGACCTTTCGGCCTTGTAAAATATCGAGCCCTGGCGATATCTCCTCCCCTTGTTGCTCTGAACACCTTCCATCCCAACTTGAATCTACCATGATTGAAATGGTGTTTTGAAAGATGATACGACGAAATCCACTATATTCTTCCCACCGGGCCCAATGAAACTAATCAATATGTCCTCGGCTGAGTGACCCTCATGACGTTGCCATCGCTTGTCTTCAGGATATCTCAATGTGCCGTCCAAAAATACCCCAAAATGTCGCAATTAGCGCCAGGACAGTGGAAGATGGCACCGAAGCATTCTGTAAATCCTCTGGGTGGTTTTGTAGCCAGTAAACCTAGAAGCCAAAGGCCGAGGTTATCAGCACGACATGGTAAAAGAAAATAATAGTACTAGAGACTTCATAACCGGCCTCAACCCCGAACGCAATTTCTCCCGGCTGACTCAAACTTGTATCGAATGCTTGGCCCTTTTTCCTGGGGATGCGCTCCCACATACGGGGACTATGGGGAAGACGGCGGCATTTATGAAGAAACGAAGGGAGATAAGCTGAATAGCAATGGTCATCACATGCTTGAAGATAGATAGAGAACTGCTTGCGGTTAATAAGTGGGTTTTCCGCCTTTGGGGGTCTAGGACGGTACTCATAGTCGCTGGTGTACCCATGTTCATCAGGTAGAGCTTCCCCGACGCTGTAAGCCTGGCCTATATTGATTGATTCAAACTCGTATAGTTAGTTCAAGAACTACTATTGTTGGACGGGATATTTTACTTGAACAAATTTGCAATAGCGAAACCGATAGGGAGAGAACCAGCGTTGGAAAAACCAACGGTGCTTGGCGTGTCTCTTCTTTAATTCTTTGAAGAATGATGGGTCGTTTAGCAGGTTTGATGCTTCGATATTTTCAATCTCATCGTATTCATGCATATCCTTAATACCGAAAACTACCCAGGAAAGATTGCCATTTCGATTGACGGAAATAGCTTTCGTATTTCCAGCATGTGGCCCCACAGAAATATCACTGCTTCCTGCAGAATAATGCGGTGAATTTGTGGCCGTTGAGCCATGCGCGATTGCTGAAGACGCATTAGCTGTTACTGTAGTTCCTGGGGTATAGCGTTGATGTGCTGTTGATTGCGAGGTTTGCCCTAACGAGCTGCTTGGGGCTTTCCAACTCAACATTTCGGTAATTGATTGGCGCGTGCGCCGAAGAAGCTTGGCCCAATTCACACGATGTGCTTTTCTTGTCAGTGGTTTTGTCTCGCAACAATAACATTTCGGTGGGTGGTCCCCAATTAACTCCAGGGTCTGCTGAATGGAAACAGCATCTTCAGGTGATATCTCTTTATAAAGTGCGTGCCCGCAAAACTGTATATCTTCAGAATGCTGAAAATGGCATAATCACATCCAAGGGATTGCTCACTCTCCACTGAAGACGCAATCTACCAGGCGATACGTCAGGCACTCGAGGCATCAGAGGCCACCAATCCCACTCGAAGGCGGTGTGATCTTCAATAAATCCCTTCGCCATATTCATTAAAGACGTGTCATTCCCGGGCGAAATATGAATTAAATGTTTTGGGGTTGACTCTACCACCTCCCTTAATGATGCCGGCAAGACTAGTAGGTTTAGTTCGAGAAGTAGTGTCTGGAATGGGATGGCTGTATGCAAGAACCTGTCAGCATGAGTGATGTTAGGAAGCGGTAACTCCTCGGCGCGGTACTCGTCTTCAGTATCTTCGCTGCCACTTCCGTCGCTGGATTGTTCATAACCTTCAAACTTGGAGATAACCACAGTATCTATTACAGGTATCCCATGTGTATTTCTTATCCAGTCTTCAAGTGACTGTTTTTCAACCGGTTGTGAACTTATCTTATCCAACGGTTTGGTGCTATCGTCTTTGTCCTCCTGAATAAGATCTATTATCTGCCGGGCCAGGTTAATACGGTTCAATCGAGATTTCAAGACCCGAATTATATCATTTTGCATGGCAGTTCGGGCTTCATTGCGCAGCTTCAGAACGTAGAATTTGAGGATTCGTCGATAATTCTCTTGGAAACGTTTCGGCCCAAGTTTCTTCAGGGCTTGTTCGTGCAGTGGGCGTAACTCTTTCAGCTCGTATAAGAACGATGCAATGTGCCTAACAGCGAGGATTTCTAGCTTTGATCTCATCGTTGCGGTCTTAGAGGCGATGTCATTATCGTCAGATACAACAGAGATGCAGTCCTCATGTTCGAAAGTATTCAAAGTTGTTCGATCCAGCGAAGACGACGGCTTAGGCTCAAGCATTTGTTGTTCTTGTATGCCTAGTAGAGTTGTAGCAGCAAAACTAGATTCTTCTGGTTGAGTTAACACTTCTTGGCTTTGGGGCATTGACGATGCATCGGACATCGAAGCTTGAGACCCTAGCACACGTTGACAACCATCCACCCTTTGCATGCTCAACTGTTCTGTTTCACCTAGTAGACCACTGCCCATGTATGTAGATGCTGGGTTAGTCATGCTAGTTGTGCTAGAGGGATCGTCATCCTCATCCCGAGGAGAAGTAGTGTCCTTGACTATATGTGTACCAGATCTGTCTGCCAGTTTTTCAGTATCTTTCAGTCGTTCCCGGCCAACATTTGCGTCTTCCAAGTCCCCCATGCCTATCGGAGTGCCTGGATGCTCTAGCTCCGCCCATTGTTTCCATGTTTTCAGCTGTTCTTCGTTTGGAACAACTGCTCTCTCACTGTCGCTCAAAAACATCTGAAGCGACTTATTAGACATTTGTCCAAACAATTCCGTTGGGTTAGCTTCGGGTGACATTTTCCTTGCTCGCATTAGATCCCCCAGTGTTGTCACCACCATCGAGTGGGAGGGATCAGCAGAGGTGTAACCCTCAGATATACGTGGACAGGAGTTGTCTGCCAGCTGAGATGCATCTTTACAGACACGCAGACATTGAAGAATACGGTCATGTTCCTCCCTCCCAAGGTCTGAGCCTATCCTTTCTTTGCCTAATTCGTGATTTTCTCCAGAGACTTTTAATGGGGCGTGTAGTTCAATGAGCCGCTGTCTTAGCGCGCTTAATCTTGTGAAGATATCCTGAATTTCTTTCTCGACTGGAGTAAGGCTCGGGGGTAATTCTCCACGATCAGGTTTCTGGCGCTGTGGGATTTCAAATGTTTGAACAATTTCGGAGACTTGAGCACACCTGTTTAGACACTGTTTGATGCTTTGTTTTTCTTCTTTGGTTTCCGTTAACGTATTACTTTCCGGTTCTCGAGAAGATTGTCTTTCCTGATTAAGGGCTTGTAGTTTGTCCTCAATTCGTTGTAGCTGGTCTTCAAGGTAAGAGTTTGCTTCAGAAATATACTGTTTATACTCCTTCAGAGTATGTGCTGTACCAGCAGTTTGGCGCCTAAGTCAAGTGGTAATCTGTGAGCTTGCTTCTATATCCAAAAAGGTACACATAACTTACAAATTTGCATATGCTATAGCTGTGTTTATTGTCACCTTGTAGCCTGCCAAGGTGTGTCTAAAGTCGACAAAATCCCCTTGTAAATATTGTAATCTGGCCCAATCACGAAAACTGCGCCTTTGGCTCTCTGACTTTGGAACAAGCCTGTTGATTTCAAATTCAAAACGCATGCATGCGGTTCCACAACGAAATAATGGCAGCGTTAATTCAATCAGCTGTACTTCGTTGTCCACCAATACTCGACAACAAGCTTCAAGGGCTTGATTTAAGGATTCAAGTTCATATCTTAGCTCACGGATGGCTTGTTTTGGGGATTCAAGGTGCTCAAGAGCCTGGCAAAGCGACTTGCTTCTCTGGAGAGCAAATTCAGCAACTGGAACGATATCCACCATGATCGCGACTACAAGAGGAAGAGTATTCGTGCAAATTAGGATTCGAAGAGGATCGGTTTGTCTCCGTGGACTTTGCGTACAAATGAGCTCAGTAGAGATTTAAGTAGGAAATCAGTTTACGTTGCATATAAGCTTAAATTTTCAGATGCTGGATGTTCGAACCCATTGTGGCAAAGTGAGTTTGGGGTAAGGCTGGCAAGATAAATAATCGGGGTTTCATAGGGAAACATTTTGCCCACCAGGTCATTCGCACCTACAGCCAATCACGATTTCCGATGGAAATCGTGACAATGGGGAGCCCCGTCTAGCTGTCTCATTGGCATCATTAGTGGTCCTTAGCCTTGTCACTGCTAATTGATACACCAGTCATAAGTTTCTCCTAGGCGCGCACTATATTCCGTATATGCAAGGCTGGGATCAGTCTCGTATTCATGCCTGTCGAAATTAGAGGAGGGGGCTCCATCGAGAAGACCAGGTGCAATCATCAAGAAGAAAGGCTCTTCTGTGTAAGAGTATTCATGATCCGACTTGGAGGATGGAGAGCAAGGGTTAGACAAGGATGATAGGGATTAGAAAGAGAAACGACGAGATGTGATCAAGAGACAGCTTATATGGTGCCTGGTCAGGTCGTCGAAACTGGAAGGCGGCTGGATTGGCTACAGAGGAAGCCATTATCGGCGTCGTTATGGTCTTGAGTTGAAGCTCATTAACTCACCGAGGGTGAGCGCTAATATCACAGGTTAAGGTGAGAGTTACGGGTGGAAATGCGGCTGTAAATGGCCTCCATAGTGGTTGTTCGTGGTTTTACAATACTTTCCCTCTTATATCCAAAGGTTTAAATAATTGCCACCGATTAGGGCCTCTGGCGCAACGGTAGCGCGTTGTAAGTACCAACATATTTACACTCTCAGAAGTTCTTTATTCTAACAAATATCACAGTGACTCCAGATCAAAAGGTTATCCGTTCAAATCGGGTGGGGCTCAAATCTTTTTTCTACTTTTTTGCCCTGAGAGACTACTTCACTACTGGCTGAGATCTTGAAGGAATCATAGCGCTAGGCCTATTTAAACATCAGCGTCTTTGGTTAGCTCTTTCAAAGGCCAATCTCGATACCCTGTCAACTAGGTAAGGGTCTATGGGTGATAGAATAGGTAAGCGTCTTTCATTCACGGAGTACTCAGCAAGAATGCGAGGGAATTCATTCCTTTCTCCTTTTTTTCTTTTTTTTTTTTTGTTTTTCAATCCATTTTTAAATATCTTACGATGCGCCCTCGTTCAGTGTGCGGTTACTCCCTGTTACATATAGTTCTTCCTTGGAACCTCCCATAGGTGAAAAGCTTCAACGTCAATATCGACTTGGGCCTCTGGCGCAACGGTAGCGCGTTGTAAGTTACACTTATTAACTCTGCATGAGTTTTCCTATTCTAACAATTTCACAGTGACTCCAGATCAAAAGGTTATCCGTTCAAATCGGGTGGGGCTCATATCTTTTTGTTTTCTCACTTTTGTACACTCACTTTTTGCCATATCTGCCTCTCCATATGCCTCTTGCATCCTATCTTTCCTAAGAATAGAAGGAAAACAAAAACCTCACATGTTCTGATCACTCCTTGTTGCCCACGCTAAGATCAGTACAATAATCGGGTCGTGGTTGCTAGGCGTTCATCAATCACTAAGCAGGACTACAACACAGCGAACACCATAGCCCTAGTCATAAGGATCCTTCTTCCGACACTAGTTGTGTTGTATGTTTAATTCACAATGACGGCTTCTGAGGGCTACCCCTAATCGTTAGACCCATCTTGTAGTTAGACCAGAGGAAGTGATATAAGAGCCATTCTTGGTCCATCCAAGACTAAAACTATACTAATCCATTCTGCTTAGTGTTAATGTCTAGATACTCGCTCAACATCAAATTCTAAAACCAGCCCCATGAAGACCACGTCATTCAATGTATCTCCGACAATCCTATGTCCATCTACTCCCGAACCTCAACCGTAGGAGGTGGTATGACCTCCTTCACCTCCTTCAACGGAAGAACCTGTAACTGCTGCTGGATATGAGTGTTAAGCCAATACTCCCTCAAAACCGAGGAATGAATCTGACTCGCGCCCGCAATTCGCCCCAAGCACTTCCCCAGGCCAGCTCCACACGCGCATTGAAAAGGCTGCACCATTGCCCACTCCGTACTCGGGTAAAAGAAGGTCAGTTCGTCCCCGACAGCCAACGGACGGTCCTCTGCCACACGGACTTCGAATCTCGTCATGTCGAACACCAGACTCGGGGCACAGGAGTGGTTGCAGTAGACGAGGTCTGAATTCAACTCTATTCGGGAGCCTATGCCCGTTGCGACGGAGGTGTATGTATCGTGATCGCCAGGGGTGGCGGTGGTGATTTTGGCGAAGACGGCACCGGCTGGCAGGGAGACGAGGGAGCGCGCTGAGGATGTGTAGGGCTGGTCGCCTTTGACCACTAGAAGGCGGTCTGGGTGGCTGGGTTGCTGCCAGCGTGGGATAAATTCGGCCATGGTGGTTTGGATATTGGGTATATAGATGGATGTAGAGGGAGGTGGTGATGGCGAGAGGTTTTCCGTGTATCTGGGCAGGGAGACTGGCTCATCTTATTCCTTTTTTTCTGCTCCACGGTTGCAGTCCATCCCATCATAACCCTCTGGTCATTCTTCGTGGTGTACTTCTATTTTGGTGGATATGGCGTGTATCTAGGGATGCAGTGCGAATCGCTAGCGCCGAATATCCTGCAGGCCATACTTTTTATACTGGCTGTATTGATCCAGTTTTTAGGCAAGTCGATGAGACGATGGACGTAATGCAACTATGCAATTTCAGATGTAAGATAGGATTCCCAGGGTTATTGGATTGCTCTGATGGCACCGTGCATCGCGAATGGGATGATCTGTGGCTATAAGAAGTAAGGATGAAACAGCAGTCCTATCCTAATATAGAAAGAGTTGATGTCTAGGATATGAGTATCAGTCCAGAATGCAAGAGACCTCTGTAAATGCCGCCGGCGAAGCAATGTGAAGCCAACGTAGCTGTACTTCATTTGGGCGTCTCTGATATTACCTGTCTTTAAAATTGCAAGGACGCCTGTGTTGACAGGGGTGTTGGAATGCTGGAACGTGCGAGGCGGCCGACATGGTATGCACACCTTGCGCGGTTTTGTGGATGTGGTACCGCATGGGGTATGCATGAACGCACAGGATCTGAGCGAATCTCTTTCTCCCCGACGTTCTGAATTGTTGTTTGACTCTTCCATGGCTGTACGTTGTCTGTTGCAAGCAGTTGAGGGTATAAGTGTGCATACATTGTATCGCCCCTTGCGCACGACATTTAAGAGCATTCATAGAAGGTGATACATCGAGTTGTTATTATTAATTTCATGGAATACTATCTGCTGGAAGGTACCATAGTGCTTGACTTCATATCTTGAAGAATGCTCATACTTGGAAGAGGTTATGGATAGTAAGGCTGAACAGCGGTGTCCAGAAGATGTACTTTAGTCTCCATGTTTAGCGGTCCATATACTATTTATTCTATTTTCTTTCCTAAAGACCAAGTAAGGATTTCATAGATTTCGCTGTGATATGCTTCCGATTGCTGTACTCACATGACATGCCCTATATAGCCCGCGATAGGCCCTAGGTCTTTGACCCTACTTGTAAGGTCCGTTCTCACACAGAACGGTAGGCCATGGGGATCTTACCCCATCCATAGCTGATCCACTTCGTAGTAGAGTCTTTTGGACCAGCCGTCATACTTGGAGGGCGTTTTATGCAATAGTTAAGAACATGGTTTTTAAAACACCTAGAATTGGGACATCCTCGTCACGTTGCTCTCGCAAAAACACTTAATATTGAGGGGGTCGGATTTCGGGGGATAATGCGCCGAAGGATTGTAAGCATCGGCCATGAAAAGCAATGGCCGCAATGACGGGTTAAACAAGAAGTGTCCGTGCAGTTGATACGAAGAGGCTATTTAGAATCAAAAGCTTAGCAGCGACGTCTAGAGATTTTCCCACGGAATCTGTGGCCTATCGCGGGGCAGCTAGTCAATATCGGCGATTTAATCTTTTTTTCTTCCTTCATAAGTTGCGATAAGTCTAAATCCACGGGCAGGGGAAGATGTGTCGTTAATATTTCTCGCTAAAAAGAGCGACACTGGTAGGCTTGCTTACAAAGCTCTTCTAGTCTTGAATACAAACCCTGACTAGGCTCCAATTCGGCACCTTGGAATGATTCTATTACCCGAGACTGAGATCGCTGTGGGATGAACTCTACCCACATAAGCCGTACTATTCCTCCATGAGTTTGCATGGAGAAGCTGGGCCAGTGTATCCTTTCAGGCTAAAGAGGAGAAACCGAGCATTGCCAACTCAGCACCGTTATCCGAAGATTGTCCGGCCTTGGATGTATGTCCATGTCGAACTCCGCCGTAGAATGGATCATGTCGGCATTGTTCAGCTTCTCCGGCCCCGAGTCAGGCCAGCGCTCGCACCCCTGCAATTCAGCCTGAATGGGTTGGGTGGTTATGCATACATCGGAATATCCCCGCGTGGAGGAGGTGATCGGCTGCGGGACTTGCTGGATTCGGGACTTCATCTGTGGGGTGGGAGTGAAAATATTGGAGATGCCGTGGCTTTGCCGACATTTTACCCAGAGATCATGACGTACCCAGCTGAAGGAAGACAGCTAGATGCCCTTTGCCATGAGGAATGCAATTGCCAATGGCTATAAATCCAGGCCCACGGCCGGGCTACACGACCGAAGTACAGCTCCTCCAGCACTGCACCGCCGACAATTGCCAGTATGCCTGGTGCTGCGTCTATCGTCGCCGTCCTGGCGGCCGTGTTGCCGACCGCTCTTGGGCAAGCAAACCAAAGCTACGTCGACTACAAGGTCGAAGCGAACCCGGACCTCTTCCCCGAATGTCTGGAGACAGGTGGTACATCCTTTCCGGACTGCGAAAGCGGCCCCCTGAGCAAGACCCTCGTCTGCGACACGTCCGCGAAACCCCATGATCGAGCCGCCGCCCTCGTCTCCCTTCTGACCTTCGAAGAGCTCGTCAACAACACCGGCAACACCGGCCACGGGGCCCCCAGAATCGGACTGCCCGCGTATCAGGTGTGGAATGAAGCCCTTCACGGCGTCGCCCACGCCGATTTCAGCGATGCCGGCGACTTCAGCTGGTCCACGTCCTTCCCGCAGCCCATCTCGACAATGGCAGCCCTCAATCGCACCCTGATCCACGAGATTGCCACCATCATCTCCACGCAAGGCCGCGCCTTCATGAACGCCGGCCGCTACGGGCTGGACGTCTACTCCCCCAACATCAACACCTTCCGACACCCCGTCTGGGGCCGCGGCCAGGAGACCCCCGGCGAAGACGCCTACTGTCTTGCCTCCACCTACGCATACGAGTATATCACCGGTATCCAAGGCGGCGTGGACGCCAACCCGCTCAAGCTCATCGCCACAGCCAAGCACTACGCCGGCTACGACATCGAGAACTGGGGCAACCACTCGCGACTCGGCAATGACATGCAAATCACCCAGCAAGACCTGGCCGAGTACTACACCCCGCAGTTCCTCGTCGCCTCGCGCGACGCCAAAGTCCACAGCGTGATGTGCTCCTACAACGCCGTCAACGGCGTGCCCAGCTGCGCCAACTCCTTCTTCCTGCAAACCCTCCTGCGCGACACCTTCGACTTCGTCGAAGACGGCTACGTCTCCGGCGACTGCGGCGCCGTCTACAACGTCTTCAACCCACACAGCTACGCCGCCAACGAATCAACCGCAGCCGCCGACTCCATCCGCGCCGGCACCGACATCGACTGCGGCGTCTCCTACCCACGCCACTTCCAAGAGGCCTTCCACGAGCAGGAAGTCTCGCGCCAGGACCTCGAGCGAGGCATGACCCGTCTCTACACCAACCTCATCCGCGCCGGCTACTTCGACACCAAATCCAGCCCCTACCGCGACATCACCTGGTCCGACGTGCTGTCCACCAACGCCCAGAACCTCTCCTACGAAGCCGCCGCCCAAAGCATCGTGCTGCTGAAGAACGACGGCCTGCTGCCCCTCGCCAGCAGTTCCACCACCACCACCAACAACAACAACAACAACCTCACCGTCGCCCTCATCGGGCCCTGGGCCAACGCCACCACCCAAATGCTGGGCAACTACTACGGCCCGACGCCCTACCTGATCAGCCCGCTGTCCGCCTTCCAACAATCCGGCTACAACGTCCGCTACGCCATCGGCACAAACACCACCACCGACCCCACGGCCACCTCGCAAGCCGACGCCCTCGCCCTCGCCAAAGCCGCAGACCTGGTCATCTTCGCCGGCGGCATCGACAACACCCTCGAGACCGAGACCCAGGACCGCGCAAACATCACCTGGCCCGCCAACCAGCTCTCCCTCATCACCCAGCTCGCCGACCTCGGCAAGCCCCTCGTCGTGCTCCAGATGGGCGGCGGCCAGGTCGACTCCTCCGCCCTCAAGGCCAACAAGAACGTCAACGCCCTGCTCTGGGGCGGCTACCCGGGCCAGTCCGGCGGCCAGGCCCTCCTGGACATCATCACGGGCAAACGGGCCCCAGCAGCCCGGCTCGTCACGACGCAGTACCCGGCCGACTACGCGGAGGTCTTCCCAGCCATTGACATGAACCTGCGCCCGAACGGGTCCAACCCGGGCCAGACGTACATGTGGTATACGGGGACGCCAGTGTACGAGTTCGGCCACGGACTGTTCTACACGAACTTCACTGCTGCTGCTGCTGCTGCTGCTGCTGCTGCTGGGGGAAGCACGAATCAGACGACGTTCAACATCGACGACGTCCTGGCGCGCCCACACCCCGGGTTCAAGTTGGTGGAGCAGATGCCGTTGTTTAATTTCACGGTGGATGTCACCAACACCGGCCGCAGAGTGTCGGACTACACCGCCATGGCCTTTGTGAATACCACCACCGCGGGCCCGGCGCCGTATCCGAATAAGTGGCTGGTTGGGTTTGAGCGGCTGGGTGCCGTGCAGCCTGGGTCGTCGCAGACGATGGTGATCCCCGTCACGGTGGATAGTCTGGCCAGGACGGATGAGCTGGGGAATCGTGTGCTGTATCCCGGACGGTATGAGGTGGCGCTGAATAATGAGCGAGAGGTCGTCGTGCGGTTTACGCTCACGGGGGACAAGGCGGTGCTGCTCAAGTGGCCGAAGGAGGAGCAGTTGATTGCGCCGCAGTAGATAAGAGTGTGGGGATGGGTGGTTATATTGTGTCTGTGCGGAGGTAATAATGTGGGCGGGCGGCTTGAGAGAGAAAGATACGAAGATAGAATCCTGCTTGCTTGCTTGCTTTATGATATATTCGTGTATTTCATTCTATATACTATTTCAGAAACGTGATGACTTGTGTCCCACATTCTGTAATTCATGATATGCTATGTAACTGATGTTTCCTCCGTCAGCTAGCGTGTAGTATTGTGGTTATGGTGCTTTTCGTCACAGTGTAGATGGCTTTGTCTCGATCATCTGGACCAGCTCGTCATACTCGCCTGTGTTGCGCAGCATGTCCCAGAAAATGCCTTCTTGCTTGACAAGGTTGGCGGGCGTGTCGTTCCTAGTATGCCCCGTTAGCATCATCAACCGGGTATGTACATTACTACCTAAAGTACACTGGGGTGCTGGAGAACACGAGAGGAAGGAACAAACATACTCTACAATCTCCCCATCGGCCATAACAAGCACGCGATCGTAATCCATAATGGTTCTCAACCGATGCGCGATGGCGATGATGGTGCAGTCTGGGAACATCTCCCTCAGGACCCGCTGCATGTGCATGTCGGTCTCATGGTCGACGGACGCCGTGGCCTCGTCCAGCAGCACGACCTTTGATCGGCGACACATGGCCCGCGCGAGACTGAGCACCTGGCGCTGGCCCTGGCTGAAGTTCTCGCCGTTGGCCGCCACGGCGGTGTCTAGGGCGAGGGGGCGGGTGGTTTTGGTGGGATGGGCGTGGTCCGGGACGTGGATGGAGGTGCAGGCCGCCAGGGCGGAGGCGAGTTCGGTTTCGCTGGAGGCGCCGAAGGGGTCGAGGTTGGAGTGGACGTCGCCGGAGAACAGGACCGGTTCTTGGGGGATCAGGGTGACGCTGGTGCGCAGCCGGTTCAGGAGGATCGTGGTGATGTCGACGCCGTCGATGGTGATCTGGCCCGCGGCGAGGTTCACGAATCGCAGTAGGGAGAGCCCGAGCGTGCTCTTGCCGCTTCCTGTTCGGCCGACGAGACCAATGCGCTCGCCGGGGTTCGCCACGAAGGATACATTGCGCAGCACGTCGGGGCCGTCGTCCTGGTATCGCGCGGTGACGTTGTGGAACTCGACACGCCCGGATGTGGGCCAGCTGGCTGGGACAACTGACGACGACTTGGCTTCCAGGTGCTCCTCCGGTTCGATGTCGGTGTATTCACGCACCCGCTGGAAACAGTTCAGCTCGACCTCCAGCTCGTTCATGGTCCGGACTAAGTTGAGGATGTTCTGGCTGAGACCGATCGCGTTCGTCAAGGAGAAGCCTACTAGCCCTGCTGGCCCAGACCAGAAGTACGCCACGCAGCCCGCGGCGGCGGCAACAGAGGCGGCACAGAAATCGGATCGCACGGATATCCACCGGTTGCAGTTATACTGTGTTTCTGCGGAGCGGGCATGGACAGCCAGCTTCTCGGCGAGGAGCCTCTGGAACACCAGATCCATGTCCTTGCGCGCACGGATCACGCACAGGCCTGAAAGAGAGTCGGTGAAATGCGAAAACACGGGAGAGTAGTTAATGGACGTCAGCCGCTTGATGGACACCTGCGTGCGGGTGTACATCTCTCCGATGACGAACCCGACGGTGCATATGACAGCAGCCGGAAGAGCGAATATAGGCATGATAGAGGCAACGCTGGCAATGCGAAGCAGGAACCGCAGCCCGTTCTCTATGGACATCCGCAGCCAGTCTATCAGCACGGTGTCTAGCGACCGGGTGTCGTTGCCGAAACGGTTGATCAATCGTCCGATTGGATTCTGGTCGAACCAAGAAATGGGAGCAGATAGGACCGCCGTCACTAGTCGCCTGTGCATCTTCTTTGCCGCGGTCCAGCTCCCGTACTGATAGAGGAGATTGCCACTGAGCTGCAGCAACAGGAAGAGGATGATCGCAGCGGCGTAGACCCCTAGGTAGTAGAGGGAGTTTGGGTTCTCATACTTCTCGTAGGCGCCCATCCAGATAGAGAGCCAGTAGGTGATTGCGAAATAGGCAAGTTGCACTGCGATCGTGACTGCCATTGCTACCGGTGCGTAGCAAGGCCCGCCGAATAGGAGCATGTATTGTAAGGCTTGAGGGCATGGTTAGGCGTGCTTTGAGCATCTTACGGGGGGCGAAACTTACCTAAAGTGCGCGGCACACGCCCCGTAGCTGATGTTTCCTTCGCTATGCGCCCTATCTGCGGATTTTGCTGCTCATGTGCCGGGGCAATGGTGGTTGTCGGCTCCGAAGGGGCATCATAGGGCTCCTCTACGATCAGGGGGTTACCTAAGGATACCGAATCTGTGTCGGTTGCGGGGGTACTGCAGCCCGTACGCTGTAGAAGGGTCTGGGGGAGGTTCGAAGGTGTTTCTACCGTAGATGCCTTGCCATGGTCGAGCCGTACAAGCAGTTCAGCATCCTGCAGCGCGGCCGGATAATGCGTGATAAGAACGACGGTTCTATCCGAGAGCAACCCACTACGAAAACACTTGTCGTAAACCAGTGTCGTGGTATGAGTGTCAAGCGCAGAGAAGATATCATCCAGCAGGAGGGTGGAGGACTGCGAATATAGCGCCCTCGCCAAGGATACTCTTTGCTTTTGACCGCCAGAAAGTGAGGTGCCCTTTTCGCCCACGACCGTCCGATCTCCGGCCGGCAGCTGTCGGAGGTCTTGAACCAACCCGCTGGCTTCGATAACCGCATTGTAGCGGGCCTTGTCAAACGGGCTGAAGAAGGTGATGTTTTCGCGGATTGTGTCATTCTGGAGCCAAGGAGCTTGTGGGACATAAGCCACGTCTCGTGGGCATGAAGCCGTTCCAGATTCGAGGACAGTTTCTCCCAGCAAAGAAAGCAAGAGAGACGTCTTTCCACTGCCGGTGGGACCTGTCACTACGTTCAGGGCGCGTGGTCTGAAGCGCACCGATACATCATGCAATCTGAAAGCAGCAATCGGGGTGCGGCGAAATGTTGCATGCTTGAGCTCCAACGGTCCTTCAGGGTGATGTTTGATTTCCATTGCGGTGTCGAAAAAGCGGTCGACTCGCCGCAGCGACTCTGCTCCTTGGGCAGAGGCTCGGCTGATATTTGACAGCCAGACGAACTGGGACCGCAAGGTCTCCATGATAGACAGAGATGTGAAGGCCGTGGCGGCCCGCAGAGTGTCATTGGTAAATAGCACGAAGACGGAGAACATGACGAGCAAGCTCACCATCGGTAGCAGGTCGCCCGCCATTGAGATTGCCGCAGCATACACACTCCGTTTCCAGAGGCGGCGTTGTTCCACGCCTCGAGCTTCGTTGATCGAGTCCATTGCGGCATGCTCCCACCCGAAATATTTCAGAGTACGGATGGAGTTCAAGTACTCTGAGATTTTCGAGAGTCGAACATCCGTAGCTTGCATTACCGATCTCTGGATGCGTGACACCCTGCGTGAGGCCAAGGCAGGGAGAGGAGACAGACATAGAAGCGCAGAGACTCCCAACAGTGATGGCCAGCCGAGCATTCGATAGAGGAATATCACGGCGACTGTGGTGGCTATTGGGGCTGCAGTGACCACGAAGAAGATGTCTCGAGAGTTGTATATGGCGTCCACATCATACGACATGAGGCTGGTTATGTTAGCCTGACTCGACTTTGGTGCCCCTTTTGCGGAATCTCTCATCTTTCGAGAGGACTTCGGGCGATCTTCTGTATTAGTTTCGACGATAGAGTCATCATAAAGGTACGACCGCATTGCGGTCTGATATATCTCCTGTACCAGCGACACATTGACTCTAACAAGAAGTCGAGTCGCAGTGAAAATGTATTGCTGATAACAGAGCGATCGTGACATTGGGCCGATAAATAAAAGGGCCACCCACAGGGCTGGATGAAGGATGGCCTCGTCCGGGGTTTCGAGGTACGCTAGCAGTCGCAGCATTGAATACGGTGCGACAAAATCCAGAACCGCCGTGACGGACGACCAGCACATCATGCTCTTGATTTCAGTTTGGAGCAACCGACACAGTGTTCGGAATGTCTTGCCGCCTTTGAGACGCTGCCGCTTGATCTTTTTGAGCCACTTGGAAGGTTCATCGTACGAGGCAACGGAGGGAGGTCATCCATGGTTAGGTCCCTCCGACAGCCTCGCAAGATCACATATGTCAGCCATTCGTACGAGCAATAGTATGAGAACAAAGAACACGTCTCTTCCGGCGACACCTCGTGGACCGTTTCCGTTTCCTCGTTTTCTGGATCAGGGACAAACAAACGCCGTGGCCTGGGCGTCGCAGCTGCGACTATCAACACAGCAGCCAGGCAAACTATGAGGCCACCCCTGAGCACACTTAGGCCAGATGTCGCCCCGACAATTAACAAGGGGACCAGATCCTGGACGCATGCTAAAAGGAATAGTGCAAGGACTACGGCATTGATATGGCGATATAGGTGAGTCCGAGCCCGCTCATTCCGGAAGCAAAACTGCAGGAAGCCCAATAACACCCCATAGCTCACCGCGGTCGCTTGTTTCCAGTTCTCTGTATGCTGTGCATCGATCCAGCCGAGACAACAAGCAGCTATTGCAGCCGCCAGATGCAAGAATGCAAAGGGTAGAGAAGCCCTAATGGGCAGATCTTCATTCGGTGATTCTGCTTTTGTCCGAGATTTTGACCTGGCGGCACAAGCCGCATAATGCAGGCCGAACGCAAGCAGTACTACACATGATAACAGGATAACCGCAAGATGCAAGTTCCCTGTGGCTACGAAAGCCGAGATTTTCTGTGTTCGATATTGCCAGAGGCGCCTGAAAATCAATTAGCTTGGCCAAGGCAGTCCAGTGGCTATGTACCGACCTCTGTACTAGACCGCTATCTGAATAAGAGACACCCTCTTCCCCTCCGAGCTGCGATATGGAGGGGCCGAGGACCTGCTGGAAACCCTCGAAAAAGTCCGACATCGTGTGCGTTCGCAACGAGAGGGAACGGCACAATCGCCTTGGCCGACAGTTGCTGTTGACCCAGGTCGCGTCGTCGCGGTCTCAGTCTCCCAGCATGAGCGATGCGGGAGACTTGTGGGCCTGTCTTATCGATCTTGCGCAAGGATAAGAAGCGGTGTCCATCCTACGCTAACTCCACACAATGCGGTGTTTGAGCTGAGTGATGAACAATCCGACTGGTCCATGAGGCATGAGTCAGACGCGAAGAACTTTTTTTTTCATTCGGATGGCCGACGGGGATTCTGAGAGATCGGCCAACATTCCGTGGGTCCGTCCGTTGCTTATCCCTGGTTCAAGTGGAGTCTCCTGGACGCATTCAGATAAGACCTTTTGGATTTCCTATCTTGACAGAGAATGTGTCCTCTCTATATAATTATCTAGGGGACAAAAGAAACGAGAACAACAAGAAAAGAAAAAAGGGGTGGACCAGGACTTTCCCATGGGCCATGTACATCCTTCTATCATCCATCCACAGGCGAACCACCATTGCGATACTGCCATAACCGGCTGAGATCTTTGACCTTCAACGGCCGTCGCTCAGATTGATCTCCAAGTCCACCGTGAATAGCAGGGGTGGTCCTGTAGCCATCTGACGGGCGCTTATGGCTGACAAGCACCTCATCGCTCTCGTGTCTGACGTGTTTCGGCAGGATTTTCTCATACTCGACCGCTCTCGCCCCCATTTCCATGAATTTATTGGTGTCCAGGACTCTCCGGTCTGGTCCGAGCGTGAACATCGTGTCGAGATAGTGCTGGTTTAGCTGGTGACCCGAACCCGACCGGACAAAGATCCGGCCCATATAGCGGTTTGGGACGCTGGCAAATTGCAAGACGCCCCAAACACAGACAAAATCGAAAGCATTCACATAGTGCTCCATGTGGAGAACACTCTTCTCCGCTTGCACCGAGCCATCCGGATCAGATATCGTGGAGCCTCTGGCGAGGGGCTCTCCGTAGTAGCCCCAGAGCGATTTGTACGGGTTGTTGAAGTGGTTGGCAGCGTTACCAAACGTATATACTTCGAGTTTGCGAAGGATCTTTTCTGGCAGCTCGTCCAGGAGCCAGTCGATGATGAGACTGCCCTCTATTCCACCTTGGCTGTGCAAGATCAGGACCACTTTCTCGTACTTCGGATTCAACAGTGTCGCTTTCGTGATGGCATAACCGTTCCTTGTATCCGGAGTTGCGAATGTAAAGTTCCTTTGGATCAAGCACTCAATTACGTCGAATACGATGCCGTCTCTGTAAGGGCGTTATAATGTACATGTAGCCAGATAACAGCCATGATGGGACAACGTACGTCGGATTATGCACGCCAATAATTTTCCGGCCAAAAGTGTAGGCAAGCCGGTCGATGTTATTTTGCAGCCAATGTCGTCTATTCCAATCAGTAAGAGACACACGGACGCCGATATATCTGGCTCAGAACACGCTCCTCACTTACCCGACTGCAACTCCGTTGATAAAAACCCAACATTCCCGTTCATGCTCCGGTCGCTCCTCGACAGAGACTCGTGACTCGAGAACCTCGTCCGTACTGTTGAAGACCAGCGTGCAGATGACTCGATTGATCCCGACAAAGACCACCACATAGATTGAGAGCCACAAGGCGGGCACCATACACAAGAAACCACCCAGCACCGACAGTAAGAAAGCCACCTGGCACAAAGCCAGGGCAACATGCGCAATGACATTGAACGTATTCTCTTTCGAAGGGAATAGCTCGTCCAGCTCATCCGAGGAAGCCAGCGGGAGGACTATTCCCGGCAGACACCATAGACTCCTGAGGACGAGGAGAATGTCGGCGCACAGCAACCTCAACGGCGACGCTGTATAGGGCAATGGCGGTTTCCGTCCATTTTTCCTCTTCATGGGGAAAGCCATGACATATCAGCCCACAGTCAAACGCCACGTTCCTGTATTCATATCGTGAGCGAACGGCAGAGGCCCCAAAAAATCAGGCAAGAGCGACGCACTATGCGTGTATGTACTCGGAGTCTTTCGCGTGCGAAATCCGAAGCGACCGGCCATGACATCCTTGCGCTTTAGTAGATCTGTCCTTCCCGGAAGGTGGGTTGCGCGTGCCCCATGATGGGGACCATCGTCCTCGGCAAGATCCACATGATACGACCGGTTCGTTCCCTCGACTCGGATTGAGAATGTGCCCAGGCGCACTTGCATTTAGTGGCGGCTGCAGATGAACCTTCACTGCCGCGGCCAAGCGACACAAGCTCGAATCGGATTCATCGGGACTCGTCCAAATGATCGACATCCACTCATGTGATGATCCATGGCGCCCTCGCGAGGAACGACTCCTAGGCACCTCCGTATTTCTTGTTGAACAATTTGATCAGCACTGCTGGCATACCCTGTCCTCGTCTTGCTCGCTCTCGTAGGCAATGATCCGGAGCCATGTCGTCACAGCGGTTCCCAGGTAAGACGGTCCCCATGCACGACCTACCATCAGAAGCACAGGGAGACAGCGAAGTAGGCTGAGGGCCACATGCCTCCATGAGTCACCTTGGGCATTATAATTCACTCAGCTATGTGGAAAGATGTCAGCTGCTTGGGTGATCACAACACCGCTACAGCGCGCGATGTAAAAAGAACCGCGCATTCTGCATCTGTCGTTAATACGCCGTATCCTTCTTGGCATTCCTGAACGACGCTATACTTGCAACGAGGGACCAAATATACTCCTGATATACTTGGTTAGGCCGGTCTAGAAGCCTCTAGAGCTACTGATGATATACTGGAAGTGTTCAGTTTCAAGGGATAAATGTCAGGCGGTGCAAGCCAGAGGACCAACGGTCAGACAGTGAAGAGAGAACAATAGCACGACGTGATGTGATATATTCTGAGATCTAATAGAGAAAACCTTGGTGAATATGTAGGCAACCGTAATCGATCGGTCCAGGAGTGGCGCCGGGGGTTTATAGGTGAGGTACTAATTCATGAAAGTCGAATTAGGGCTGAAACCAGCCAGCCTGGGTCTTTATGGCACAAATATTGAAGCGCACGCTTTATGGGGAGACGAGCCACGAACCAGCGCGGGGAGTTGAGGGCCCGAATAGACCGTATCCAGAGTACTCCACATAGTATGATTCCGCCTCAAAAGCGTGCCCGAATATTTAGGTAGACGCACATTCGGGCGGAAGATGTAGTTATTCATACATCGCCAAGCGTAGCGGACAACCATTGCTTGTCGATGGGATTACGTCTTGTACGCCGCCAAGAATAACTCGAGGTGTCGATCGATGATGGATCATAAAAGTTCAAGTTGATCAACATAGCCGCAATGACTGCAGATCAAATCTCGCTTTCAGCTGTAAACGCATTGAATCTTGATCGGTTGATCTCAATTCTTTGCCCACTTGCTTCTTTTCCCCCTTGCATCAACCGCCCTCAGAGCCGTCCGGCCGGTCCACGATTCTCGTTCCACAACACCTCAACGGATTCTCACCTACGCATCCTACAGACATACCTGCCTGGCATCGGCGCTGACCTGAGTAAAGATGATATCCACCGTCTTTCGTTTCCTGAGTCAAGTAAGTCAGAGTCGATCCAAGCACATCGTGCTACATTATTTTGATAGAAACCACCACAATTAACCGCGGCCCACGGCAGAGGTATGTCCCCCATTCCCCGTGCAGCCCGCCTTTCAAACATGATCAATTCCTTATGCCAGTCGTCAAGCAGGCCAACCCGACAGACTGCCGGTGAAGTCCGTGCGACATGGCTGGCGAACCTGACCAAGGAAGCCAGCCAGGGCAGCGGCGAGCTGCACCCCGTGCTGCGAGAATTCCAGCAACTCATTGAATCCAACCAACGCATCTACATGCTCTTCCAATCCATGTGGGCCCAGGCCCAGGAGCAGGGTCCCGAGCGGAACCGAGACCATGAGGTCCAAGACTATCAGCAGATGCTACAAGTGCTGAACTATATCATAACGCGCGCACCGCCCTACACGGACATCCTCGCCGGGGTCCCCATGATCGGGGTGTTCCAATATGCCATCCCGACCATCAGCGGCTACGCCGTCTTCATGGATCCGGAGGTGAACGCCATGCTGAAAAAGGTGCTGGATGCGTGGGCCCAGTTTCTCTCATCGCCGGAATCGGCATCGGTGCTCGATACCTCATCGACCGGCTGGTTCAGTGACGGGTCGATGCGCCAACTAATCACCATGGGCAATGTCGGCGGGACGACCTATGGGTTTGACGAGCTGTTCGTCTGTGACTGCCATGCTCCCCACTACGGCTTCCGGTCTTGGGATGCGTTCTTCACGCGCCAGTTTAGAGAGAACGTTCGGCCGGTCGCCTCGCCGGATGACGACGCTGTCATCGCCAATGCATGCGAATCGCAGCCCTTCACTTTGGCCAGGAATGTGAAAGCCCGGGATAGCTTCTGGATCAAAGGCCAGACCTATTCCCTGGTTGATATGTTCGGGGCTGGGTTTCCGGACGCCTTCATCGGTGGGACGATCTACCAAGGCTACCTAGACACGTTTAGCTATCACCGGTGGCACGCGCCCGTTTCGGGGAGGGTTGTGAAGGCGTACACGATCAACGGGACGTATTGTTCCACTCCCCGAGCCATCGAGAGGGATACTGAATATCACCACAAAGGGGTTGAAATTGCTTATCAGGTATATTTGTCCGCAATGGCAACACGAGCAGTCATCTTCATTCAGTCGGAAGACCCGGATATCGGCCTGGTGGGCTTCCTGGGGATTGGGATGGTGGAGATCTCAACGTGTGAGATTACGGTGAAAGAAGGGGAGTATGTCAAGAAGGGGGACCAGATTGGAATGTTCCATTATGGAGGATCGTCCCACTGTGTCATCTTCCAGAAAGGGGTCAACGTTACGGGCTTCCCGGAAATTGGACGCAAGGAGAATGTGCCTGTCCGGGGCAAATTGGCTGTTGTGCAGCGGTAGAGACACTTTTCTTAAGGGATACAGTGGTACACAAGCTGCACACCAAGAAATGTAGAGGAAATTAGCATATGCCTACACGCTCCTCTTATGTGATGTGACCTTGTTTTTGGTGGTTCTAGTTAGATTGTTCTTGGGAGAGTCTCAATGTCTACTACCTTCAACTGCTCGCAATGGCACTGAGCTCCGTCTTGAGGACCTTCCCACTGGCATTCACAGGCAACTGATCAGGAATCTTATGAGCGGCAGTCTGACTCGTTCACCAAACCTTGATGTTCATGCTCTTGAGCCCTCGCCGGGCACCTAGCGCGCGTTGGATATAGGCAGTAATAGCTCCACATCAGGAAAGCCAACCACAGCCGCAGCAGCAATGTCTAGATGCTGCTCGAGACCTTTCTCAATGTCTCCTGGGGCAATATCCTCGCCTCCTACAGTAAGTCATACAGCATTAGTTGTCATTGACGCGGGGTTGTTGATGCAGAGAGACACTTGTGCTTACCATTCTTCATCATGTCTTTTACTCGCTCAACAACCGTACAGGCACCGGAAGCGCTCGAGGAACCATTAGCATGTAAGTTGGACTTTTTATTGGCACCATTGTAGGCATATCGCTAAAATGGATTAGTTCGACGTCCTGATGCGGGTCATACATCTCATGGACGATAATATGGTCCAGTCGTCCGTGGGCTTTTGATGCGCAACTTTTCGATAAGGGCTGAATGAAAGAAGTGGCAGTCGCTTTCTGGAGAAAGGTCTAGATTGCTGTTTCGTAGAGAAATGGCACTGATAGAAATCTATAGCGGGAGATGAGACAGCATTTATATGCAAAGACCAAGAACTTATTCCTTGTTTATATCTCTCGCCCACACTCAGCCCAATTTCTCACGCATCGTGAATTTCGACTTAGGATCTCTCCGACTACGGGGCTATCTCCCCATCGAGCAAGACGTTAGTGTATATTTTTACCAAGAAACCCTCATCTTTCCACCGATCTAAAAGGGACCCTGGGATATCACCGCAGCAGACTCCCCAGGCCAGCAGCGCCTCCAACTCATCCCCAATGTCTTGAATTGGATAAAACCCTTCGTGGATGTTCATCCCAACAAGGGATACAGGAGAGACAATAAAAATATCGAACAGAAACCCTTTCAATCTGCGTTGTTGAAAGAAACAAGACAATACAACTTCAGACCAACAAAAGAACCTACAAGAAGGCCATTGCATCAACCACGAAGACTTTGTTTCTGAAGAAAGAAAAAAAGCCATAGCCACAGTTTATAAAACAGCCATGGAGCCGCTCCTTGTTTCGTTTATCATGACATGCTTTCTCGTCCTGTTTCAGCCGCCTAGTCTGGTCCCCACTTCCAAAAGTTGGCTCCCAAAAGTTGGTCAAAATCGATCCACACGGAGGTGTTGCTTGCAGATAACACGCATAACAGTTCCGGCTAGCGCTGGATAAACGCCATTGCAAGGGTCGAGAATATGATACCTGAGATCTCACTGGATAGTACGTCTAGTCGCCGACAGGACGCCACGGAAGAAGCCAGAATATCGACCGCTCTGATCCTCCCCAGAACGCCCCGACAGTCGAGGTAGAGATGAAATGCCTCCGGTCAGTGGCTAGTCTCAGCAAGGGCGAAATGAGACTGCTAACACGGGTCCTGAGCATAGGGTTCATCGACCCAGTTGGTAACGAGCCTAGAGACAAAGGAGAAATAATCAAGGCGATCAAGAAACTTCCCTCGGTCCTCCAGAGGCACTGGCTGGATCACTGGATGAACCTCATAGGTCGGGCGCCGGCCGTGGCCCTGTGTGATTTGCACACAAAACTAAACCCCTACATTATCCAATACATATTTGAGCTGCTGCGATGCGAGGTTATCACACATCTGGAGTGCCTCTACTGGTACCATAGTGTGCTCCGTGATACTCGCCTTGACGTCGTCGATATCAAAGTGCGAGATATTGTGTACAGCCTGCGAGATATACATTACATGTGGACCCCCTCGCGACGAACTCTCCAAGGAAGCCCTGTCACGTACCAGCAGAATAAGTGCGAAGCGTGCATCCTTGCCCGGGTTGTCAACGGGCGGAAATTCCTGCAGCATCTCCGTACAGCCCTCCTGAGCCGGACAGCAACCAGGAGGAATCACCGGGTACCGACATTGCTCCCGTTCGTCGAAGAAAGCATAGCCTGCCATGAAGGCTTCATCGATAAGATACATTGGCGCAGCAGCACACTGGCGACAACCATGAAGCGTCAGCGGAAATATGCCCACCGGGCTCGGATGATGTCTAACCCTGTTGCTCGTCTCCAACAAGACACCTCGAAAGCCACAGAGGAGATCGTAGTTCCCATTGGCATAGATCCGGAGGTTCTCGAGTCATTTCACAGGGGCCGACAAAAGGACGGAAACCATGGCGAACCCTACACAACATCTGAACCGGTGCCCAAACGACAAGACAGTGACACCGACACCCTTGCAGGCATAGTCGGGTTGTACCACGAGTGTCACTCTGTGAACTGGATATCCTCCCCCACATCCTGTGCGATGGAGAGTCGATCCGATCTCTCTTCTGTCACTTACACCGACGAATCACCCTCTCATGGGTCACCTACCTCCCCTAAGAACACACCATGCTCGCTCCATTCCCTTCCACACAGGATCCGTTGCCCGTTCTTGCACCATCAATCCCCAAGAGCAAAGCGCCAATGGAAGAATTTGCGGATGATGTCGATGACGGATATGCAAGCAGGTACATTCCTCCCCGGAAAATGTCCCATTGGAAGCATGTGTTGGGTCGATCCAATTCCTTGGACCGAATTTCCAACGGAGGTCAACACCTCGACTGGGAAGAGCCTCCGGGAAATGACGGATGTGAGCAGACAGCGGCCCAATACCGCAATCTGCTCAGCCCAGTTCAGCCATACTACGAATCGGAGCACGATGAACTGTTCTCCGTGTCAGAATATGAGGGCAGTCCAAGAGAAAACCGCGAGAGTCAAGATACCAACTGGAGCTTTCTATTTAGATCCTAGGGATACGTCTAAAGAATAAGTGAGGATGTGATCACATCGGCCTGCGCGCAGCCGGTGTTGCAACATTGCCTCGCTTGTGAGATATACACCTGGTGTTGGTCAAGCCTGTGGTGCATTCAAAACAGAACCTAGTATGTAATTTATAATACAATCGAAAGAAAAAAGACATTCTTCGAGAAATAACAAAACACGCAAAGGGCTCTAGAGAAAGTCAAAGAAAACGGTTGAAAAGAAAGGTAGTGATGGACACTGCTGTCCAAACCCATTGCCATAAATCGTCCTAATTATAATGAGTTTGCCACTAAAGAGAAGTCCTTGTACAAGCCAACATATACTCATGATCCCCAATATTAATACTAACAATGGCCTTGAAAGATTCGGAGGCGTCCTGCCCCTCCGAAGCGCTTCAATGTAACAAAAAAGAGCCGAGAAAAAAGATATTATGATTATAAAAATATTCACCGAGAAGAGAATGCGCGAGAAGAAAGAAGGTCAAGAAAGGTACAGAAGAAGCCGAAAGGGGAGGTCTAGAGGACGCTGCTGGCTACCCCGTGCTTCGAACCCTTCAGGCCGTCAAAGGTCGCCGTCCTTTTGCGCAATCGTGATCGTGCAGTTGTGTCAGCCGGCTCATCTGATGAGACGGTAGCGGAAGACGATACGTCCTTGCCTTTGGCTCGAACCTCGTGAGCGCTGTCGTCGTCCAGCTTCCTCTGTGCTGCCTCACGGCCCCGCTCATAACGAAGCTTAACATCGCCCTTCCATTGCGTTTCGAGAAGCCGATCCCAGATGGTGAAGAACGGCTGGGAGAAGTTGGTCTTGATACCCCAGCTCTGGTGGTGAATGTCATGGTAGGCGGCATTGTTGGAAGTAAAGTGCTGCAAGGGGTCCCAGGGAAAAGCATACCCGCAGTGATCGTCAACCGTCTTGATCGTCGAGCAGGTGAAAAACCACATGGCCTGGCGGTTGGTCATTCTAGCCGTCAAAAACGCAACACCGGTACCGGCCGTGTCGAGGAGGAATCCCTCCACGGGGTGGTTGTACAAAGCACCGAACGCATATGGGACGTATAGGCGGTGATGGCGCGAGTGGAAGGTCACTACCAAACCAGTTAGACCCAACATCGTCATTCATCGAGCGAGAGGTGAAGAAGATAGATATCAGACTTACCATAAAGCCAACGGTTCAAGTGCATTGCACGGTGGAGGAAATACTGCCAGGTGTCCACGACACATACACCCCAGACAAACTGCACCGTCGGAATGAAGTACCAGTAGATGAAGCTAGCCATGGACAACTCCCAATCAGCGAATGCAGGAGCGATGGCTTCTACGCCATTCTCCAAGACCAAGGTTTGGGTGAGTCCCGGATAACGTCCACCTGCGAGAACAGCTCCCAGTATCGTATGGCCATTCTTCGTCAGAGATTTCGCCAATCCCATCGAGTCGATGCCGAACACCGCCAACAAACGCGGGAGGGTCCTTTGCAGGAGACGGATACGCTGCGCCCAGACTGCCACATCGTACTCCTCTTTGCCAATGCATTCCACGGGGTCGAAGTACGACATAGCCATACCAGCCATGGTTTGAATTATCTGTTGTAGGACGACATCCCTCACGACTTCCCAACGCGATACGTGGTTCCTTTTGAGGACCTCCGCCGGAGTATGCAACCGGTACTGGGGAAACAAGTCGTAGACATCAATGTAGTGATAGACCATGGATAAAGCCCAGTAAGCGATAATCGGTAGGATCAGCGACAAGATGTTATCAGGAATCGGAGATAAAAGAGGCGGACGTGGTGTCAAGGTATACGCCGGAAGAGGCGGAAGGTCATAGACCACCGAAGCATTGGCTGCCATGGTCAAGACGACAGCCGATGTTAGAAGGTGTTGAAGATACAGTAGAGAAGGGTTAGAAGATCAACACATGGATTGGTTTGAAGGTTGACGGGTTACGCGATCTAAAAATGGCGGAGCCAAAAAAAAAAAAGAAAAAGAAAAAGAAAAAAGAAAAAAAGAAGTGTATCGATAACAGAGAGAGTAGAAAAAGAAGAAGAAGAAGAAAAAAAGTAGTAGTAGTAGTAGTATACAAGCCCTGCGAAGGGCCGCGGCTGCTGGATCCGGATCGTTCGCGATCCACAATTAGGGGAGGCGAACGGAGAATGCACGAACCGAGGGGCCGGAGATGCGTTCGGACGTTGGAGGTCCGAAGACGAGATGAATGGCAGAAATGGGCGGGATCAAATTCGGAGCCGAAGAAGACAGTCGGAGCAAAGGTAAAGAGCGGCACCTGTAGGCACACGGCAGAGTCGTCGAGAGATATAAAGGAAGGGAATGCGCGATGGGGAGACAAAAGTTGAAGTGGCACCACGGGAAGTGCCAGGCGACCGATAATCTGATCGATAATACCGCCGTGTTTCGTATCTGTCATTTGGCACTGGTCCCCTGTTTGTATATGGGTCATTTTGGTATTCCACCGGTATTCCGCATTTACGGAGGGTCGCCGGCATGGTTGGCCGATCACCCCTGATGGGTTGCATGTGCAGCCTGATCACTCAGGCAGACAATGCCATCTTATGTAAGATTTGACAGTTCCCGGTAACTTAGTTAACTACTAGTACTAGTTAACTGGTAGTTACCTCCTCGTAACTATATAATAGCACCAGCAAACAAAACCCCATTGAGATCGTTTCCCCCCTCTAGGGGTCGCCAATATCACTGGACTTAATTTCTAGAGATTATTACCTTCCCTCTTGAATTTAGTAGACATTTTCCTTTGCATTACTCGCCCACGGTCAGGTGCCCCCGGAGCAAACTTGATCGGGCCAGACAAGTCGACCCAGTCCCAATCGGGCATTAGCGTCGGTTTTGCCCCTCGAAACCAACCAGCGAAGAACGAGGGAAAAAAAAAAATCAAAAAATCAACCCCACCAAAAAGGTTGGTCAAGAAAAACGGGTGGCACTAAAACTTCAAATATTAGTATTCCCCTCCTTCTTCCTTCTCTTTCCTCTCCTCTTGTCTAGCCGTGTGCCATTTCACTCTCATTTCCTCATCTTTCTCTTCTTTTCTTGTTGCTTAGGTTGATTCCTATTCTTCTATCAAAATGATCATCTACAAGGTATGATCTTTTCTTCTCCGCTGGCTGGAATTACCCCACTTTTTCATGATCCTCAATGTCAACAATGCATCAAGACATGCAATCCGCGGCATTAGGCCCACATCAGATGGGGACTGAAAGAGATACTGACAAGTAATTATTTCTATAGGATATCTTCTCTGACGATGAGCTTGTCTCTGACACCTTCAAGCTCAACGTGGTCGACGGCGTCCTCTTCGAGGCCGACTGCAAGCTTATCCAGAAGAAGACGAACGAAGATATCCAGCTCGAGGGCGCCAACCCCTCCGCCGAGGATGGTGAGGACGACGCTGGTGGTGAGGGCGGCACCGTTCAGGTCCTCGACATTCAGGACCAGTTCCGTCTCCAGGAATACCCCAAGATGGACAAGGAAGACTACAAGAAGTACATCAAGGGCAAGTCTACCAGATCATCCCAGGACATGTTAGAGCATGAACGTTAACATTCTCTCCAGGCTACATGAAGAAGGTCCACACCAAGCTTAAGGAGAACAATACCCCCCAGGCTGAGATCGACGAGTTCACGAAGAATGCCCAAACCGGCCTCAAGAAGATCCTTGGCAACTTCAAAAACTACGATATGTTCATTGGTGAATCCTTTGATGCTGATTCTATGTAAGCTCAGCCCTCGGCTCTTTCAGTGATCTTCTCATTATGAGCACCCGTTAACATATCCATAGGCTCGTCCTCATTGACTACCGCGAGGACGGTGTCACCCCCTACGCCACTCTCTGGAAGCACGGCCTTAAGGAGATGAAGGTCTAGGTTACAGTTTCCTGCGAATAATGTCCTGAATGAAAGAAGGAAGGTCCTGGAGAACGCGAATATCCTACCCCTGACAGAGCAAGTGAGGCTGTGGAAGGCATTCGAGAAACCCCTCGGTCTCACATCCTAGTCTTCTACTACAGCTCCCTCTATCTCGCTTCCTCGGTAACCTACCTAATATCAGTCACGCCTCATGAATCCCAAAGCTGCTATGTCTCTTTCTGCATTATCCTGTGCCCTACACTAGGACATCAAAACTTATATACCTCCCGCTTTCTCCGCCATTCCATCCAGAATTTGGATAGATGAAAAAAATATCAGTTTCACACCCTGTTATTCAGGACTACCGGCTTCCAACTCTCTTCCGAGTATGTGTAGTATGTCGTAAACAGGAGTGTGGCTTCGTTCATAAAAAAAAAACTATATACAAAAAGACCAGGTATATGTACCGTAGAATACAAAATAAAAAACGCCTCTAAATTCCCAAAACAGGCTGATTCAAAACAATTGGATCATCAACAGTATCCAACCCAATCGGGGCCAGGGATACTGCCCAACCCCGTTTCACTGCCCCCCAGACTAGCAGTCCGACTACCGCCACCCACCCTGCCCCCGCCAAGATCCCCAAACTCGAATCCAGCCACGGGATCTAGTTCCATGAGCTCGTCGGCGACGGGGAGGTGCTGGCCGAAGACCGCGTCCCATTGGTCCCAGTCGAAGTTCAGGTTCGGGTCCATCAGGGAGGGAGGCGTTGGGCCGGCGGCCAGGGACTGTGCGCTAGGCGAAGCCAGGTCCATGAAGGACAAGGGCGGGGGTGGAGTGGAGGTAAAAGGGATGGCGGTACTCAGTGGGGGGATGATGCGGTCAGGAGAGGAGATGGTGGAAGCAGGGGGAGGAGTTTCGACCGGCGCATTGGCCTTGGCTGCGGGGGATTGGGGCATCTGGGGAGTCGGTAGATTTGGGGGAGTGTCTGGGACGGAGGTTTGGGGTAACTGGTATCGAAGGGGACTGGGTCGGATGGTGGAGACCGGGTTGGGGAGCATGTGCGAGCGTGTCATGTTGTAGAACATCTTCGAGAAGTCGGCGAGTTGTTGTCGCGACGTCATGGTGGAAATCGAGGGCGTCGGCGCGGTAGAGCCGCTGTTGGCATAATACGGATTGGAGGCGCAGGGATATTCGTCCGGGCCGGACGCTGCACCGGCTTGAATCTGTGCTTGCTCGGTCCATAGCTTATGTGGATCCAGACCGGCTTTCTGCCATGCTTTCTGACGTAGTCTGCGAATCATATCCCATGCCTCGCGGCCGCCATCTTTCAGTGGCCGTTGGGCTGAGATGCCGTCCTCGCCGCCGACAACACCGCCATCCGGTCCCGTGAGTGAAAAGATCTTGTCGATAAATGCCCTCGACTTGGGTGCTTCGGGCTATAAGGCCGCTCGTAAAGATCGATGAGCATGATCATAGCTGCATGCATTGGCTGGTGGTTTCCCGGCCAGCTCCATTGGAAAGGTTGGAAGTCAGGATCAGTGGCAAGGGATATGAATTTCTCCATGAAGCCGTGGCAGTGGCGGAGAGCACTATTTCAGAGTCAGAACAGAACAGCGCTGTTTCCGAAGAGCGTCATTTGATCATACCTGTGTCTTGCCGCTGGCCAAATACGGCTCTTAGCGTTCTTGAGGAACGGTTGGTAGGCGACACAGAATGCCTTGCAATACGTTAGAAACGGTTTCTCCAATGTTATGTTAGGGACACTCACCTTATCAATGAAGAGTGAGAGCAGGATCCGGGCCCATTTATGAAAGGACACGAGAACAGGAGAGTGATATTGTTCCGTACAACGACCGGGTCCTTCTCCAGGAAGTTCCAGGTCGCTGGTTCTCATCTCTACCGGAGAGACTGAAAACGAAAGCGATCTGTTATTAGCGCTGGAAGACAGCTGGTAGTTTGCAATTTCTGGGATTCGATCGATTATAGAATTGAGTTTGAGTTGCAGGTCGAGGAGGATTGATCGGAGCTCCTCCATATCCCGGCGCGTCACGGGTTTCGTGCCCAGTTGAATCTTCAATATCCGACGGACGGCGCCTATTATTGTCCAGTTTAGTACTATCAATCATAATACAACAGAAGTGGTACTTACGGGCCATGACATATTTGCCTCTGGCTGATAAATAGTACACGTTGACCATGGATGGTCCACCGCATAAGGTCGGATCATCCGGGTTGTCAGGAGACCGCATGCCAGATGCCACCAGTTCCTCGTATTTTTCAGCCTCGGGTGTCCCTAGAAGTGTGTCTTTGACTTCGCTGGCATCACGGACATCCCAGAAGTTCTCATCACTGACCAAGGGAGGCAGCCCGCTAGACATAGCAACAACGCCATCCATATGTACGATATGCCACCATATTCGCCGCCGATACTCGGCTTCATAGGGTTTAATCCCAAATTTAGCAGGATCTCGATGCAGGCCCATCGTCTGTGCTACTCTCATGGCCAAACTAATGAACAAACTGCTGGTTAACGGCTCTTCTTCCTTTGAAAGTATCGTCTGCACCAGGAGATACGCAGCCAAACCCTGTAATGAAGGGCTGCGTGGAAACGATATCTTCGTCAACCACCGCGTGACCTCCTCGTTGTAAGTTTTAGAAAGTGCGGATCGCGAAGAGACATTGAATTCAGCCTTAATGGTCCGGATCGATATTGTAACCGATCCACCGTACCAAATAGCGTAAAGTAGAGGAATAAACGAAGGGTCCGGGCAAGGATCTCCAGAATAGCTGCTGTAATCGTACCAGTCCCAGAAGGAGTTGTATAGCTTTAAGATTGTTGGGGGGTGAATCACTGGACTGATCGCATGTATTCCAGACATAAATCCTTTGTACAGAATATGACTCTGTCGTTTCGTCGGCACATGATCAAGCATTTCTGGTTCGACATGCTTCTCTTTCACCGATGGGGAATCACCCGTAGGGAAAAGCACCGACTTCTGGAATTCTTCAACACCAGACACTCGATCCCGAGAGACTCCACCAGGGCTATCAATTGATGCCTTCCACGGGCTGCCAGTTGTTTTCGCCATCGTATCCGTCATGTTTTCATCAGCAGAGCTTTCGTTAGCCGTAGTGTCCTGATGTGAGCGACTCTGGTACTTGAGTAACTGATTGAGCTCATTGATCTGCGAGTGTTAGTTTACTTCCTACGAAGTACTGAGGTAGAGCTTGTATCATACCTCATGGGATATATAAGCCCAGTAGGTTGTCCCAACATATCTAACAATCAATCAGCTCCACCTGTTCGCAAGTGAGGAACGTGCGACGTACCTCGACCGACCCCCATCCTCCAAGCTCAGATGACCCAGGTTCAAGCTACCCACCGGATCCACCAAGTCAGTAGCAAGGCCAGCGGGAATTGGAAACTCATCACTCGAATCCGTGCGGCGGGGGCTATCTGGACGAGACGCGCCCGCAGTCTTCACGGGCGCGCCATTCCCCGGTCGAGCTTCACCCTTCCCAGCTTCAAGATTGACATTTTGAGCCAGTAACAGCCGTTGTTCCGCATCCAAAGGTCCGTTAGATTTGCTGAGCCGCTCAATCATTGACGTGAGTTTATCCAACCGCGCTTCGATCGCCTGCGACCCGTACTTCTGCTCGGGAGACCCAGCCTGCCTCAGATGCCCGTAAAGCGAACCAATATCGTCGAGATCCTCATCCAGCGGTCGCGAAGATTCCCTCCGTCGCTTAATACCGTGTCCACCTGCTGTTTGACCATGGCGCGACCCGGTGTCTTTCTGCGGCGCAGCATCGTAGATACACTCGGTTCCGTTCTTCACGCAATTTCCGCACACAGGGTGCACCTAGTAGCCGTTCAGCATATGGTGTCTCGCTAGAAGTCTCACCAGGAAGGATGGGCGTACCTTGTCGCATTTCACTTTGCGCCTCCGACAAGTATGGCAGCTGTAGCTGGCGCGATTTCGGGTAATTTGACGAGCTCCGGCCTTTGTCGTCGAGGACCGAGACGCAGTCGACTGTGGGGTAGATACTGGCGCGGAGGCCTTATTCAGCTGGGCCTGGGATGTCGCGCCCAGATTCGAAAGCCCATAGCCGGGCGAAGTGCTTGTTGGGCTCGTGTCCATAATCCCTTAATTGCAGTGGTGGGGTTCTTCAAGCGTCAACGGGACCGCACAGTGGATTCATCGGGAACGGCGCAAGCGTCACGACGAGTCAAACCATAGGGGCGAAGGCGTAGAAATGGGCCAAGTCAATACCGGAGCGTCCCACTGTGCAAAATCGAGTGTCTGGTGGAAATGATGGCCGAGGCTGGTTTCTGTCTGGGGTAAAGTCCGCGTTATCGGTGACGATCGATTTGGGTTCCGAGGGCCAATCAAATGAGGCTTATACGGAATTCGGCGACGGCCAGACCTTGAATGAAATACCACTCAAAAGCACGACATGGAGGGGCATTTAGGTGCTTCCAATTCTATGAGCGTATATTGTCTACATGGACATCCTCCGGTGGAACCCAAATAATATCGGTTATGGCTTGCATGACATGAGTCACATCTCTGGGTATATCAAACGGGTATGTCATGTATCTATGGGCTTAGGGTCGCACGAGCGTTTCAGCATCTCGCACTGCAACTATTTACTCTGTACCGCGCTAATATCAGACAGACGGTAGTCGGCTGAAACCGCTTCGCAGTACCATTTTCGATTTCAACTTGGTATCAGAGAAGAGCATGGAAGCCCTCTATAGGTGTAAACAAACGCCTTACGCCCGGACAATGCAGCCAAAAACGTGTACACAATATGCACAGGTAGACAATCGTAATAATTCCATATGGCCGGCCACCTTAGGCCTTTCCCTTCTTCTTGTCCTTCTTTTTCTTCTCCTTCTCGCCACTGCCTCCGGACGGATCTCCTCCCATCATCCCGGCCAGCCCGGGCATTCCAGGGATCTGAGGCATTCCCGGCATACCTTGCATGTTCTGCATCTCGGCCATAGCATCCTTGAGCGGGTTATCGCTGACTCCACCGCCACTGTAGGCAGGCGAGTGGATCGGAAGAATTGAGCCGATCTTCCATCCGCGGGGAGCAGCGGGAGCAGGGGGGAGCTTGTCTGGCATGGGAAGACCACTGATTCTCAGACGGTAAGGCGATTGCTCGGTTGTTGGGTGAGCTTTAAGGTACTGGGCCACGAGGATATAAAGGTGGTGCTCTGAAGACAAGTTAGCAACATATCCTAGGCTAGCATCGGGACGTTCCCCAAATCCCGGCTTATAGAATAATGTCAAAGCACGCAAAAGGGAGGAGAACGGAAAGGAAAACACACTATTCTTAATCTTTGGGTTTGCCAGTTTCCCATCCTCGTCCTTCACCAGCACCCGCACTCGGCCTGGGTTCGCCCAATCCTTCGGGTGGAGTTTTTCCGGCTCGAATCCAACCTGCAATCCCAGCATCTGCGCAGCATCGACGATGTCTCGAGCCAATGGGTTCTCCACCGCCAGCTCTGCGCCGACCTTGCGGCCCTCGGCGCGGCTTCGCGATTTGTCGAAGTACACGGGATACAGGCACTGGTAGTGTTTCGGGATTTCGCGACGCGGTTCAGGGGCTGGCCTCATTGGTATCGACGAGGAACCCTGAGGGGAGATACCTGCGGCGGAGAGGAGGGATTCATTGGCGAAGTTGGAGGGCGTGGAGTCGGAGGGGAAAACCTCATCTGGATCGGAGTCGTACACCTCCTCTACCTGTGCGTGTCGCGACATGGCGATTTCAATCGATGGAGAGTATACGGAAGCGAATGGTTAAGGGGGACAACCGGACTGAATTTGGCGAGTCGAGGGGGTGGGTTGGGGTAACTGTCAGCCTATGTTGGCCTTTCTGTGCGGAATGGAGTTTTAGTGGCTCCAGTGCGGAGCGGAGAGTTTCCACCGCCCACCCGCGCGATAAGAGCTGTTCAGGTACGGCATCAACCTGGCTTTGGTGGGTGGTTCTTGCCGTGAAACATAGAGAGAACTATTCTATACTGAGATTTCCCTGTTAAATATCTTCTTGTTTAAATCCTTCTCTATGGATGAGCACTACATGCAGTGCGGTACCAATCCGATAAAGTTCTTACAATCGGCACGGCATGGAAAGTATATATATGGATTCGAGTACACAACAGGATTTACAGACTCAGAAATACCATGAACAAATTGGATCTTATGCGGTCAGAAAGTACTTTCGATTTGATTCACAAGGGGAACAATTGCTACTGGACTAACAACGTCTGACTCTAAATAGAGGAAAAGGAGAATGAAAGTCTATAGTAGTGATCGAAGCGTAAAGACACTGAGAAGTCTACCCACGACTGATCCTTACCAGGAAGATGGCGTATTAAAGTTGGTCCAGAATAAGAGATATAGCCTTATACTAGTAGTCTGCTACTGATTCACCATTCAGATCAAATGAGGTTTGCCCTACGTAGAGCCAGCCTCATTCATCACGTGTACGCCCATTTCCTCAATCAGCTGAACATGACGCTGAGGGAGAGACTCATTCTACCAATCTGGGAAACATACGCAATCAGCAGTGAGTCACAGCGATTGCTAAATTGCAACAATATCATGCGAGTCTCTACATGGAGCAGCACCGAACAGTCGGGCCGTCGGTGGGTGCGGCCAACCATCTGCTCGGGACCTCGATCGGCATGCGACCCCCGCCCTACCCCACAAATTGACAAGTTCTAGATAAGGCCTGAAGGCGAGTGTCCTGAGGATATAAAGGCTGATGTATTCCTCCGTCTGAGTGAAAGTTGCATTTGGCCTCGTATTCTTCTATTTATTTTTTTGATCGTCAACCTTGAAGATTCTCGACGCTTCACCAAATGCCTTGGTTGAAATTACTACTAGCCCGAGTCATCAACCAGTAGATCCATCAGTCATGACTGAAGGAATCAAGACTAGCGCTGTCCTTCACCGCGATACCCGCTTCCTCCCCAAGAAAGCAATAGATGGTAAGGGCTGCTACCTTTTTCTCGAAGATGGCACCAAGTTCCTCGACTCGACCGGTGGTGCAGCCGTATCCTGCCTCGGCCACGGGCACGAAAAGGTCAAGCAAGCCATCATCGACCAAACCAATAAGATATCATATTGCCATACCGCGTTCTTTAGTACCGAAGTATCCGAAGAACTAGCTCGATTCCTTGTCGATTCAACAGGCGGCAGGCTGTCGAAGGTGTATATGGTTAGTTCTGGTATGGTATGAGCCCCAAATGCTTGGATATAAACCTGACCTACCTCTACTAGGCTCCGAGGCAGTTGAGGCGGCCTTGAAATTAGCTCGACAGTATTTTCTCGAGCTCTCCACACCCCAACCTCAACGCACCCGGTTCATCGCCAGGAAGCCCTCGTATCATGGGATCACCTTGGGCGCACTAGGGGCGGGAGGACACGTCCTTCGACGACAGCCGTTTGAGCCATTACTCCCGCAAAATAACTCCCATGTGTCCCCTTGTTACTCTTACCGGGGCAAGCACAATGGCGAAACAGATGCGGACTATGTTGCTCGACTTGCTGCAGAGTTAGACGCCGAATTTCAACGCGTTGGCCCGGAGAATGTCTGTGCCTTTATTGCAGAGCCGGTTGTCGGAGCTGTGAGTACCATATCCCTACTCTGGATGCATGCTCTTCCATGAAACAGCGACCCTAATATTTGGATCCTCACAGGCATTGGGCGCCGTCCCCGCCGTCCCCGGCTACTTCAAAGCCATGAAAGCGGTGTGCGAGAAATATGGAGCGCTTCTCATCCTGGACGAAGTAATGAGTGGGATGGGGCGCTGTGGAACGCTGCACGCATGGGAGCAGGAAGATGTGATTCCTGACCTCCAGACTATCGGCAAAGGCCTCGGAGGTGGATATGCCCCCGTATCTGGTCTTCTGATCGGAGAGAAGATCGTGCAGACATTGGATAAAGGCACAGGCGTTTTCCGTCACGGGCAGACATACCAGGGCCATCCCATGTCGTGTGCTGCTGCGCTAGCTGTGCAGAAGGTCATCCAAGAAGAGAACTTACTGGAGAATGTGCGGGATATGGGGATTTACTTGGAAAGCCAGCTTAAAGCTCGGCTGGGCGATCACCCCTATGTGGGGGATATTCGTGGGAAGGGGCTATTTTGGGGGGTGAGTTCAAAGTTACTCAGGAATCTGTGCGGGTCCTTCTATTCAGAAAAAAAACTAACGGATGGGCATCATAGATTGAGTTCGTTACGGATAAACTCACTAAAGAGCCCTTTAGCCCCGAGCTGGGGGTGGCCGCTCATATCCAGGAAACTGGTTTGGATCCGGCATACGGAATCTCGCTGTATGCGGCTACAGGGTGTGTGGATGGAACACGAGGAGACCATGTCCTCCTCGCACCTCCGTATAATGTGACGAAGGATGAGATTGATCTTATTGTGGAGACCACTGCTAGAGTCCTGGGTCAAGTTTTCACCAAGGTAGTGAAGGTTTGAGCGACTGGCATGGTTATTTAAGGGGTTAGGAACTGTAGTGAGATCAATAAACGTATACAAGAATGGTTCTGGTAGTAGTAGTATGAGCTGGTGTTGATTTAGACTATATGTGATGAAAGTACAACGCCCTCACAGTCAAACCAACCCAAACACTCAGCCGGGTATTCACTTTATTGAGCTGTGGAACAACCGAGAAATCTATAATACACAACATATAATGGTCACATTAGGCAGTCGCATCAATCTCAGCACCATTGGAAGCAAGTATTTCTTTCAGCTTCTCCTTAGTTTCTCCATTTGTTACAGTAGCAGACGGAGGGCCCTCAGCCCACATGCCAGCAACTGTTTCCACCGCACGTTCGACGACAACTCGAACCCTGTCTCTCATCACCGCATTGGCACACTCAACTTCAAGATCCTCAAGCCATACCCGCGCAATATGCTTGTCGACTTTGATCTCAATTCCGGGAACCGGGATTCCCAGAGCGTGAAGTCGCGCAAGTTCAGCGGCTTCCAGGTCAGCTAACCTTTCTTCGTCGTCGTCGTCGTCTTCCTCTTCTTCTTTAGGAGTCTGCTCCGCAGCAGTTTCGTTCTTCGTTGCCCCGTTGGTGAGTTGAGTAGTGGGTAGTCGTGGACGTTCAATGGGTGATATGTCCGATCCGAACTGTGCCTCAAGCATCATGAGAAGGCGTGCGAAACGTTCTTCAGGGTCGAGCTGTGAATGAGGGTTGGGAAGTTCAAGGGTGTGGTGGTGGTGGTGATGGTGCTTTTGCTTGGCGGACTCTGTACAGGTAGTGTCAGTAACTAAAAGTGGTCGCCCATATAGTGTGAATATGTGACATACGCTTTACAGACGCAGGGCTGCTTTCAACGGTGAGCAGGACTGCCATGACGGCATCGGCAACCCCATCGTTCATCATATTTCCTTCCCACTCAAGCTCGACCTCGCGTGTACGAGGGAAATAGCGAATGACTACACAACCCATGACAAGATAGGCCTGTTCATTTTCAATAGGAATTTCTTCGTCGGCAGCTTCCTCCTTCAGTTTGGATTCTTCTTTAGAACCCTTCTCGTCCTCCACAAGCTCCTCCTTGACGTCGGTCTTCGGGCCAATCTCCTCGATAGCACCGAAAGTACCCTCGAGGGCCCATTTGATCAAGTCCATACTCGCCGAGCTGAGGGTTATATGTTGCTTGCAAGTGATAGTTGTCGTAGTTAGACCAGCATATTCGCGCAGATCATCAGGCGCCATCAATGATAAATTGAATCCGTTTTGAACGAGAACACCGGCCATGAGGTGGCCGTCGTCTTGCTCCGAAGGAGGCGCAATTTGGGCTAGTTTCCCGACGACTTTCGCGATTTTGTCCTTCTTGAAAGGGATGCGGACTTCTTCACAATTTGCTGGTGTATATACCTTGACCTTTACAGTCTTCTCTACATTCAGACTGAGAAGCTTCGATTTCAGTCGCATCATCTGATGTTTTTCGCCGTGAACAAGGATCTGGGATACAGTCAGGGATCTGGTATAAGGGTATCATGGACAAGGAACATACCACAACAGGTGCAGAAACTTCTTCAATGAAGTTGCGATTTTCAACGCCATCAACATGAGCTGCAAAACTGATTTCGTCCACAGTGCATCTCCTTGGAATCATAACTTTCTGTTCTTCATCATTGCCGCCCCTTCTTGCCAGCCCAGTCGCCGCTCTTGACATCACGGCTGGAATTTGCTCGGGCTCATTAAGTAACTGCTTGGCCATTGTGCCCTCCACACTGTAACCAGTCATAACAACACCGTTGCGTTCATTTGGGGCCCAGCGCTCAAGAAGTTCCCTGCTTGTACCAGTCTGTAGCATACCCGGGGAAGCCAGCATCACACAGCCCCCTACATCATCGAAACGTTCCAAGCTTCGCAAACTCCTAACGAATCTAAAGTCCCAGGGCCCAGCGCTGACGCTCTTGTCACCGCTAGCTTCCGCCTCCGCCATACGCTGTCGAAAGAGTCGTTTGATATTGTCATTCATTGCGCCAATATATGTCTGATATACAACCATGCATCTTCGGGCTGTATTTCCAATGTAGTAAATAGGCATTTTCTGCAGTTCAGGGTGTTTCTCCCAGTACTCATCAAGAATAAGCAGTAACTCTTGGGCACGGCCAAGAGCAAAGACAGGCATCAAGACTCTACCACCGCGATTCAAGACCCCGGTGATTGACTTCATAAGTGCCGCTTCACGTTCCAAGCGAGGAGGGTTGGATGAGATCCCAAATGTCGACTCCGTAATAAGTACATCAATTTTTATTCCCTTTGGTACTTCAGCCGGAATTAAGTGTCGGTCTTCTTCACGTGAGTAATCGCCGGTAAAGAGGATATTCAAGCCAGCTATTGAAACCAAGAACATAGCGGCACCAAGGACATGACCGGCAGGGAAAGGAGTGATGCGGATGCTGTTGATTGTGTGTGTTGTATTGAAATCAATTGTTTCAATCAGAGGAAGTGTAGACAAATGGTCATGTTCGGTATAAAGAGTGGTGCGTTGATCCGACGAAGACGCAGTATTGCTGACCCGTACATTGTCCTGAATGAGCCATTTGTAGATAGCCTTAGTCGCATGCGTCATAAAGACGCGACCTTTGAAGTTCGTCTTGCTGAGGACATAAGGGAGAGCGGAAGAATGATCAACGTGAAAACTAAGTAGGAATCTATCAGTCACCTGCTTGACCTAAGGTATCCAGAAGAGACTAAGGACACCGGGTCAAGAACGCCAAAGCGATGCACGGATACAGAGATACATTCGGAGCACAGGATAAATAGCTAGTATATATTGTATTGTGTTTCTCGTATACATGGGAGGAAGTAAGCTCTGCATCGAGGAGAACCCGCCTTCCACTGATGACAGATTTATCCAGTTTCAAGCTCCCGAGGACCGAAGGAACCGCATGGCAAGTGGGAATGGCTATGGACCACGATGGACTTCGCAAATACAAAGGAGAGGAGTAAATTACATACTGGCTAATCAAAAGGATATCCACTGTGCTCAAGTCGAATTCGTCGAAGAACGGAAGAGCAGAGAAACCCTCTTTCGCAGGATGCATACCGGCGTCAAGCTGTCAGGAAGGGATCAGTCAGCCTTAACTACCCATGAAAGAAGTCCATGTAGCTACACACCATCACTGTTTTCCCCTTATACTGAATAATGTGACATGATCGGCCAACCTCATTTCCTCCGCCTAGACAGTAGAACCCCAGCTCGTCGGACGGGTCGACGGGCTCATCGTCGACCGAGGCATTCAAAGCCGATGCCTTCCGTTTGGTCGCCATGATGTACTATGCTTAGCAAGTTCTCTGAGAACCATTCATCTATATTTTCCGTCACAGTGGCCCTTCCGAGGATAAAGCGCAATATTAGCGCAAAGACGGACTAAGGAGACTATCCCTCTTATGTAACACTTAAAATGTTGGGGGTAGATCAGCCATGGCAGGCGTGTAATATGATAGAGCAAGAGCCTATGATCTGGGTGGCAGCGGTGAATGAGAACTCCCCGACTGATGCCTTGCGCAAGTCTGGCAATCCGTGTTGATCTCAAAAAGAGCATCAATGGGAGTAACAGTTGGAACTCAAGAAACGCGCTTCCGCCGCCCGACTTACCTAATTTGACACGTGACTCAATGGGATCCGCAAATCTTGTCAAGGAAAAGCTCCCTTTCCATCTGCGAACAACACGGTTAGACCCGGTCGATTCACCACGCACGCATCTATTCTTCTGTGAGGGTACATTTGTTGGACTTACTTGACGACTCTATGTTGGACGCTATTTCCTGAGATGGTTACAGTTGGCGGCGGTGGCGGTTCGAGCAATCCGCTCAGTTTCGACTTTCGCGCGGGTGTGGCCTTTGCATCTCGATAGACGTGACCGAATCTACAAACGATATCCTGTACGAATTTACCACATAAGAATAAAGCAACACAAGTCACCATGGCGCAAACACAACCGCAGCAGTTCTCCCAGTCTTTCTCCCCTCCGGGGTCCTCTCCCTCTCCGGGAGCAGCTTCCCCGGTGAATGGTGGCGTCCCTCCACCGGTCAAACGACAACACCTCTCACCTCTCCCGCAATCACCTTATGCTTCACCGAGCTTTGGAACGTTACAACTACCTCAAAACCAACCGATACCTGTAAATGGCGCGAACTTGAACGGCGCGGGTCAACAAACACCACAACCACCCGCTCCCCCACCTGCAGGCACAATGGGACCACCTTCCCGGCCGGTTGAGAAAGCGACAGATGCCGCAGAGCTTACAGATGTCCTGGCTTCATCTGGTATCGATGTTAGGGAAGAAGAAGCGTTTCTTACCAGCAGTTACTCAGCTCCGGGGACCCAGGCACAGCAGCCTCCAAGACCCCAACAACCTCTCCCGCAGCAACAGCCACAACCTCCGCTGAATACATCCTTTACATCACAAGCTTCAACAATATCAACACAGCCTAGCTTCACAGAACCCTCACCATACAAACCGCCAGCAACTCAGGAGTCATTCTATTCTGAGCCACCAGCGCCAGCCCCTGCCCCGTTTAAAGATCCCAATGAACCAACGCGAGAGGATACCGAAGCAGCTAGACGTGCCCAGTACCATCTACAAGAACCATTCTTATTGACGAAAGTTTTGGAGCAAAAGCTGCAACGACGTGGCTTTGAGCTTGGGGTTCGTATACCAGCTGAAGGCTTGTTTCATCCGGTACCAGGCCGTCCGCAACCGATCGAAGTTACCGGACCCGACGGATCATCTGTTGTACGTACCGGCCAGACCATCTTGAATCAAGAAGGGGCGCCCTTGGTGGACATCCTTAACTTAATGTCAATTTCTTGCGAAGAGCGATTGCGGGGCGTTATTGACTACTCTTCTACACTTGCACGAAGCCGACGCGCCCACTCACATGGAGTCGTACCTGTTGAATTCAAGGACATGGCTGTTTCGGCTGGTGTTCCTAGCGGGGCCGGGGCAGGTGACAAAACACCCCTCAAACGTGGGTTAAACTCTTGGCAGATGGTTCTTATCTTTGACGGTGGCTAACAAAACATAGGACCTCATTCAGCGACCGAGCAAACTACAGCTAAATCATTAGCTGAGAGATATCGTGCGCTAATGGAAAGGGACAACTCTAGCGAAGAAAGCCGAGCTGCCAAACGCGCCAAGCGCAGTGCGAATGCTATCCTAGGCGAAGGCGGACCGGTGAGGGCCGAGTCCGTAGATATACCTGGCTCCGGTGCTTCCACGCCGATCCCAGAAAAAGCCCCGAGCATCGATAAGAAGGGAATATCTAAGAAGGAGGCTCGGAAGCTCATGGATGCGAAGGCAAGCGAGGCCCAACAACACCAGCAGTCTGTGGAAACCGCACGACTCGCCACCAATAGCATGCTCTCAGGTCGTATGTTTGGAACCAAAAAGTCCTACTCGTGGTTGAATCGGGGGGCAGCAGCCACCACCAGTGGCTTTTCTACACCATCACGTGTCAGTACCGCGACTCCAAGCGGGACTAGCTCTGAGAAACCTGGCCGTGAACCAGCCGCCGTGCCCGCGAAGCGACTGGGAATGTGGCGGGAGGACAAAGACAAGGGCTCGGGGGTTCAGGTCCGAGACATCTTATTCATGCTCGAACTGGATGGCAGAGGTTCCCGACACGTACAGAAAGCGTATTCGAAGGATTTGAAGGAAGACCGAATAGACTGAACGGGCCTTCCTCATGTCCGATATGAAATGAACCGTTGATGCTAGTTTCGTTGCATTCTCGACTTAGCATTTGATCTTTCTTGTCTTTCGAGGTTCGCACAGTTACTGCGCAGGACCGTGGTCTCTGGCGTTGCGGTCGGTATATTCTCTTTTTGCTCGACACCTCCGCCTCGGGTGTCTCACGCCTGTTCATGTATTTTTCTCCGCGTGCATTTTTTTTTCCCTCGAGGCCGGAAGGGAGTCACTGCATATGTGTGCCGTTTCTTTTTTATGGCCTACTACTACTACTACTACTATTACTACTATTATCACGAGTACTCGATTTAATTGGGGCGGGATCTTTTTTTTTTTTTTTTTTTTTCTTTTTTTTGCAGAGGCCACTGCAGGATACAATCACCTTGCTTCTTATACCCTTTGTGACGGTAAGGGGGGAAAACTATAAAAATCAGATAACTTGATGAATGTAAACTTGGTCTGATTTCTTTCTCCAACCCCGATCGACCGGTGATAGTAGAAGATAAAACTTGCCAGGTAAGTCACGACGAACTGTGTCCGGAGTACTGAGAGGATGTAGTATACATACTCAGGTCACGTTCCAGAGTCCCATTCCACCTCGGTCTACTCCGTACTCTGGATTGCTGTACTGGGGTTAAGGCCGGGACGTGAACTTGTTGCGGGAACCGCTACGCACCAGACACGCAAGCAGAAGATCTCATGCGGAGATCGCATCGTCATCACATTAAGCAGCACCCACATTGCCTTTCACAGCCACGGGGAACACATCAATTAACCTTACAAGAGCAAATACTGAGGGATCCGCGAAGACTTTTCTCCGGTTAAACCTTGTCGTGGTGACAGTACCAGATTCGAAGTGTCAAAAGACTGAAATTGAGGTTGAGTCGATGAACAAGATGACATCAGTTCGCAGGGAGCCAAGGGAACCTGACCAAAAAAAAGCGGAGGGGCTCCATCCAATCCCGTCCAATCAATCGCCCCAGCGGCGCCATCACCTGGCTGGGACTAGCGTTGTATGTATGTATGTCTGTCTGTCTGTCTGTCTGTCTGTCTGTCTGTCTGTCTGTATGCACTAAATGTATGTAAGTGCCGGGGAAAAAAAAAAAAAGAAAAAAAAAGAAAAAAAGAAGCAAGTTTAGGTAGTGAGTTCCTCCTAGATACATAGTAGTAGTAAGTAAGTATGTATGTATGTACCTACTTTAGGGGATTAAATTTCAAAATCCTTCTGCCAGGGAAATAATGAGGTAAAGCTATGTCTCAGACTTTCAGTACAAGAGATTTTTGCGTCCCTTCGTCGACAAGTGGTTGCTCCGGTCGACTGGAAACGCCTTCTACACCCAGGGCTTCTCCGTCGCCACACCGTGGCCAACCAACATCAGATCGACATTGAGGAAAGGGGGGGAAAAAAATCCTAGTAGTACTTCCCCTAATTATGATATCTATTGGCATTTGAAAGAATTTGATTTATTTTAAATTATTTAAAGAATGTTTCTGCATCCGGGAAGGAAACAGAAATTCAAAAAAAGAAAAATGAGCAAATGCAAATGAGGAGTCTGATGGATCTGCTCTGAGGACGGCGGTATTTAGTATTTCTTTTTTTTTTTTCTCTCTCTTTTTACCTATAAATGGGAGTGGATGGGACGATTAAGGCTAGACTCCCGGCGCTATTCATCAGTGGGTTGCCCCGGGCGCTGCACTTTGATGAGCCTTGCGATCTGCGAGGGAGCTCCATGGCTGTGTGAGAGAGTGTGTGTGCGATGGGTAAATGTCGGCTGGTGTGTCGTTTCCATGGGGGCTTCTTTTAGGGGCGATATCTATATAACTCCTTGTACAGACATACAGAGTATGTCTGTACTGTATTAATTGTGTATGAATGTATGTCCTTTAGTAGTATAACCGAACAGGACAACAACCCTAAGACACGGTGAAGAGATCATGGATATGACCTTGCCTGTGTCTTTTGCACGATCTGAATCTGCTTCACGATGCAAATAGATTAATTAATTAGATTAATTCCCTGTCGATTGAACGGCGGTCCACCCCAGAGGGAGGAGTTGTTGGAACACCGCTGGTGCGTGTCATAACCGAGCACCAATACCTCCTTGACCTCCACGAGTTGCCCATGAATTAATGCCATTGGCATTTGCCAAAACATCCTCGTCGTCCGTGTGTCGTCGTTTCGGCGGATTCTCCTCAATGCAATCAATATCGGTCTTTTGATATTTTTACTAGAATTCTTCCTCTTCTTCTATATAATATAATTATTTCAGTATTATTATAATCATTATTATTAGGTGCAGAATCATGCCTTTTACCTGATCGATCTTTTTATTTTATTTTGTTGTATTGTTTTATTCTCCCCTTTTATGATTTCTTTTGTCGAAGATAAAATACAGACATAATTGTTTCTATCCTATTGATCCGTTTCGCCTCAGCACCGCAGCCTCACATCTCTCTCTCTCTCTCTCTTTCTATTACCCTTCCACTCTGTCCAGGTAATAAATCATACTAAAGGATATCACCTGTTCATTGCTCCCCCTGCTTGGTTTTTTACGGACCGAAACCGATGCCAATGGTACAGCC